GTAAGAAAGCAGAAGTAGGGCAGGGAGAAACGTGCCCAGGGCATTGCCCATCCTTGGGCAGCAGCTCGCTGGGGTTTCTGGCAGGATCCCTCCCCGACTGAGAGGTCAGGGCCTGAACCAGCATGCAGAACGGGTGCTCCACCACTCAGCTGCGGCCCTTCTTTAGCCTTTAGGTCAATTCTTTTCTCACAAATAAGCTCCTGTTGCTTATTTGGGCTTTTGATACTGTTGCATGGACAGTAAGTTACCCTCCACTTTTTTGGTACATTAAGTCTCCTCTCAGGGAAACAGGTGGGACATGCCAGCTTTTAAAATATATACATACAATTATGAGGTTCTTACTCACCTGACAGGAGAAGAATATCACAGCCGATAGCCCCAGCCAGCTGTGCAGTGAGTACATGTTAGGTATCTCATTCTTGTTGTGGAACTCAAAGACAGCCACCAGGCCCAGAACAGTAATGACAAATGTGGTCAAGGTCAGTGCTGCATGGACCAGCTTCCACGGAAGCTTGGGCCCTTCCCAGGACCAGGGAAATCGATACACCAGGGCTGCTGCAGGGGTGGAGGGGAGATGTCATCAGAGTCAAGACCGCTTGGGCACCCCTCCCGCCAACCCCCAAGTTACTCCTTCCCAAGATTCTAGCAGGGGAGGGGGGATCAGAAAGGAATTAGATCCTCTTTCCACTTACCTGCACCGTACAAGAACAGCATGCCGGTCACCATGAGAACTGGGTGCCAGTTAAACATTTTAGTAGAGCCATCCCAGGCAAAGCCTCCAAGCCAGTGTTGGCTCCAGTAAATGGTGAAACCCACACACACAATCCCCAGAATTCCCAGTAGAATGGAATATGGCAAGAATGGGACCCCAGGCATCTCGCTGTTAGCAGGAAACACACCTGAGAAAACAAGACAAGACACCAGCTAGACCTAAAATGATTTCAGTTGCTTGCTAGCTGAAGTTTTATCATCTGCTGAAAGGTTTTTGCCAACTGTTGTTCCCTCCTGTCCTGTTCTTCATTCATTCACTCAGCTCGGAACTTCCTTTGCCTTCAGCTGCCTAGACGTTGTCTTTTACGTTCATGGTTTTACAACCGGAAAGGGGAGGACCCCCAGAGGCTGGGTCAGAGGAGTGCATTTTATAACACATTACCAAACCAACAGAACACATGCCAGACATGACAGTTAGGAGAAGCATAGCTCTAACCTAGAAGCACCTTGGCCCGATTAAGGCAAATCACATTCTAAACAAAGCCCATTACTCTCCAAAACCAAGATCAACTACTAACAGACTGTAATTGGCATAACTTCCATTCTTCCCAAAGACAAGCCACATAAAATTTCCACAGGGTAATAACAACCCACTTGTTTCTACTTAGTAGCCCTTTTAGTGAATTTGCTAGGGGACCTGGAAGTCTGCCTTGCAACTTTCAGTTGAGAACAACAGCCTAGGATGAATCCATTATATGATCATGCAGGATGTGACTTCAGTTAAACTGAGAGTGGTTGGGAACATGTGCCAGCCCACACACCTCTGACATGTTGACTGCCAAGTCCCTTCCATGAGCTATTATCTAAGGGGCACCGGTAGCCAAAGACGACTGAAGGCTAGTTCCTACTGGATCCAGTTTGATCCAAGATACATAGTTGTATTCCAGCCAAAACAAACAAGCAGGAGAAAAAAGCGTCCACTGTAGGGTTTTCACATTCCTTTACAAGCTGCCCCTGCAGCTAAGGTGAAAACTGCAAACACTTCCCTCCTACCCAGTAGTCCTACACAGATGTTGCACCTACAACCACAGCTTCCTCTAAGGAGGTCATGAGACCATCTCAACTTCTGCTTTCAAAGCAGAACTGAGTAGACAAACTACATATGTTAAAGCTACCACTGGTCTAGAAAGAAAGAAAGAAAGAAAGAAAGAAAGAAAGAAAGAAAGAAAGAAAGATCTTGTATGGTTTAAATCCCCTCTCTCAATGCAGCCCACTATACTGGCCAGGAATTCTTGGCTGGAGACACTGTAGAATTGTTCTGTCCCACAAAAACTATCTTCTAGCACCTTCTCAGATAATGTACAGCTATACAGAGATTTGCATGTATTGACACATGCTACCAAATATAGACTCACCAACAGCAAGCAAGAATGAGGCATATGCAAAAACATGTTCGTCAGTCTGAAAGCTAATGAGCGTTTGTGTCCTCTATGATTTTTTTGAAAGGTTCTGGTGCAGCCAGATTAATCAGCTCCCAGAGTTTTCCAGTCAAAGTCCTGCTCTGTAGGACTTTTGCTTTTTAAACACGCATAGCATTGCACTCTTCATGCCCAACTTTCTTGTAGCGGGGAAGCAACTATGCTACTGGAAAAAGCCCACAAGGGGCCCTTAAGTGGACACAAGAAATCCATGTTCATAACTGGGTGAGTTTCCAGTTCCAGAGAAAATGCTAGCCTAGACTTTTAAGCTAGTGCATCCTATTATTTCCATAGAGATGTCTGCTTAGTCCCCTGCACCTCCACCAAAAAAAAAAAAAAAAAAAAAGTGTGGGGAAATAAATAATGAAACAAGTCAAATCAGTGGATTGCAGGAGCTATGCTAATACCATCCGCTAATACTAAGACCATCCGCTGCAGAAATAAAACAATGCTTCAGTATCTAAATATAATGCAAGTATTGAACTAGAATGGAATACAGCTGCCAACTTAGGAAGGAAATCTTAAAACTATCAGTAGACAAGACAGAAGCATAACACATGATAGCTATTAATTAGCCATGGTGAAAATGCTGATTATTGTTAGAGAGCATTATTATTGTCATCAAATACTGTTTTGATTTTTTTCCACTCATAACCCTCCCATGTTTTCCCAGCACAGTATGGTGGTGTTGTTTTTTCATACCATGGAAAATTGGGTAAGGAAAAAAAGTGATGGAAAAGCTGCACGCTGCCTTCTGACTGCTAGAGCTAGAAGTTCTCCATCCGGAAGCATTCAGAGAGACCATCCACCAGTAAGCAAGCAAGCACTACGTTTCAGTTCCATTACCACTCTGCTCGGTAGAGCTAACCAACTTTTGAAATGCAGACGCTTTGCGTGAAAGATAACACGGGACTGACATTTTCGTGGCAGCGCAAGATTTGAGCTGCCCCAGAGCTTATCACAAATTGCAGAGGCACGGTTATACGAACATATGTCTCTTGTTCAGGCTGTTTACGCATCCATGTAGGGCAAGGAGGAACCAACTGCTGCCCCATGAAGTGAACAAGGAAGCGCGCAGCCTTGTGCCATTCCGTGCCAGGTCTTCCACGAAAGTTGTTGCCAGTAACTAATGGGTTTACAGTGACATCAGGTTGCGCAGGTGGCGACAGGCAATGGGTTGGACTTGGGCGCGTACCAAGGTGAACAGACTTCCCCACCCCTCCACCCTACAGGTCCTTAGAACCCCCTGAAAATACTACAGAGAAGGAAAGGGGACGCGCTGATTGCTGCAGAATGTGTACGTGCGTGGAGGGGAGAAACCGCCCCAATCAAGCAGGGCATTTCCTATGAGTTTCTTTCCTCATTTCTTTCCTCGGAAGGAACAACTAGGATCCAATCCAATATTAGGTCAGCCACAAATTATCAAGTGGGCGCTACACCAGCAAAGTCAGCTAGCAAACTTCAAGGAGTTTCAAGCATGAACGGGTCTCCTCATTGGCAAGTCAGTCAACGGGGAGGCGCCTTTAGCAATAAGAAGGGCAGCTTTCTAAAGCAGAATGTAAAGATACTGCGCGGAATTGGCAGTGCAAACATGATATCAACCCTTCTGGGATGATTGCCTGCAAACAGTAAAACAGATATGATCACAAAGAAACTGCAGAGAGAAAGCACCACCAACGTTATTCCTATCTGCAAGCTGGCTACCAGTACCCAGCCTCACACCTGGTTTTCGCCTGAGGCGCGGGGAGCGCCGGGAAAAGCAGTTCCAAAGTTCTACAGACCCTTCGACGCTGCGGCTCATTTTACTCTGACTAAGCCCTTAAGACCCTCTTGATCGCAGTTTAGGCCCCCGCCCAATTAACACATCCAGCCTGCCCCTTCAGTGGATTTCTGGGAAATGTAGTTCTCTCGGCGAGGCTTCGCTCTCGGAGAGACGGGAGAAGGCAAGGAGGATCAATTCTCTCTTCAAGGACGTTTTGGAAACACTGTGGTCTCTTCTTTTCTTCTGCTTTTAAATTTCCCTGGGTGCCCTCATGCACCTGTCATTATTTCCTTCCCTTGGGTTAAAAAGACACGCATCCTAGCAAAGGCACGCATAAGATCCCTTTCGATATCGTTGCAAACTTTCCGCACCCGACCCCTGTCCGGAACTCCCGCGCCTCTGCCAGCTGCGTGCCAAACAGAGCAGGTAAGCAGGCGTGTAAATGGGAATGCGTCACGTTCTGCGTTTCTGCTGACCACATAGCAACTGACTTGGAGGCATAGGAGCCCTACCAGCTGGCAACCTGTTCTAAACAAAGTCCCATTGTGCCGTGATTTTTACTGTTAGCCTGATCCTGTGCAGAGTTCGCCTTGTCTTAAACCCACTGAAACTGCTGTAGAATATCACTATGTCACCCGGGACTCTGTGGCTGTGATCCTACTCCCACTTGCTTGGACAAGGTCTTCTTTGTGGCGGTCTGCCATGTAGAACACCCTCCTCTAAGAGAAAGCTGTATGGCACTCCCTTGGTAGGCTTTGAAAAGAATCCTTAAACTATTTTAATTCCAGTGCAGAGGGGGTAATCATGCTGATCTATTGCAGCGCGCCAAGGATCTCGGGAGCCCCCGTCTGTCCAGCTGCAATCCTTAAGACTGCGCCCTTGCTTTTTTATTCTAGTTGCTTGGGGGCTGGGAGTGCAGATTGAGTTTATCTGCTGCTGTTATTTAGGCTACAGTCCTGTAAGTCTTTCCTTGGAATAAGGCTTCTGAGAAGTTGCCGTAATAATGTTTGATATTTTATTGCTTTAAGAATTTGTAATCATAATGGTTTATAATTGTCTGGTACACTTTCGGCTTGAAAGATGGGATAAAAATTTATAAACAGTAATAACACAAATAATAAATATGCTCGGCTGAATCGAATAAAACTAACTTTTGATTAAAACGTGTTTCGCTTTGGAAACGACTGCTCTGCTTTTCCACCCCACAGTGGATTAACGCGACGATCTGGATTTTCAGATGTTGTAACTATCTGTATTTAGGCAATGGAGAGGAATGTATTAGCCACAGCCTTGAACTTGGAAGCGCTGAACGGAACCGTCATAGACAGGGCAGTCTAGAAGGATTTCATTTATAAGGTCGCCATAAATCGGAGACGGCTTGAGGGCATATAACAACAAGACCCGGCGGGAACGCTGATGGAGCGGTTTAAGGCGGAGAGAGGAAGGAGAGGGCACCTTTCTTGGCACAGAAACTTTAATCCACCATAGAGAAGGGAATTAGGCAAGCGGCTAACTGGAAAGGTTGGGCGGGGGGGGGGGGACTTTTCCTAGCCGTATTATAGAGATGGGAAAGAGAGTGACGACGATCATGACGTAAGGACGGGGAATTAATGGAAGATCGACTATTTTTCTGAGACTGGAAGGCATGACTTCTCCCACGAAAAACAAAAGGTGGCCGAAAAGAAAAAAAAAAAGGCTTTGTTCCGGTTGATCTATTTAAAAATTGTTTAAACGTTCAAAGGTGCAATCCTCCGTAGGTTTTGACTGCAGTTGTAGGCCTTCCTTCTGTTCAAATGTGATTGCGCTTAACAATGCTTCTTGTCTATATGCGCTACATCTAGGGTTACCCAAGGAGCCAATTTGCTGCATTCTGAAGGGTGTTTTTAAGGGGATTTTTGATCGCAGTGCTAAAACTCGGTCTCACTTTTGCCCTGCAGTATTATCGACAGATTACATTGTCGGGTTGCTCTAAGCCACATACCCACCTACTATGCGTGAATAGTACGTACAGCGGTTGTTTCAATGCTAAAAAGCTAGCTATAAAGTTTAAACGGGAAAAGATAGCTTTGTTAAAAAGCGCGTGAACTACTTTCTTTGTTGGCTATCTTTGCGCCCCGAGGGAAGTTCCTTACAATAGATTCTTAACGAAACCCCAGAAGCTCCGGACTATGATATTGCTCTCTACTTTCGCGGGTCTACGGTCGCAATCACGGGAACTTCCGGTGATGCTATCGCCTACGCTACCTCGGCCAGTTGCGTGGTCTCCATGGAGATGGCCATCGGCGCTAGGTGAATGTGGAGTGCCGCAGAGGGGGTCGGAGCGGCAACCGGGTTGTGCTTGTGTAACGGTTCGGGGATGCGCTCCTAGGATTACATTCGCCCTTACTTAACGCAGGAAAGGTGAGGTGCAGCGAGGGCATTTTGAATCCCAGGTGCGTTGGCGTGGTGAGGTAGTCCGCTGGTAATACGGAGCCAAACCCGAATCATCTGCAGGGTCAGGGTTAGATTCCCCGAGACTGGCCCTGAGTTTCTACATTTCAGCCCTTTTCTCGAGTGTCTATGCCCATTTTGCCTTCGTCATCCTCTGCCGTGTAGATATAGGAAGCGAAGTACTTCGTGCACTGGAAAGTGTAATGAAAACGCGTGGTAATAATGACTTATCTCTCGTCTCGTTTCCATAAAGAAGCAAGGAGCTCCTACTCGTTTAGCCTTTTATCAAAACACCCGCACGATCGATTTGCTTCGATCTTCAGCAGTAGACATGCCTGACATGCCCCAGATCTGAAAGTGGATAATTATTTAACCATGGTTTGCTTCTTTTTACCTTTATTGTGTTGCTTTCTTTACTTCCCTATCCGCTAGTACGGTACTTCTGCAGGTCCGCTGTCTTCACCTTAAGGAGTGATGGCTGATTGCATTGAAGGAAAATCTTGTAGTCCTCTGTAACTTGAGCATGAGCTGGCAACATTTGGGATGCAGACACTGATGTCTCACAACTCTAGGCAAGGAAGATGCTCCAGACCAGCAACTATAGCCTGGTGCTCTCCTTGCAGTTCTTGCTGCTGTTCTATGACCTCTTTGTCAACTCCTTCTCAGAACTGCTGCGTATGGCCCCTGTCATCCAGCTTGTGCTCTTCATGTGAGTATGATAGGGCAGATTACTCTTGTTTTCTTCACCCGTAACACTTATTTACCTTTGTCTTTAATATGAAACAAAGTGCAAATGGTGAAAACTAGGCCTTCAGCTCTTAAAACAGTAGTGGAGAACAGCTATCTAGAGCTCTGAATAAGTGACTTGGAGTGGAGGTATTTGCAACAAGATCTTTAGTATGTTCACTTAGAAACAAATTTCTGTGTACACTGTAACTTGATCCCTACTAAGTGTGCTTAGAATTGTATTTTTACTTGGCAATCTTAAATGTAGTTATTGAGATTAAGTTGCAACTGAACACAGTGGAATTTACAACTGGGTAAGCATGTACCAGATTGTACTGTTAATTTACGTTCTCTTTGGATATAATTATACAGTGGAAGACAAAATATATAAGAGAGGATTGTTCTTCCTCTGATATTGAATAGCATAAAAGTTTTCTGAAATTGCAAATATAGTCTGTGATAGAAAAAGCAAAGTGTTAAGATGTTGTTACATAGTCCATATTTTTATCTTTTTATTTATGGATAAGTAGCTTCATGTAAAGATCTGTACATATATGATATACAGATCATAACATTCAGTGAGTTGTAGGAAAACATATATCCAGATGCAAGCTTGTAATTTGAGTTGACTCTTATTCCCACTGCATTCATCTAGTAAGACCCTTGGGGTTGCCTTACTTCTGTGAATGGTGAAAAAATAATGCTCCATTGAGAGGATGGGTGGAATAGACTTCAGCTATTTTAATGTGACACAGGACTACTTTTTGCAGGATGTATAAGGCATTCATCAGTCTCATTAAAGTATTTGTTTCCCTACAGCATTCAGGATATTGCCATCCTCTTCAATGTCATCATCATCTTCCTTATGTTCTTCAATACCTTCATCTTTCAGGCTGGCCTGGTTAATCTTCTATTCCACAAATTTAAAGGCACCATTGTTTTGTCAGCAGCATACCTTGCTTTGAGCATATCTTTCCACATCTGGGTCATGGTAAGGCAGGAAAGGATTATACTGGCTTTTTTTTTTAAAAGTTCTTTATATCGAGTCTTCAGGAAGATCAAATTCTAAACACAAATAATTAGGCAAAGTATTAAGAAATTCTTTATACTTTTTTTCTCCCCATGCTCCATTTTGTTTAATAATGGTAGATACTATGTTGGTTGTTGATGCTAAACAGAACCTAGTATAGTACTGGAAGAAATGTTGAGCAGTAATAGTAACATAAGTGTATTTGGGGCTATTTTGTAAGTGACCTTGACAGTTTATTTGCTTGAAAAGTAGCAAATTAGAGGCTATGACAAAGCAGCAGGTAGCTATGCGAAGAAGAGATGCAAACACTACGAATACATTGCCTTCCCTATAGATAAACCTATCTCCAGAGTCATCCCTTTTTAAAACAAGCAGAGAATCTTGGATTTCTAAACCAGCTACAAGTCACTGTGTGCAGAATTTGTAGAACACAAACTGTTGGTTGGGTGGAGTTTCCAGGTATGAAGAAGTAATTGAACTGTTGGTTATCCTTCTCTGCATATTAACAGGGACTGTTTCATCAGATATGTTGCCCCTTTTGTATAGCAGGTTCCTGGCCTAATGTACTGTCTCCAGTTGTATAAGGACATATCCTCTGGTTTGGTAGTTCTGTGTTCTGGGAAAGAATTGGATAAGGTGACTCAAAGAAATCTCCTGGCATTAAAGCAAAGCTCTGAAATGGGATAGAATCTTGCTACTACACAATTTATCCCTATAGCTTGACAGTACAGCACCCCACCCCAATTGCTACAACAGCTCCAAACCTATCAGAATTTTGTCGATAAAACAAGAATTCCCCATTGACATAGCAGGATCCAGGAGCCCATTCAGTCTTTTTTTTTAATCTTCCCCAACCAAGGTTTGTTCCATGCTTGCTTTCCCTTCTTTTGACATTTTCAATTACTCATTTGGTTTATTCTTTACCAGATATAGTTCACAATCTGTGTCTCTCACTTCTTTGGGTGTCTTTTGATGTCCTTAATTTATTCTCTTGTATGAGATTTATGCAAAATGATTGGTTTTGCAGTCATTGCATAAATATTCATTTAAATGAATCATGCCAGTATTGAGTTCAGATGCTAATGCAGTACATTAAACAACCTCAGCTAATACAGTGCCGCCTCTGTCACAGTCTGCCTCTTTGTGGTCCTCATAAATGGTGTCCTTGTATGTACATGTGAGTGCATTTCCTTTCCAGTAAACTGTGGGGTGGTTGTTAACCTTTGTTTGATTTGCTTTACTGATTCTTATTTTATGTTGATCTGGAAGTTCAACCAGCAACTCTTCCTTCCAGTGTCAATTTCCCCCCAATTTCCTGACTTAACTAGTTCCCTCATTCCAACACATTACATCGTTCTTTGCAACACTGATCTTTTCAATATAAAGTGTACTCTGGTCTTCCCTTTACATTGGTTAATGTACTCGTAAAAGTCTCTTGCATCTTGTGATTTTTATACTTGGCTTTCAATTTTTTTCAGTAGTTTTGTTCCAGAGGGCCTCTGATAAATAACTCATCCATTATTTCCACTTGAAGCTATGGCCCTAAATGTGACATTAGGTAATGACCATGCTTTGTTTACCATTTACTGGTATAGTCCTACTAAAGTTCAGATGAAATGTTGCTACTCTTTTGTAGCACTACATAAAGAATACTACTCTAATTTTTATACTCAGATTTTTATGCTCTGTATAAACTTGTCTAGTCTGCAATGTTCTTCATATTTCATTATTGTATCTCCATTAGTCTTGCAAATAGACTTACAGTCATATAACATGATGAATGCCCTTAAGTTTCTATCTGTCCTCAGGGACAAGTTCTATCCAGCTTCCTTCTCCAAGAGCAGGAAAAAGCATCTGAAGATGATGTAGCTAGCTATTCTATACATACTGGACACAAGAAGAGAGACCCTTTTACTGTGCTCTCTGTCTTAATCATGGTGTCCCACAAATGGATTGGCAGGCTATCCTGGATTTAACGTTTCTGAGCTGGTTTCATTAGTATTGGAAGTTCCAGATGGTCTATAGCAAACACCATTGTGAGTGAAGATAACTTGACCTCCATCAAGCTAGCACAGCTCTATATTCCTATCTGCACCTCCACATAAGATTTATCTTTCTCTGTTTCCTTCCTTCCCCCTCCTTACCCGAATTCTATGGAAGGTAAGAGTATTAAAGGCACACATGCTGATGGGATTCCCCATTGGCCTGGTCAGCCTTGGTGTTCAAGTCATGAGGTACTTGGCACGTTCTCTATAGATGATCCCGGCACGTCCAGATCTCCCATTTCAGGGTCCACTGTTTCTTCCAGATCTGCAGTGATTCTGTCTCTGGTTGAACAACAGCTCCTACATAGTGGACTGTCTACCAATATCATCCTAGATTTTTTTTAAATTTAATTTCGATTTATATCCTGCCTTTTTCCTACAAAGGGCTCAAGGCAGCTTATATCTCCTCCTCCATCTTATCCCCACAACAACAACCCTGTGAGGTAGGCTGGGCTGAGAGTCCGTGACTGGCCCAAAGTCACCCAGTTGGCTCCGTGGCTGAGTGGGGACTCGAACCCGGATCGTCTGAGTCCCAGTCCCGTGCTCTTCACCACTACGCCACACTGGCTCTCCATTGTAGGAGGTCTTCCACTATCAAGATCTATCAGCTGATGTGGATGGTCTTTAGAGTTGTTGTAGGAAGAATAACATCCCTCCTCTGCAAATGAAGCTTCCCGAGTTTCTAGATTTGCTGCAGTCAGGACTCCCTCAGCAACGAGAGTTCACTATACTGAGAAATAGGCAAAGCTCTCTGAGCAGTTTACAAAGGTTAAAAACTTAAATGTACAATATTATACACAGTATATAAACCATCCACATGTAAACACATAAAAACAGTGCGTGTGCACACACACACACACACAATTTTTAATAATCCATGGAAAGAAAGGATCTAATTAAAATGTTACATACAACTTTATCTACGGACTAGAGGAAGGTCTTATCTTTTTGGTCCCAGGTTAACAGTGTTGGCACCAGGGGGCTCACTGGGAAATCATTCCATAGTCAGAGGCCACCACTGAGAAGGCTGTCATCTTGAGACGACAGTGATGGACGGCCTACAAATTTTCTAAATAAATCTTCCTGAGGCTCCCTTGAAAGAGGAACCTGGAGAAGGGACTTAGATATTGCATGTAATATGGGAAAGGTGCTCCATCAGGTACTGCACTCTTAAATTGTGTATAGATCAAAACCAGTACCTTGAATCAGGCTGCTTGTGTAAGTTGACTAGAATCAGTGTTATATAGTTGTTCTATGTTCGGGGGAAAGAACAGCAACTGGATAGGGGAGAGGCTAAGGGAAGCCCTACCTACATCATGGGTCAAATGTTTCTTATAGGAAATTAGGTATTTCCAGTGGAATGCTTCCCTCCTGCCTACCAGCTGTGCTTTCCCTTGTTGGACTTTTTTGGGGTACTTTGGGCCTTACCAAGTCTCCCTTCTAAGCCATAAGGTCCAGTCCATAAAAGAACTAACCTGGAGGGTAGTCTTCCATGTGGTGGTCACTTCCACTTGGAAAATCAGGAAGCGGATTTTCATATCAATGGGGAAATCTATCTTCCACCTAGAGATGTTGATTTTCAGGCTTGAAGTAGCCTTTATACAAAAACAAACCAAAACAACACAAGAAAACAAAACCTGTGTCCTTAATTGTGGTCAGGCGTTGTGCTCCCTGATTTTTGTCCCAATGCATTTCATCCCAGTGAAAGAGGATAGTATAAATTAAACATTCAGACAACATCCAAAACCTTTTAAGCCTGATGGGGTACATTCACAGAGACTTTCAGTGTCATCAAATAGGGTAGAGCAGAATTCTCAGATATCTAGGAATACCATCAGCTGCCGGGTGACAATGCATTAACTGGCCTGCTGGTTCATGGTGAGTAAGTTGCTGTGGGAATCACATCCCACTCTGTATGTGGTAGTGGGGCAATAATACTGGCTGCATTGACCACACATTGTTCCCTGGAGGGTATTTGTCAGGCAGGCACCTTGGCCAACCCTCCTACTTTGTGAATTACAAAAAGGATGCCTCCGGTGACCCATCTGTCATTCATTGATTGCTGCAGCAGGTTTTGAGCCCCCACATGGGATGCAGGTGGCGCAGTGGTTTAAACTGCTGTGCTGGTTGATCAAAAGGTGGCCGGTTTGAATCTGCACAACGGGGTGTGTTCCCATTGCTCCCTCCCAGCTCCTGCCAACCTTGCAGTTTGAAAGCATGCAAATACAAGTAGATAAAAAGGTTCCACTTTGGTGGGAAGGAAACAGCGTTTCGTGCACTTCAGAGTTTAGTCATGCCGGCCACTTGACCATGGAGATTGTCTGCAGAGAAACACTGGCTCCCTCGGCTAGGAAACGGAGATGAGCACCGCCCGCTAGAGTCAGGCATGACTGGACTTTAATGTCAAGGGGAAACTTTGACCTTTACTTTTTAACCTACACATGGAAGATGATCCTGCAATTGGATATCCCTTTCCCGACAGCAGAGTGACTCCAACAGCCCCACCTTTGGGTGAAAATGGCTGGTTCCGTGTGAGATTTTTATTTTTTACTGGGTTCAGTATTTGTATTCATGCAATACCTCACTAATTAGGTAGGGCCTGCTTAGTTTTACTCCTACCCCACTGTTTTCTTCCTCCCTAATTCTGCAGGAGGGACTGTTCATGTAGGTGACATTTATGTTCAGAGTTCAGGTACACGCTTTACTTCTGGTATAACATTTTACAACTAAATGCAGGGGCCCTTTTTTTAGAAAGGAAATACACGCTTGATTTGGCCATGCCCTCCTAAGCAAGAGGAGTTAACCCTTTCTTCCTGGGTCCACTCTTGACCAACCAGAAGTATACTTCATTATATATTGAATAGCCCAGTTTTTCCCTCAAGAACCCACAGCAGGCTTCCTCAACTGGATGCCCTGCAGATCTACTGAATCCCCAGTTTGCATGAGTAGTGGTTATGTCAGCTAGGGATGCCATGCATTTGGAAGGCACCAGGTTGGGGAAGGCTGGTTTATGGGAAATTTTGCTCTTCAGAGTAATGATTTTCCAAATCCTAATAAATAATTGCCCAACCTTTTCTCATCTCCATCTTAGAATTTCTTGTTTTTCTCTTCACTTCCTATCCCCTCTTCCTTTTGTGTTGTATGCATTAGATTGTATTCTATTTCACTTGTAAACTGCCTTGAGTACATTGACAAAGATGGTTTGCAAGGTAAATAAGTGATCTGTGGTAACAGTAGTGAATGCCCCACTAGAGGTCAGAACTCAAAATTCCTGGGATTTAGTGTCGCCTCTTCCATGAAGTTAGATGAAGCAGTCTAGCTTGGAGTAATGTTTGGGTTTGATTGCTTTCCGAGATATTGCTTGGTTAGGCAAGGAGGATTTAAGAGGATTTTCTGAGGCCTGTTGTTGGGAGCTAGAATAAGTCTGGGTGTTCTGTATAAATCTGCTGATCCGATTAACCTTTCTGTGCTCCCTGAGCTGCTCCTTAGTGCTCACACCCATTCCATGTGGTGTATGGATGTTTAAACCTACAATAGGCTTGAAGTAGAGAACTCTGTCCTGACCGTGAACTTGAATTTTTAGGAACTCCGAAATGGAATGAAAAATGCACCTTTCACTCTCCTCACTCATATGTTATGAATTAAGGTGCATCATGTAACTTTAAGAAAAGGATCTTATTATGACTAATTTTAATATGAATCAGTTTGTGCATTTTATCCCTGTGACATTTTATACATGTAATTACAAAAGCACAACACTCTGAATTTACCATGTAGAAGTTATTAAGCTTGAAAAATATGGGCATGGTTTCTTGGGTGAATTGTAGGAAAGTGAGCCATTCTTGCTTTGTTTGTATTGCAGAACCTATCTAGTTCCTCTTGAAAACTTTTGAGATTGAAGCTTAATTCATATTGCACAGGCAAGGATATGTCTGGCAACTGCTTCGATTCCTTAGACTGGCTGGTCTCCCATTATTTTCCAAAGGGGCTTAGAAAGCATGGATCATGATCTGGAATATCTTTTCAGGGTTACATATTCCTCCCCCACAGGTTACATATTCCTCACCCAGCTCCTACATACCAATTGGGCTTGTATACTTTTGGTAGGCTAATGTACTTTTGGACTCTTACTTTCTCCTGTTCCTGTGTTGGGAAGCAAGTATGTGGCCATGAAGCACATAATTGTCTCCTGGGGTTAGGTATATCCAGCTGGGCCAGTGGTCAAGGATTATGGAAGTTATAGTCCAAAACATTTGAGGGGACCACATTGTCTTTGTTGCCTGCTATTGTCCTAAAAAAAGATCTGACTAGGAGCCAGATCTTTCTCTTCCCATTCTCAGGCATTGCAACAAGACATACGGACATGTCAGAAACTATTGTTATTTCTTCTATAGGTAGAGCATAGGTTTCACCCCACTGTCACTATCCTTTTGATCAGATGAATGTATTAGACAGGAAATTGAACATTGATTAAGTAGTGCATTGTGGTGTTTTGTTTTGCCTTTCATGATCTGGTGTGTAACAGATGACTTCAATTTAGTGAATATGTGCATCTGATGCTCATTACAGTTAGCAGTGTAAGTCTGTGCTTGTCTATTCAGAAATGAGTTTAGTGGGACTTACAATCCTATACTCAGTTATCTGGGAGTATGCTAAATTAATACTAGAGAAATAACAGCCCTAGAGGGTCAGTGCTTCTTTATCTGCTTGTCCCTTTTCTAGATTCTGTCCCCTTGGATCCTATTGCCATTCATAACATATACTGAATTAAAGAACCTCCAGTATTTTGGCTCTATACCTTTTTAACCCTGAATCTGGATTAGATCTCTTGCAGGTATTATGAGTCTGTGATTTTCACACATTTATCTCCTTCACCAACACCTTTATAAAAATATAAGGTTAATTCCTGTATACACACACTGAATGTTAGCATAGCTCAGGACCTTAGCTCAATGACAGAGCACATGCTTTTCATGGAGAAGGGTCTAGGTTTCACCACCAGCATCTCCAGGCAGGGCTGGAAAAATTCCTACCTGAATCCTGGAGAGAGTTGCCAGTCAATGTGAGTGATGCTGTTATAGATAGATCAATAGCTTGATTCAGTATTAAGCAGTTTCTTGTGTTCCTAAAATAGTCTGCCACCAATTATTCCTGTCACCAAACCTCTTTTTTAAAAATTAGTTGGAAAACTAGATTTTGCTCCCTGATTGCTTATGTATATCATAAAATGGTATTCACTTTCTAGCATCCCTCACTGCTTCCCTTATTTCACAACAAGGATTTCTGGGAGGCAGAGTAGAAAAGAGGTAGAAAGGGTTTTCTTTGGTTGAAGCAGAAGCAGCACATTTACAAACTGAAGTACAGTGCACAGTACTATCAGAAAAAAATATACAGTGATTGGAAGTTTGGCCAATCAAATGCTGCAATGGAACAAAGCTGCTGGGTTGAAATTCATTTTTTCTGCAAATCTGAGTTTTCAGAGAATACAGGAACCAATGTCACAGCTTGCTAAGAAACGTCCGGTTGGGGAAGAGGCATGGAAACTGGTATATGAAATTATGAAAAGTGTTGCATAAGACCGGTGTGTTGTGGTGGTAGTGAAAGCATGCAAGGATGGATGCTTCCAGATGTAGGGTTCCTTCTGCTACCAGATAGAAGGAATTGTTCAGCCATTCCATTTTTCTCATTAATGGATTTATTGCAGAAGAAAAAGATAGAGAAGAAGCTGTGGAAGAGCACAGAATGATTAAAGAGGAAGGCAGCAGCATCTTTATGTCCAGTGAAATTTCATGAATGAGGCAGAGCTCCAGTGTTAACATCTGTAGATAGCACAGTTCTGTGTGTGATTTACTCAATGAAAGTTATTCCCAGTCAAGTGTGTATCGGACTGTAGCCTTAACATTTGCTTGCCCTGAAACATTTTCTTCCACAGGCAGAGGTTTGGATAGTTGGCATAAGAAGTGTTTGACCACAAGTTGGTCAGTTTCAAGTTGTGACCCCAAAAGTGTCACTTGAAATAACTGGAGTTAAGTCTAATTCTAGACTTAAACTCTAATTCTGTAATAGTTTGTTGTAGTAGTTTTGTAGAATGCTTAATTATTCAAGATCATAGAAATTGCTCAATGTTCAAAAGTAGCTACAGGGAATTTTCTCTCAATTGCTGCTACTACCTGTGGGGAAACTGTTCCTTGAACTGGACAATCCCACCCATGGGTTTCTTATTTTTAGAAAATGCTTATGAGCAACTCTCTGTCCCTATAACTCAGAGTTCCGCAAGCTACCCCCTTTCCCACTTCCATTAGTTCTTGTAGAACACTTCAAATTCTCTTGATATATTGGTATAAGAGGCTTCGGTATGAGATGGGCACCAATTCATGAAATGATGAACTGTTGAAAAAGTTGATTTATTAAAGGGGTATTTTTTACATAATGGAATATTTAATTTGGAGGTTTCAAAGGAATGCTTGCTGATAATACTTAAGGACTCAAGATACACTCTTGGTAATACACACCTCTTAATGACTTCTTTTACCTAAGGCCAGATTCCCTATAACTAGAACCAACTCTTGGATACAATTTTCCTCTGATTCTCAAAGTGCTTCCTGTTATATATTGGGCTCCTTATCTGGAGTTTAATGCCTGCTTATGCAACCTTCTGGAAAGAACTTAGGGCAGCCAGCCTCCTAGCATTCTTACCCTGGTCTTTACCAGCCACCGTACAGTTATTCTGTAGAGAAAGAATAACTTAATACTGAGGCCTTGGCTATCCACTTTTTCCTCACCTTTCCTCTAGTCCACTTTCTCCTTGACTCTATGAACAGATTGGCTGAATCTCTAACTATTAACACCTTAACTGCCAATTGTCATTTCCCGAATGCTCTTTTCCACCTAGGAAATGGAATTAACCTGATCCATGTCCCATTTCTGTCTCCCCTTCAGAATATCACCAAGTAACTACTCCTAAATCAGGCCTTCAATAGAGTAACAACATGGGCCTCAGGCCTAGACAGATAGATTACGGTCTCTCAGATCCTTCATAGAATATTTACAGAACAACATTATATATATATATATAGCATTTCTTCACTGAAGGTCTTATGAATATGGCTATTTTCTGGCTATGTGGCATGGAGAAGTGAGAAAGGCAGGCAGGTAGGGGGAAGGAAGGAAGGACGGATGGAAGGAAGACTGCTATAGTTTTATGTTGTTGCAGGAAGAAGAGTTTATATCCTGTCTTTAAAATAAGTTTCATGTACTTCTTTCCCACAGAACCTTCGCTGGAAAAATTCTCACTACTTTGTGTGGACAGATGGGTTGCAAGCCCTCTTTGTTTTCCAGAGGCTGGGTAAGAATTATGTTGTACCATCTTTTCTCCTGTGCCATGACCCCTGGAAAGAACTGTAGAAGTTATCAGTAAGATTTGCTCAGTTTGCATTTTTCCACAAAACCCAGATGGAGCTGGGAGAAGTTAGAAACCTAGAAAGCTGCTTTATGCAGAGTTGGACCATATAGCTCAGTATTATCTATACCAGGAGCAGGCAATGTGATGCCCATAGGAACGAATACACCCTCTAATACCCTTCTTGGCACTCATCAAAGTGCCTTCCTACTTGAAACAATCAAAGTCTCTTCCTGTAGCTTGGGACCACTTTAACGGAAAGTGAGGACTCTTAACTGCTCTCCTCTTCTCTTCCCATGAATGCCTCTTGGGTGCATGAGCTCAAAAGCATTCTTAGAAAATGAAGGTGGGAGGTGGGTGCAAGCCAATAGATTTTAATCCACATGCCCTATTTCTCAGATTGCAAAATGTGCTCACGTGCCTCCAAAAGACAAGTTACCTCTTTGCTATGCTCATTGGCAGTGGCTTTCTAGAGTTTCAAAAAGGAATCTGTCTCAGCCTTTCCTAGAGGTGCCAGGGATTGAACCTGAAACCTTCTGCATGCAGATTAACTAGATGCAAGAAAAAACTTCATTGCAAAAACATGGTTATCTTAGAAGCTGGAATTGTGCTCCTTCCTGAAAGGATGGTGAGGATTTTTATCTGAATATGACAGAAACAATTAAGTAGATAAATATGAGAACTATGCTTGCTCTTATCTCATTGATTGCAGTGGCTGTGCTCTACTATTACTTCTATAAGAGGACGGCTGTGCACCTGGGGGACCCCCGTTTCTACCAGGACTCTCTTTGGCTACGGAAAGAGTTTGCTCAAGTTCATAGCTGACAAGTGCTTTTTGGATTCTCTGGAGCAGAGGTCAGGAGCAGAGGTCTGCTGGGATGGAAAGGAGACCTTATATGTATTTTGCAAGAACTTTACCCTTCCACAATTTGTCTCCTATAATCCAGTCCTAAATCTTACACAGTCTAACGACTGTATCCCTGTCCCAAGGTCAATGCACTTCAGCCCTAGGCATCAGTGAAACTGTTCTGTTTCTGTGACTTCCATGTTTGCTGTCACATGCTTGTTCACATCCGAGCACTCCACATCCTTTCTGATGTGAATACTGTGTTCTTCAGATTTGGCTGCAGCTTTATTGAGGAACAATATAAAATGCCAGATTGGTTTCAGTGAGAATTCTGAAGGAGTAGCAGGAGCAGTTTCCTCCTGGGACTGTTCCCTTACCCCATGTTCTCCTTCCTCTGACAAAAAGGTACCAACTTAGTACCAATGGCACAACTAGGTGTAAAAGGACCATGCTTTAGCTTTACAGTATTTGGGCAAGTTGACTCTCATTGACTTGTTAGTTGACCCTTTTGTACTTGTGTTTTTATAAATTGTGAGAAAATAAATATCTCTTTTCTAGAAACCATAGTGTGATTATTTTGCATTATTCTTTTTATAAGAGAATGTACTTGCCAAGTCTAGATATATTACCAGTCCAAGTGCCCTGTGTGTGTAACCTTGCTGCTCTTAAAGTAAATACTATGACTTAGTAGAATTGCATTCTATCCAGAGTCAGAGAGAGAACCTTGATTATTTTATCGTGTTGCATGCAGTATAGATTAGCACAGCCAAATTGCCAAATTCACAGATTGGGGGGGGGGGGTGGCAATGAAAAAAGTTTTGTTTTTTGCTTTTGTTGTTTAAAACTATCTAAAATATTTTATAATCTAAAATATTTTATACTCTAAAATCTGGGGTAGAAGACTTCTAAATGTTGTGCAGGTGGATAAAAAAAGTTATGGAGAGTAGCTTGCCACTGAAATTATAAGTGTTAACCAAAAGTGTTATTTCTGCATGCCCAAAATACACAACAGAGAAGGTTTTCTTTTAAAAGTTTTGTTCTTGAGAGTAACACAGCTGCCAATGAATCATTCCAGTATGAGACACACTGAGCATTTCTCAAGATGCATTTTTATACATTAGCCCATTAAAGGGTTACAGGTAACCCAGTTAACACTTTCTAAAAGGTTACAAAGGTAAAAGTTACAATGGCGTGACCGCCACCATTTACATGCCAAATCGGATGCTTTTGAAGGAGAGGTGCTGGTAAAGAGGAGAGATTCTGAAGTAGCAGGACAAGGGTGCTTGAATAATAAGCAAGCGAGAGCCAAGTATGGAGCCTCTCTCGGTACCAGTTCCTGCAGTGGTTGAACTAGTGGTAGCTCTTCTTCGTGTTATACACACTACTTAATCTGGAGGTGGGTCGGGCAGGAGCAGTGCAGCAGAGCCCTCCCTCAACAGAAGCTTTAGTAGCCAAAGTACCGCGGTCATAAAATGCGAAAGGGAGGTAGAAACGGTCCGAGTAGGAAGCCAAGGCCTTTGACTCGAAACGAAGAGTGTAAGGCGGAACGCCACCTGCTCGCAAGGTGCGTCTGCGAGGCCCAGAGGGGCCCGCGGCCATTCGGGACGCGTGTTCCTAGCGGCGGAGAGCACGAGCTTTCCGCTGAGAACGAAGGGCGGCCCGATGGGCGAGCACGGAGACGGAGCGACGCCTTCGCGCCCGGCATCTGCACCAGGCGCTCCCGCGGCCGCCCTGAGCTCTCCCATCTGGTGTGCCACGGCATGTTTTGCCGCTCCGCGGGCCGTTAGAAGAAGACTTCCAGCATAAGGGAGCCAAGGATGGAGCGGCCCCGCTCTCCTCTATGGATGCGCGGCCGCAACCTCCTGACTTCCGTGTCGGCGGCGCTGCCGGAAGGGGATTTTGTGCGTAGCGGTGTCCATGGAGATGGAAGATGGCGCCTCGGAGTAAGTGGCGGCTCGGGGCTCCAGGGGGCCCTCGTGGCTCTGCAGCCGCCCGGGCATGTGGCGCAGCTGAGCGCCGTGGAATGCGGCCGGTCAGCTCCGGCAGCCCCCTTCGCAGGAGGCTGGCCCTTCTCCCCGCCCACGCCACCAGCCCTCCTCTGGGATACCCCGCGCCCTTCAGCAGGAGGCGGCGGCGCCGGGGCAGCGGCTGCCAGGATCGGGCTCCGTGGCGCCAAGCGCTGCCCGGCCGCGAGAACGGGCTCGCGCGAAGGGAATGAGCCTGGCCGGCCGCAGAGGAGGCGACGAGGCATTGCTGAGAGCCTGGCGGGGTGCAGCTCCCCAGTCGAGGAGACATAGCTAGCGTGAAGATCTCCCACATAATCGTAGCTCCAGGGGCTGGTAGACTAAAAACCACTTCGCGCTTTTTGTGCCCCCCGCCCAGCCAGTATTGCAGCAAGGTCATTCTCGACCATGCACCTGGGGAGTGGTGCGGGGAGAGAATGAGCTTTTAGGCAGCCGTGGATATATGACTTCAGTAGGGAAACATGCAATATTTCTCTTTGTTTCAAACACACGCTTTACAAGTGTTTCAATGTGTCTGATATGTTAGGGCAAAAAGTTTCCAACCCTGATGGTGTGTGTTTGTGAATGAATGTGTCCAGCTTTTGCTCTGCTGTCCAGATGCCCTCATCACCTGACTGCTGGATAAAGGGGGAGGGGAATGGTTTGGATGGTGGAGCTCTGGCCTCAGACAGCAAAGGTCCAGGTTTATCTGTACCACTGGTTTAATCATCTCCTAGTGTCATTGGAGTTTTGCATCCTTACCGTTGGTTTGAGGTAATGGAATGGAATTAAGTTTCTGATTGTGATCTTGAAAGCAGGGCATTCTTAATTAGTGTAGATTCCAAGCATGTGACTTTGAGTGGTGTCAGGCAAGGGGAAATAAATTTCTATACACCCCCAGAAAGAAGATGAACTGAAAGAGAGGAATTGGTTGATTGCTTGTAGCAAGTTCCAGGCATTTAAGGAACTTAAGGAATTTATTTGCTTAAGTGAGACTTATATTCTATGTCCTTGTGTCCACATACAAATCGTGGCTGGGAGTGGTCACAGAAAACTTACAGTTCTCCTAGCAACAGTTGCCACCTTAGGCAGCCTTGACTTCAACTTGGACGTCCTAAAGCTGTGCTTGATCTTATACAAATTTTTCTGTTGGCAGAGATCAGAACTAGAGACTATTTTATTGCTACTTGTTACTCTATGTACAAAACTGACTTATTTAGCTCCTCAAGAAAGTTTGCTCTGTTTTTCTCTAAATGAAGATTAGAGAAGGACAAAGAAATCACACCCTATATATGTTAAATGTTCTGATTTCTCCTCTTAGATCGCCAGCTCTCTTCAACCCCTCTGGAAATTCTGCTGTTCCTCAATGGCTGGTATTATGCTACTTATTTCTTGCTGGAAATCTTCATATTTGTTTATAAAGGTGAGTGTGAGACTAGGGTGGGGTGCCTAGGCTTCCTTTCTGAAGGAGGGTTTTTTTTATAATGTACTACCTGTGGCTCTCACTTGAAGAAACTGAAAAGTAGAAGGAGGTAATTAGTGTATCTTCTTATTCATTCCCAGCTTTCATCATGGATTGCTTTAAAAATTTGAGACCTTCGCATAGCCATTTTTAGTTATACTTTCAGCATTAAATGTTAAACATCAGGCACATTTCCTTTTTCAGGGAACACAGTAAATGTGGGAGGCAGCCAGTTTTGTTTTTCTCTTGGTACACTTCACAGTTTGTTTACCTTCATAGGACTCCTGTTGCCCTACCCTTCTGCTAATCTGGCTTTGGACCTGATTATGCTTTTCCTCTATCTTGGAATTGAAGTCACCAGAATTTTTTTTGGTGAGTACCAAAGAAGGAATAATGTCCTTGGAAGGATCATATTATTGACCTGTCATTTAATGTTGAATGTCTTTGATGGCACTTAAACTGAGAAATTGTTTCCCCCAGTTCATGTAGTTCCCCAAGTAATCAACAGAGGAATTCTGCTTCTCCTACATCTTACTCCACGTGTGAGATGCGGGCTCTAATAGCATTGTATAGACTGTAAACATGATTACCACTGACAGCATAATTTCTGGTCCTTCTGGTCTTCCCATTGAACTGGAATGGGTGCCTCTAAATAAGCTGAGAGCAACTTGTGGTCCTTCAGAATGTTTTGATATATCCAGTAGCTAATGATCAGAATTCACAGGAGTATTGATCAGAATTCAATTAAGGTGTCCACTCATGCCCTAAGTAACATGGAAAATTATGATGCCCCCACATCTGCTCTGCCTACAAAGGGTCTGTGTTATACTTAATTTGAAAATAGTTATTAGCCAAAATGACACTAAGTAGAATACAATGGAAATAATATGAGACCCATCCAGTCCAGCTATTCTTACCAGGAATCAGGTGGGAAGCCATGTCATGCAAACCTGTAAAATGTGGCATCCTATTCTGTGATTTTAGCCAAGGCTATTGTTGACAAGTGGAATATTTTGCAGTCTGCCTCAATACCTTGGTATTGTGCCTTTTATGCTGCATGGGTCCTATGTGCCTCACTAGCCCCTCTGTGTGTACTGCAGGCTCAAAAGGGAACCTCTGTCAGCGGAAAGTGCCACTTGCCATCAGCCTGGCACTAACCTTTCCAGCAGCAGTGATGGCAGCCTATTATCTGCTACTGCAGACCTATGCTCTGCGTCTGGAAGCCATCCTCAACGCTATCCTGCTCCTCTTCTATGCTGTTGAGCTGTTGCTGGGAATACTCACCCTGGCTGCCTTCTCCAGGTACTTTCCTTGCATTGTAGGGAAATACTTCCTGCACGTGCATTGAATTTGGGTTTTGTTTTGTTTTGTTTTGTTCTGTGTTGTGTGTGTGTTTAAGACAGTGGATGACGTTTTTAAGACAGTGGATGACTCTTGAGAAGCATGAGGGGAAAAAATTGCTTCTAGTGATCTGGATCTAGGAGAAGTTAAAAATTATGGAAGGGCTAGTTCAGTGAGCATGTGGAAATAAGAGGGAAGGCCTGAGGCTATCAAGTGACCAGCTTTACAGTGCTGAGAAAGCAAGAGTAGAAAGGGACGTTGGACAGTATATTTATGACAGTGTCAGACCTCTGATCCATCTAGCTGAGCATTATCTATAGTGACTGCCATTGCTTTCCGGGTTTCAGACAGGTTCCTAACCCTCTCTGGAATTGCCAAGGACTAAGCCAGGGACACTTGGCAGACTGAGCTATAGCATTTCTCCTCAAAGTACATAGAGATTTGAAATAGTTTGTAATATTCAGCACACAAAATGAAGTCTTAAGACTTCCAAGCATTGTTCCTAACCTTGTCATATACGCAGATACCGTTTCCTTGTCTGTTCTTCAAAATGGTAACTATAGGCTTGACAGCAGATTAATTCTTTGTGGTGTGTCTTGGCTTGTTGCCTCAAGCAGGGGACTGGTTGAGTACAGATTCAATCACTTCCTGCCTGCCTTGATTATATTGCCTGAGATTACCATTGCTGATATTCTTACCATATGTCCTTTATTTTCTGCAGTTTGGACTCCTACTGAGAAGCTGCCTGTGTGGAACTGTTTGTTTTTCACAAATGGGTGAGGCTGCATGAACCCTCCACTTCCATGGCTGGGCTAAGAGGTGGTTTGGGGTCCAATTCCTTGGGCAACTTGAAAGAAGGCACAGTCACACTCTTTGCCTCAGACACCTCCAGGTGGAAGGCCATCAGCAGTATTTTCTGTTGTGAGTTAACAGACCCAAATGTGTCCTAAATCATCCCCATCATTACCTTTGTATTCCTTGTGAGGATGATAGTTCATCTTTCCAAATTGTGCATCTTGAAAAACTGACTCTTGACAAAGGAAGGAAGGAAGGAAAAAGCAAGCAAGTGAGCAAGCATGGATCTAATCAGTAGATTTTGCTTGCAATGGCTGTGACCTTCAAATGCCTGCATTCTGACATGGACTCAGTCTTTAGTATGTGTGCAGTGACTCTTGCTAGCCCATCTGTGTCTAACTGTTCCTATCTGTTACTTCAGTGCCCTATCTCTGAAAGCAGGTGGGGATGAGGGCAGGAGGCCTTGTGTCCCCTCCCTAACATGTGTTGTGGTTGCGTGTTTTGGAGATTTGTGATACCTCGTTTTCTACAGTATCCTTGGAATAAATATTTATTTTTCAACTACTGTAGCCATGTAGCACTTCTGATCAGCTAAGAGTGCAGAAGACTGCAGTGCTTTGCTCTTCCCAGCCTAAGAAAGCTACACATGGGCTAATAAAGATGACAACCATTGTAAATTATCTCTCTGTACAAAAGCTTTCAGCGGGAAGCTCATGGACATGGGAACATCTTACTAAATCCAAGTTCATAAGGAAGGGTCCTGAGTGGGCACAGCCCCAACAGTTTAATCCTTTCCCCACATTCAGCAAAGTTAATGTTAAGTATTCAACTACATACCCTTAGTTATGTGGAGAAAAGCCAGTCGGTGATGTTCCTGGAAACAGGGCAATTTTCAAGAGTCTTAGTGAAGGGTAGTCCCACAACAAATTGGGCAGGAGCAGTAAGAAAGCATTCAGTGATCCCATGCAGCAGACGTTTATTGGCAGAGAGAGCCGGGTTAGAAGCCCTCAGTAATGGAACAGTGTTGCACTAGATGCATCCAGAGCCCCAGCCCAGAATCTGCCTCCTTGTTCAGCCACAAAGAACTTGTTGTTGGATGCTTTGATTATAAGACAAGTAGAGGATGCAAACTGGATGGAGAAATTGCTGGGATGGTCGCCGGTTATGAGGATTTGCCCATCTTTATCCAGGGTCCAATACTTGCTACCTGCAGGACAAGTGGCAAATGTGGAAGGAAATGGGAGAGTCAGGAAAGATAAAAGCTCAGCAAGTGGAACTCAATCACTTTGGTGAATATTAATCAAAAAATCTGTGCTCGTGCTAGTCATGGCACATGTTATTGCCAAAGTATAATTTAAGGAAAGGCCAGTGGGACTGTATAAAGGAACAGCATGAAAAAAATGAAACCTGAATGGTTATTTATCCTTAACTGGGCCTACAAATGTATCCATGTGCCATGGAACAAAATTAATGGCTGAGAGAGCAGCTTAATTTTACTGGAGAAATGATGGTGGTGCCCTCTTCTGCCTAAATGGAGCATTGACATCCTCCTGCAGCTATAAATGTCTTTTCTTAAAATCCTCTTTCTGGGTTCTGTAATTTATGCTGTCCCCCCAGCACGGCTCCTCTGGGGAGCCCCTCCTTTTAACTGACGCCATTCAGTCTCAGTCATACTAACCAACTTGGAAATTGTAGTAGCCTTCCTCAGTGAGCGAGAGACTGCTGGCAACGTAGCTGACACAATTTCCTTCCAACCGCTTCAAGTCAGAACACATCCCCACATAGCCAGCATCACTGTGTAGGACCAGCAGTGGCCTATTAACCAGCAGAAGCAGGAAATCTTCACATTTACCTACAGGTGCAAGATAAACGCTGTATAAGAATAAGGATATCAGAAAAGCCATGTTGGATCAGCTCAGTGGTCCATCCAGTCCAGCACTCCATTCACAGCCATTCAAACCAGCTCTCCTCCAACAGGGTCAATTAGAAGAGCTCCACTCAAGCTCCCCAATGACCGGCATACTCCAGTTGTCTGCCCCTGATAAGGGAGACAGCACACAGCCAAGAATACTAAAAGACATTTACGGCCTTGTCCACAAATGTGTCCAATCCTCTTTTAAAGCCATCCAAATTGGTGGCCATCATTACTTCCTTCGGCAGTAAATTCTATAGTTCATGCATTGTGCGAAGGAGTGTATTTTCTCTTTTCTCGGTCCTGAATTTCCTACCAATAAGTTTCATGAAACACCCTGCGTGCTAGCATTATGGGAAAGGTAATAAAATGTCTCTCTCTCTACTTTCTCCACACATGCATAATTTTAAACACCTCTATCACGTCACCCCTTACTGTTTTTCTAAACTAAATCCCATTTGTTGTAACCATTCCTAAAAAGGGGAGTTGCTGTAACCCTTTTGACCCTTTTAGTTGCCATTCTCTGCACCTTTTCCAGAACAGAACTGTACACAATATTCTACTTGCATTGACAACAAAGATGTCATAGAATGATAGACGAGTTGGAAGGGGCCGTGAAGGCCATCGAGTCCAACCCCCTGCTGTTGCAGGACACCAGGTTACTCCATCCCACTCAGATGGCTGTCCAGTCTTGCCTTGAATGCCTCCAGTGTGGGAGGGCCCACCACCTCTCCAGGCAGCTGGTTCCACTGCCCTATTGCCCTGACAGTGAGGAAGCTTTTCCTGATGCCCAGCCTGAATCTGGGTGGTCTCAGTTTGAATTGGTTATTCCGTGTCCTACACTCTGGCATCAGCAAGAAGAGATCTAGACCTTCCTCTTTGTGACAGCTTTTGAGGTACTTACAGAGGGATATCATGTCCCCTCAATTTATATAAGGGGACTACAGTCTAGTCACAGTTTAATGTCCAGTTCATTTCCTGGTTATGCCTATTCAACAGCAGCTGTGCACTGGGTAGACTTTTTCATGTGAGTTGTTGACCACAACCCTCCTTGATCAGCTCAGATACCATCAACCTATGTTTGAAGCTGGGATCCCCTGTCCCATTTGTCTTATTTTACATTTGCTTACATTCAACTGCATGCAATTTGGTGCCCGTTCTTCCAGGTTGGAAAGATCCACATGCCACCAAGTCTTCAGGGGCAGAGCAGCTTTCTGTCCCAGCTTTCAAGGAGAATTCCAGTGCCTCCCCAACCCCTTTTTGGCACGCAGGACACAAATATTTCTTCAGGGAAAGTTGGGAGAGTGAGAAGCCACAATGAGCTCCTTGGCCTGTCCCTGGGAGATTATTACAATGACTTCCTATAGTCTTCCTGGAACTATTCAATATACTGGTTTTGGTCTGGAATCTCTTTATGGTTTCGACTTCAGATAAGATGGATTAGATCCAAGGGGGTAATTCTGCTGATGGAACAGCTTATGTCAGCAGCACCATGAGCGGCTGTTTCTCCCCATGAACTCTGAACATCTCTAGAGGGCTGGGAAACCCACTGGAACAGATTTTTTGGACAGCAAAGAGGGATACAGGGAAGAGGACAGAGGGAGAATTGTGCTAGTGGGCTGTGATTAGCACAATATCCTAGTGACATTTTTCTTCTATTTTTCCAATTGTTTACTGCAGTTTGGATGTAATCCTGTGGCCTCTCAACATTTATTTTATTTTCTTAACAATATTTGTTCCCTCTCTTTTACAAGACATCCCAGGATGGCTTACAACAATAAATCAATCACAACAAGGTACAATACTGAGCAAGACAATGTTGAAACCTAATTAAAAAGATTAAATAGTAAAATAATGGGCAAATAAAAAGGGTTTTGTCTGGCGCCGAAAAGAATATAATGTTGGCGCCAGGCAAACCTCTCTGGGAACATGGCCTGGGAGTGCACAGGACTATTCAGAAACCCAGCTCCAAAGTCCTGCAACTTTGGTGTTAGATCTCCAAAGCCTGAGCCCCCATCCCAGTTCCCTGGCAGGTGAAACCATGTCAGCTGCCTCTTGAGTGCAAGCTGGCCTTGGAGAGGAGGAAAGGGGGCATGCCAGGTGGGTTGGGAGGAGAGCATACCGGGCTTATGCTGATTCTCATCAGCACCTCCGCCTCCTCCTCACCTGCTTCATCTAGATGGCTAAAAGCCCACCTGGGTGACCTGCAGGGGGTGTGGTACAGCAGAGGTGACGACTGTCGCCACACCTTGCTGCATGCATGAGGGAAGTGGGGCACAGACATGCACCCCTGGTCTCTCCATTTCGGCTGCACTTGTCATGAGACACGTGTTTTTCAGCCATGCTACCTTCTCTCTCCAAAGGACAAGGAGGAGGCCGCTAGAAACCTAAACAAACAATGCCTGCCCCATCTCTCCCTCGAGAGGAAGGTTTGGCGACTTCTGGGTTCTGACGGCAAACAGGAAACCCCGGACACTCCAGCTGGTGATCCCTCTCTAGGGCATGGCACTGGAGGAGGCTGGCCCTTGCGTGAAGCTGGATGCGGCAGGTCAGGGAGTGAGGGAAGTGGCAGGGAGGCGCTGGAAGCCAGAGCCGAATGTGGGTGGCCCTCAGGCGTGGGGACAGCAGCCAGCGCTGGAGCCAGCATGGTTCACTGGCCAGTCAGGCCGGTTTCCATGTGTGGAGGCGGGATGGGCAACGTGTGCTCCTCCATCTCAGACAACCTGGGTGGCCCTGTGTGGGAAGGCCTTTGGGTCGGTTTCTCATGTTTCACGTTAATGGCCAGGATGAGTCTGGGATACTTGCCCCTGTGCACCATCATCTTTCCAACATGATGGCTTTCAAGAAGGAATGGGACATAACTCTTTTCTTCATTTAACTCAGGCTGGCAAACGAGAAAGAACCGCCCTGGATTCCTATTGCATCCTCCCACAACCCTCTGAGGTAAATTCATAGCAGACAGGGTGTGACGTCCCTTTCAGTCATACTGGCTTGTTAATACCAGTGCCTTGTGCTTGCCAGAGAAGCTCGATGCCAACTCGTACCTGCTGCTTTGGGAATCGCCAGGAGCTGCCCATTGGGCCGCATGGATATATATTTATCTCCTATACGAAGCGTCACCTTCTGGTCCTGATACAGGAGGTCAAACCAAACGTTCTTGTCCTGTTTGGTGCTGCTGATGATACAGTCATTGGGACCCTGCAAAAAGAGGGCACATCATAGCCAGAAAGTGCACAGCGCTTGTTCCTTGCCATAAATGGGAGAAACCATCCGCTGAGGTTCTAATCCAGCGTTCCATGTTTAAATTTCAGCACTGGGTTTCTGGTCTTGCATCAAGGTTCAAAAAGAATCCTACTGTGATGGATGACACAGCACAGAATATAAAACCACAGAAACCAGTCCAGAGGAGAAGTAACAGCAAGATGCTGCTCTCAATGAGCAACATCCCAATGCCAAACATGGTTGAGTAGTAGTTCTATCTAAAGAGGATTTCTGGCACCAGAAAGGATGGAAGAACAGACTGAAGCTACTGGCTTGTATTTAGAGAATATGATTTCCCATTTCAAACTGTGTTTGTGTGACCCATGGTCCAGCCTCAGGCTGAAACCAGAAGTTTCAAGATGGCTGACGCTAATACACGAGTGCCAGTGTTTCCCATTAGTTTGGTCCAACTCCCATCTCTAGACAAACAAGTTTTGATGCACTAAAAAGGGGTGCAGAACCTGTTCCAGCCTAAGGGCTGAACTCTTCTCTGAAGCTGCTCTCAGGAATTGCATTCTAGTGATAGGTGAAGCGGAAGGCAAAATGGGCAGGGCCAAAATACAGAAAACATACTGGAATGTGTTAGCTGCACACTCTTACTGCCAGTAACCAAGCCCTAGGAGGGTTATTTACTCCTTCTGCATTTGGGGGGGGGGGGTGCAGTGGGATGTGCAAAAGCCAGGAAGGTATCAGGCAATCAGCAGTCCTGGAAAAGAGAGTGCAGCCTTGTGGGGAATCCTGACATAGAAACCATAATTGGGCAACTGTGCACTTCATGAGCAGCAGTGCTTTATTCCTCTAGTGCAATCTTGTATATATTTAGAATGAAGTTCACCTAGTTCAGTGAGGGTTACTCCCAACTAAGCTGTACAGGGCAGTAACCTAGAAGAAACATCTCCAGGCAAACAGCCCATGGCAGTTAGCTTTTTTGGAAAAGTCTGCTCAGGAATTTGTGCTTTACTGCTGTTCACACATGTTTTATGTACAGATACACTTCTCAATTTTCAGCTAAAAGGATAATTGGGTATAATGTCCCTTCTTCCCTCTTCTGTGTGATAACTGTTTAGGTGGTTGAAAAATGCTATCATATTGCCTTTCATCTTCTCAAGACTAAACATGCCAATCTTTCCTCACATGATTTAGTTTCTAGTGCTCTGGACGTCTCTGAACCTGTTTCAACTTACTGACTCCCTCTTAGAGCACGGTGCAAGGAATTAAACACAGTACTGGAGGTAAGGCCTTGGCTAGTACCTGGTAGAATGGCACTACTGCTGCTCTAGATTTAGAAAAGCTTCTTCTAGTAAAGCAATTTAAAATTGCATTTGGATTCACTGATCCTGTGAACATGTCATGAGTTGGAAGGAAGGAAGGAAGGAAGGAAGGAAGGAAGGAAGGAAGGAAGGAAGGAAGGAAGGAAACCAATTTTGATCATAACTGTCCCAACTGCTTCATGAACGAACACCAGAACATGGTTAGGAGACCTCCTGAAACTGCCGAACCTGCTTGATTTATGCCCCTGCAGACTCACCAGGGACATGTACGTGCCACAGTGGCCACGGAAGCAGACCTTCTTTGTGGCGTCGTCAAACAGCAGCTGGAAGATCTCTGTGTTGCCCACGGCCATGGCATTGGCATAGAGGTCGGCACCTGCCAAGGCAGCAAACCAGCAAAAAGCTCACCGTGGTTTCAGTCGGGGAAATGAAGCCCATCCCACCCACTCTTCTCAACACTGCTGCATGTGCCCTTGCTGCCCTTTGCTGGCCGAAATCATATTTACTGCTGTAGGTATAATTTGGAGAAAGGGGACAAAACACTCAGACATTACAGGCACCACTGTGAAGACCCCAGTGAACTGATCTTTATGACTCTCTCCAAAGGTTCTTAGGTTCTTAAGCATAGGTTCTTAACTCTCTTGAGTTTGGTATTTATCATATCAACTTGAACGTTTCAAGTCATTTGCTAGCCTCAGCTCCCCTGACAAGCAGTTCCCAGAATGCAATGAGGCCAATGTTGTGCAGCCATAGTCCATCTCTCCTGCGTGGCAGACAGAATATGTGGCATGGATGTGGGAGACGTTCACAGGATGCTTTTGCAAGCTGTCCTTGTGGGACCTGGATCATGACACTGGTCTCCTTTGTCTCACTGGGTCTGCTCTAAGGATGACTAAGTCTGGATCCAGCTCAGGTTTTTTACTAAAACTAGAAACCTATAACCTCATTAGAGCAAGTCAATGTGTGAAATCAAGGTGGAACTAACGTCCATTCTTGATCTTCATTATTCCCTTAGGGTTGGCAAGTGATAGAAGCAGCAGGCAGACTGCCCATGAGAATGTAGGTCTAACTACCCTACGTGTTATTTATTTGTATTGCGTCCATAGTGCTGACTCTTCAAAACATCCCTAATATACCACAACTCCCTGTCCTCTGGTCTTCCAGACTGTCCCTTCCTATCCACTTTGATCCTGCCAAAAAAGATCACACTCTTGCCTCTTAAGCCCTGAATGTGGTTTTGTTTTGTGGCTTCCTGGACTTTTCAGCCGGGTTGCCGACTTCGTCCCCCTTCCATCAACCACCTCGTCTTCTGGCCAGCTCACTAGCACTTCAGTCTCCCTTCCACCCTTTCATAAATGCTGCGATTCCCCCTTCACTTCTTAGTTCTATTCCATGTGCCATTTTCCATACCGAAAGTAAGACTCCATAAGACTTCCTCACATATCCTTCCTTGGGATTCCTGCATCTCATCCCCACTGAGTATCCTGCACTCGCCTAATGCCTCTGGCCTCGGAGCTCCCAGGAGCTCAGCTTCCCTCCCTCCACCAACCCAGTCTTCCGCCTGTCTCACAGGCTAGCCCTGCCCCTAGGACCTGTATGAAGCTTAATGCCAGCCACACTGATTCGTTTCCCATCCTTTGTTTCTAGTTTCCTGAACAGGTGGGATGGCCATGAGTGTTCCCTCTTGCCAGACCAGATCAGTGTCAGACGCGTCACCACCACAAACGCAGCACAAATCTAATCATGCTGCCTGCCCCCAACTCACCTGGCCTGCAGCACATGAACTTGTTGGTAGAAGAGGAGCGCAGTGAGACCTGGGCAGGGCTGGATTCCATGGAGAAGAGTTCATCCCGTCCAGGTTTGTCCATCTTTATTGTTTTCATGCTGCCCTCTCGCCCAGTCAAGTACTTTCCCTCGTCATCCCGCAGGGCAACTAAGCCACCGCTCACCTCCAGGGAGTACAAACTTTGTGGCGTGACTTCTGGCACCAGAGAACCATTGGAAGCCAAGAGTTTGCCAGCTCCGTTCCTCAATCCATACTTCTTCACTGGAGACAAAGGCAGGAGAGGTAGTATGAGAGGCTGGTGGGACTTGGGTGACCCTCATAGAAAACATTATTTAAAATTAATGCCTACAGAGCAGCATCACAGTCAATGTCCATTTTGCTGCAGAGGCAACTTCCATCATTTTAGTCCTGCTTGCCCTTGCCCTTTCCAATTGAATTTCCCTCACCCGTAATCTCTTAAATCCTTCCTCAGTTTCTGGAATAAATCTGTTTTTCAATGTAGTATGTTGCTTGAGATCCTACGAATCTTACTTTCACATAGATTTGGTGCTGACGTTGCAGCCATTTTCTTGCAGATCTAATGTTTCTGCCATTGTTGACTTGGATTATTGGATCGGACGTGTGGATTCTTGATATAGCTAGATGAAGGGTGGGGGAACGTGTGGCCCTCCAGGTATTTTAGCCTACAGCTTCCATCAGCCCTGGCCAGCATAGGCAACAGTGAGGGACATGGGAGTTGGAGTCCAGTAACATCCGGGAAGGCCCCATGCTCCCCTCCCTTGAAGTAGACAACATGGCTCTGTCTAGGCACTGCTGGGTGCACCAAAGCACAGGTCACCTTAGCCAGGGACTGAAGACTTCATGTTTCCATTTGAATGGATATGCTCCTTTGGCCACACAGTCACTGTGAACTGGAGCTTCAGTGTGCATTTTAGGCGAACAGTAGAATAAATAAGAAGTCAGGCAAAGGCATTTGTGCATGGAGGCCTTCTCTGGGCATGCATCTTCCACTGCTCTCATCCAACTTGAATCTCATTGGAGTGTTCTGCAAATGGTAATTAGCCGTTCTTTTCACAGTTACCCAAGCTAATGATGCTCTTAAGGAAATCAAAACATGTGCCATCGACAGGGACTTCTTGGGTAAACAGAATTTGAATTCACCTGGTAGGTATGGGGAAAATTGCCTTCTGTCAGCATTGCCTTCTGCCTCCAGACCTAGTGAGGAGATGCAAATGACCCAAGCTTAACTTCTGTACACATCAAAACCAGAGGACTATCTTAGAAGGCGACTGGATGGCTCGCCTGAGTGCTGCTTGGCCAGAGGCTTGTAAATAAGGCAGCGTTGCTCAACCATTAGCACTCAGCCTTGTGTTTCAAACACCCCCTGCCTTCTCTGCTACCTATTTCACCTACCATCTGAGAGTACTGGAGAACTTCACGCAAGTGTGTGAAAAGGAGAGTGTTGTTATGCTGACTGCATTTCCGTGGGATTTTAGTGTTTCAGGGATTCTTCACACAGCATTATAAGCTGATCTGGCAGGGGAATCTCTTTTTGCATGAGGGCTAAATTCAGTTTTGAAGACATTCTTGTGAGCCACATTCCAGTGGGACCAAACACAAATGGAGGGGAGCGAGAATGCACAACAGTGCCTGCATATAGCAGCTTAACGTTCACACGGCTAGGAGCTAAGCCTTGGGAAAGGGATTTCAGTCATTTAGGGAGAAGAGAATGTTCACAAAAGCTAGGAAGCCACCAAATGATTGGAGGTCAGAGGAAATGTTGGGGCAAGGAGAGGGAGGTGGTCTTTTAGGGAAACTCGGAGAACTGGACTTGGCCCCCTGTCCTGGGTTCCCTCACTCTGCTTGAAACACACTGAAATAATTGTTCAAGAAACCAAAGTGTGAAAGTGCTTTGTTGTGGGGATAAGATGGAGGAGGAGAATGATGTAAGCTGCCTTGAGCCCTTTGTAGGGAAAAGGCAGGATAAAAATCGAAAAACAAATAAATAAATAAATGTGCATGGCAAGACCAACAAGACAAAACTAAAATTTTCCATATCTCCAAAATGATTGTGTGCAAGACTTTTTAAGGGAGAGGTGCTGGACTGCAGGCCTTGGGGCCAAATCCTGCCTTCCAGGATTCCCCAGGCAGCCATATACCCTGTTGCCTTTACCAGGCCTTCGGTCATTCACATCATACCCAGTTTAAGAAGTGACAGAATCCCACGGCACTATTACCTCTGGGGAAGAGCTAAGGTGATAGGACAGTCCTGTTGATTTTCCAGTTCTAAATATTTTAAAAGACCAGGCAGACTTCTGTTCACACTCAGTTTGGAGACATGGAAGTGTTTTTGCCTTGTCACTCCTGCCATGGACTTGTGTCTGCGTACTCACACCTCTCATGCACTTTGGTCCCTTCAACTATTTTCGTGGGATAATATCAGGCATGGCTACTCAGGCCAGGAAGTCAAGTCAGCTCTCAGGGGTTCCCTAGATGGTGACACTCCTTCGCTGCCCCTCCCCTTTCCCTTGAATTATGCTTTTTATGCTAGAGTGATGAAATAGAGAAGCGTCAAGCCTTCAAAACAATAGACACAAAACACATCTTTAAAAGTTCACACACAGAGAGAAATATTGTACTGCAAGAGTAGTATCACAGCAATTATTCAGCAGGTGACGTGTCATGATGTACCATGTCACGCGATAGAGCAATTACACAGCACAATGTATAGCTAACAGAAGAAAAACTGCATCTTCCCTCATGTAAAGAAATGGGCAGCTTGGGGAAAAACAGTATTCCTCTGCAACAGAAATGAAATCTGAGGGACCCAATGCAGACTCTAAAACAAATATAGAAAATAATGGATTTAACATGCTGCAAACTGAGCAGAAGGACCTCAGTCTTAGTCACTCCTCAATTCACTCCTTTTTAGCAGACTAAAGATGGCTAAGAGCAGTAGGTTTAGGCCCTACTCTAGCTCCAGTTTGACGTACAACTAACTCAAGCTGAAAATATTGGCATCTTCAGTGGGATTTATTATCTTCGTAAATATATTTAAGCTCAGGGTCTTGATTATGACCAATGTGAGCTCCACTGGAGCTTTTTACTCTCTGGGCTTAGCAGATTCTTTTCATTTTAAATCAGTGCTTTTATGGAATTCGTGGGATTTAAAGATGTACTCTGCTCCTTGAGGCACTACCCAGCCTATCTGATTTCAAGGTCAATTTTAAGAGTGGGCTGGCTGAAGTTTTCTGTGTTGGAACAGAAATGGCGTTCTCTTTAGGCCAACCTACCTATTGACATCATTTCCAAATTTTGTGAGTCATCCAATTGTTCTCCTGTGTTTATTTTGCTTTGATCCTGAACCCTCCAGGCTGAAGCCCTGTGCAAAGGAAGAAGAGTCAAGTGGGACAATTCTTCCAACCTACCTCTGAAATCATAGTAGATGGTGATGACTGATTCAGCCCCCCAGGGCACGTCACGATCACAACGCAGCACCCCAGCCTTCTCGTCGCAGCGCACGTAGCGCTTCCTGTTGGGGCTGAACATTGCAACATTGGGATGCACTGCCAGGTGCAGGGTCCATTTTTCGGTTTCAGTGGCAGCCTGGGCAAAGCAAGTCACATTGTCCTCTGCCCCCCCCAGGTAGCGCTTGGACTGCTCGTTCTGCAAAGACACCTGCATGAAGGGGGGAGAGGTGTCCAGTCAGTCTCATTAGCCAATGTGGGAAGCGAGAGAAATGCTCTCATTAAGGTGGCAGAGGGCCCTCAAAGGTTCGGGTATTAAAAGTTCACCCACATGAATCAGCCACACCCTTATGGTTGATGCAACAGTCATAGCGATCCATTAAACTAGGATACCTTTCTGCCCTAGGGCTGTTTCAGTGCTTCCCCTCCTCATCAGTACTAAGTAGTTGATTACCACTCCTTCGGCCAAAAGGAACAAATACTGGCCTTGGGGCACAAAACTACTTTCCCAGGGAGAACACGGCTCGCTCACCAGAGGGGGAAAGGCACTTTCTCCCAGTTGTGCAGCACCAGAGAGCACAGGATGCTCCCACCTTGACTTGGCGTTCAAGCCCAGCAGAAAAGGGCCCCTTCTCACTGCCACAACAAACTGGTTTCCAAGCTCAGCACCGGAATACAATACTGTACCCACATCTGCTTTCTGCCCACTGCGATGGGGAAAGATACTTACAGTCATCAAGTGAGGGCTGAGCACCTTGCAGAGGAATCAAGGGGAGGCAGGGCCCAAAATACCACCTGGCTGAGCTGGAAGCGCTTCTTGCCAGCAAATAAAGTAAACCTTAGGAGAGGCCTTTCATCCTTTTAGAGCTAGGGCAAAACTACTCACAGTGAACTGCCCATTCTGGGAAAGATGTGGAGTCTGTAGAAGTTGTGTGGCAATACAGGGCAGCCTTGAGACCTGGATGGAGACCCCAGAAGAGCTGCATTTGGCCTCTTCCCTGCCATTCAGGAAGGCCCGTATTCGGAAGATACTCTGTATTGGGGTGCTATTTTTATACCTTCTTATCTCTTACCACCACCCTGTTCCTCCAAATCCAACTCCTCTGTGCAGAAAATACTGGGAAGAAACTAGTATAACAAATAATGAGGTTGTGGATATGCAGCTGGGACTGGGATGGCTGGGCTTATGCCTGAATGACTGCACCTTGCCATCTGGATACTGATGCAGCAGGAAGAAGGTCTGAGGCCCTGGTTTATCCTGGTCGCAGGTGACTTTGCCATTTGCGTCCGCTGCTAAGTAACGCTTCAGGGCACTGATCAGATGGAGTTTCTGGCCAGCCCCTTCTCCTGGGCCAGCTGCCCCCGCTCCATGTGGGGACACAAACTGCAGCACCCACACCTGGCGGGGCTTCAGTTGCTTGCCCGTGGCTGCCACCTGGAAGCGGAAAGATTCGGCAGTCAGGTACCGGTTGGCTGCATTGACAAGGCCAAATTCTAGCGAGACAGTCATGGTGGCATAAAGGAAGGCTTGAACAGCACCAGTTCTTCAGGTGAGCTAGCTGGGCCACTTCAGATTAATCCTGGGCATTTGAGATCACAGAGGGTGCTTAGCAACTAAGCAAGCCCCACTGCTCAGCATCCAGCCCCACCTACAGAAGTTTCTCATCCAAGACAGAATCTGAAAGGCTGGGAAGACCTCAAGCTTCCAGGTTCTACTTTGTTACCAGAATTCTGAGAGCCACTGGGGGTTGCTGGGTGGGTGAGTGGGTGGTGGGGAGCCAGGTACATTAAGAATTAAATTAAATTATGAGCTCAGGAACATTTTCTGGGTACCAGAACTGAACTGGAAAGGATCAGGAGGTCACAGTACTTCCATACAAAATCTACTCCTGATTATCTTCCAAACATTTATAATCTCTAAGTACAATTTAGTGGCAGAGATCTTCCCTCTGACAATGACAGCACTAGATGCATTGCAATGGCAAAATCCACCAGTTACAGGCAACACGCATTTACAACAAAGTAGAGGCTCAAAGGAAGAGGTGAAAGGTTTGTCACCTCCAGGACTTTTTCCCCAAGGGAGGACTTAGCACATGGGTTCAAAGAACTTTGTGGCTTTGCAGAAGCACTCTTCCTCAAACACGGAGAAAAAAATAACATCTGACAGCTCCATTACTACCAAATGTTGAGTTTCTACTTCCCTGCGCTGAGGATTGAGAATGTCAGAGAAGCTGAGAATGATGCCACCAGGAGGCCAGACTCTTCCACTGGGCTGGTCTCTTAGCAGGGTCACCCCAGGCAGATTTATCAAAGTGGAGCCAGACTAAGATGCTTCCACACTTTTCAGCAAGAATAGTCACATCATCAGACAAGAATTGATCTCTCATGGTGGAGGCACAGAATCTCCTGAAGGGCAACTACTGGGCAGTAGTGCCAGTTTATTTATTTATAATATTTATATGCCGTCCTGTCGCAAAAAGCCTCAGGACGGCTTACAGCAGTTGAAAGTGAAACCAGTGAAAAACTTTTCACAGAACGGCAGCGACACTAAAGCTAACTCTGGGTAGTACTGCACAATGGTAAGCTACTTCTGAATTGTCTGACCACTGCGAGAAGATGGTGCCAGAAGATGAGGCTCCTAGGTATGGAGGCATTCAGCTGGATTCCGGGCAAGAGCAAAGGTCAAGTACAAATAGTGCTGTTACTGATGATGCAACTAGATCAAGGCCCAAAGGAAGACTAGTGACTGACATGCACAAATGTGAAAGGAAAGTCCGAAGCTGCAGAACACACACAATTGAACATAGAATATGAGAGGTATGAATCAAGGTAAAACAGAAAAGATAAGGAAAAATTGAATGATTAATGATTAACTATAGTGGACTGAAATGGGAAGTTTTCATGACCAAATACAAAGCGTTTCCCCCTGGAAATGACAAGCTCAAAAGAAATGGAGTGGCTTTATACTGAGACAAGATACAGCTCTGGCTGTAAAAGGCTCTAACGCAGTTTGACTGAATCATATCAATCAGATATTTCTGGAAGCTTATCAATGGAAACATAATTCACATCTACAATCCAACAACAGATACTGAATTAGAAGAAATTTCATGCAGGTATTTCAGAGGAAAGTGATAATGCACCAAAACAAGACATGCTGATAATCACAGGTTCCTGGAAAGCAAAGGTAGAAAACAAAGCAGAATCCAATATTGTGGGAGAATTTGGCCTAGAGGTCTGAAACAAAGCAGAAGAATGACTCATAGAATTCTGTGCAACCAACCATCTGTTTATTGCAAACGCTTATTTCAGACAACCGACCAGAGGGCTGTACACATGGACATCACCAGATGGCCAATACAGAAATCAAATCAACTATGTAATTGGAAATAGGAGAAGCAGCAGCTGAATTCTTGCTGCCAAAACAAGACCAGGAATAGATTGTGGTTGCAACCATGAACTAGTAATATCAAAAATCAAAGAAAAGCTGAAAAAGATCACTAAGAGAAGCATAGTGCCATAATACATAGCATTCCTGAAGAATTTATAATCTACACAAAGAACAGATTTGCATTACTGAACTCAACTGACTGTGAGCCAGAAGTACTGTGGACTGACACCAGTTACAGCATTAGAGAAGAATGCAAAAAAGGTAATTCTTATAGTAAAAAGAAAAAGCCTTGATAGAAGATGGCAGAAGCACTCCCAATTGCTTAGGACAGGCAAGAAGCAGAAGCAGAAGCAAAAGCAAAAGGTGACGGAAAGAGGGCCAGAATCCTGAAAGCAACTTTACCACAACTATCACATAAAAACAACAAAGATTAAATAAAGATTAAATAAATCAAAGGGAAATTCAAACTTAAATTAGGAATGCTAAAAGATCAACAGATAAACAGGTGTGCAAGCAAAGTGATGCTCAGGGTATTGCAATGAAGAATCTACCCTTTATGAAATAAGAAATGGCAGACATGCAAGCTGGATGCTGAGAAGGACCAGGCACTTGAGGTCGTATTACAAATATGTTGACTGCTAGGGCATACCCAGACCAGTCTACAGCAAAACCTTTTGACCGTGTGTATCGTAAGAAGCTATGGGTGGTTCAGAAAGAAGTGGGTGTACCTGCCTCAACACCCGATTGCCTTGATACGTAGCTGCATCACAGAGAAGCCGCCACTGTTGGGACAGAATATGAAGAAACGAATATGAAGAAACAATGGATTCCTATAGGCAAAAATGTCAGCTAAGGTTGCATTTTACCTTCCTATCTGTTCAATTTATATAGAGGACGGAGAAAGCAGAAAGAAATTAATTGGAACGACTCCTCATGAAAGTTAAAGAAGCATAAAAGCAGGACTGCAGCTGAACATTAGGAGAACACAAATCATGACTGCAGACACATTATGCAACTTTAATGTCAACAATGCAGAAATTATGAGAAATTTTGCATCATTTGGCTCAGTCAGCAATTCACAGGAAAACTGTAGCAAAGAAATCAGTAGATAATTGAGACTTGGAAGGGCTGCAATGCAGGAATTAAAAGACTATCAAAAGTAAAGAAGTTTCACTGGTGAGCAAGACCAAGATCATCTGTAATATTATATTCCCAATCACAATGTATAGGTGTAAAAGCTGTACAGTGAAAAAAAATTGATGTGTTCAAACTGATACAGGAGGGAAGCTCTGCACACACTCTGGATCAACAGAAAAAACAAGCAGGTGTTAGATTAAATCAGGACAGAACTTGCCCTGGAAGCAAAAATGATGGGGCTGTCATACTTTGAGCACATCATGAGAAGGCAAGACTCATGTGGTGTAGCAGCTAAGAGCATAGGCCTGGCACTCAGGCCACCTGGGTGCTAGTCCCTGCTCAAGCCATGGAGCCACCTGGGTGACTTAGGGCCAATCAGACTCACAGCCCAACCTACCTCACAGGGTTGTTGCTGTGGGGATAAGATTGAGAGCAGGAGGAAGAATTAGGTCAGCCATTTTAAGTTCTTTGTAAGAAAAAAGGCAGTATATAAATGTAATAAATAAAAATGATGCTAGGCAGAAGACGACAACTAAATACATGGCGGCTCAATTCTACAACTGAAGCTGCAGCCTTGATTTACAATTGCTGAGCCGGGTTGTCAAGGACAGGATATTGTGGAGGGCACTCATTCATATGGTAGCAAAAGTCAGAGACAACTTAATGGTACATAACCATTCTAGTACTGATAGAAAGAAATCTTCTAGCAATAGGGACAATCTGCTTGTAATTAACCCCGCTCCCAGAAATAAAGCCCCTGCACCAATACTCTCTATTAATTTATGTGGAATATCTACCATGACTGGTTCTAGATGAATTGAGTTCTAATCTAAGAATGCTTGTGCTACACTGAATTTCAATAAACCAAAAGATTAAAGAAACACACTTTGGTTTATAAAGCTTGTATTGAAAGAATGGGGGAAATTTATGTTTTTACCCCATTAGTCACAGACTGAATAAATAGAGTGTTTCAATTTGAGGGATGTTTGGATTCCAGTTCCCATTCACCCTAACAAGCAGTTAATGTTGAGACTATGAAAGTTGTAGTCCAAAACATATGGAAGGTACCCAATTATCTACCTTAAAGAAATAAGGCTGGAGGAAGACAGGCAAGTCACAACAACAGAGAACTATTAGTTCTCTTTTTGTGAACTTTCAGAACTTGTACTTAGGACTACCCATTTAGCACCTAAATATTAAGTACTGAAACCAATGACAGGAAGCCAAACTTTTTAAGGCAGGTAGTTCTTGAGAAACCAAAAGGAAGGACAGACTGTTCCAGATATAGTATAAACTCTTATTTTTGGAAAAGTAAATGAAGTCCACTCCATCTCTTTTCAAGTATTCAGTACATTGTTTGTGGTCTCTCAAGGCAAGCTATCCTTATTAATGGCAGTGATTGTTACAGACTTTTATACGAGATGATGCAACGAAGATGGAAAAGAATCAATTAGTGATAAATTTTACTAAATCCCAAACTAAATGTAAGATGGGTCCCTTAACCATAATCTGGACAAGTTATTGCTTATCCCTCCTTCAGTTTGCATTTGCTGCTGTCATTCCTTTTGACATTCTACTTCAAATTCCACTTTCAAAATATCCGAGAGTGGCATACATATTTAAGACAGCTTCATTTCCCTCTCCGTTGTTCACTCCACCAGTTATCCCATTTTGTGAAACTTTAATGATTTCTCTTCCTCTCTAGGCTTCTAAAACAAACATGAGCAATCAATGAACTTTTCTTAGGCCAATGCTAAACAGTGGACCCTAATTAAGTATTGAGTGTTGCAGAAGCTCTCAAGACTCTATCTTCCCTCTGCTACTAGGGATCCTTTAAATTGGGAGAGGCAACCTATTTGCCCTCAGCCAAAAGATCAGAGGTCAGTAGCATTTCTAATGAAATTTAGAACAGCATTTAGTCCAATGACCAAGGTGAAACAGCCACGAAAAAATTTCATGCCCAGATCCCTCTCCAGCCTAAATCCGTACTAATCCACAATGAGGTTAGGACTGTTTAAAAATAAAGGTTTGACAAAAAGGACATATTCTCAGGGATGCAACTTATACATCAAGAGTTCAGACTTAGTCTGAAGTGTTAGAATGATGAGATAGAAATTTAAGCTTTTAAAAAGGCATTTTAATTTGTGTACATAAAGTGTTTTTGAAACTAGTTTAGCATTACATAAAGCCATGGCTGTACAAGGGCTTCCATCCAGCCAAAATATGGCATCCGTCTTTTTAACTGCCTTCACTCTCACGTCTAGGTCACATTAGCCCATCCCTCGGACAGTCCTTTTTCATGGAGATTCTATAAAACAACTCACCCTGCATTTTAAAAGTTACAAAATGAAAAAAGAAACCATACAATGCAGTATAAAAGATTGACAATATCATCAAGTTTATTACACAATTTCCAACCTATCAGAAAAAGACAAACAAATCAAATCACAAAGAACAAGAGTGGAAGAGTTGAGGGGAACCAAAGCGAGGTTTCCATCGCTCGTTGCTTTTTCTTTTTTTACTTTCATTATTTCAAAACAAACTAAAAATGTCCCATTATGTAAAAAGCAACTTTCTCCAATTCTTTTATACTTTACAGTTTAAACTGCCTCTCCATTTGTTTACCTAACTTTTTTCCTCTTTAAAAAAAACATTTAGAGCTGAGCACCTCTTTGAACTACAGTACAAAAGGAGGTACCACATCACAGGGTGACATCCTTCGCTAGACACCATCCATCCTCTTTAGGCCACAGAACTGTTCTGTGAGATAGGACAGGGTCCTTCTAAGAGGGGGGCTTCATCGTGCAGCCAGACACTTTCAGTCACATTGAGAGTTCATGAATGTAACAGATGCTTGGCTTTACAAAACAGATCCAGGGGCTGGAGACTGTGTATTCCAGGGTACAGTGTTTCATCTTGACTTTAACTAACTTGGGTGCTCAAGCTAGGATGGAGTTTTGAAAGCTGAAAATGCACCCCCCACCCCCCGTTTACATCTTAAAGGCGATTGCTTTAATTAAGAACTCTGAAGCCATTCCTGTCTTGTAATGCTCCTTTATAGCAACATTGATGCCACTAGCCTGAGTGGCTCCAGAGAGCCTAGTTTATGTTTACACATCAGTTAACATGGTGGATGTGAACAGAGGCTTTTCACGGCCCGTTTCACTAGACTGCCATGCCAGAGATCAGTGAGGTATGATGCCATCTGAAGCAAACTCATGAGTGAATCGCTCTGAAGTGAACCCAATTTAAAATGAGTCTGTGGGCAAGGAAGTTCTGGACCTTAAATCAATACATACATCACATAGAATTTAAAAATGCTGAGGGTGCACTGCATACAGTAACTTCCAGATAGCCCCAGCTTGACTTTGTCCCCATTTCATGCTACTGCAACAGTCAGATCTCCATTCACAGCACTTCCTCTATAACAAGGAAAGTGGCACTCTGGGAGGGGCCGGCTCTTGAAAAAAAGGTTTAGGCAAGAAGTTACTATTGGAGCAGCTATTGCATGAAACAAAGCGAGGAGCTTGTTAGCAAATCACGTATGGAGAGGGGACCTGCAGTAGCCAGAGCTAGATCTATTTCTTACAAAGACTCCATGTTGTAAGTAGGTTGACAGACGCAGGCCCCTCTAGAAGAAGCCAGGTGGAAAGGATATGATAGTTTTCAGGAACCAAGAAGGGGAAGAGGAAAAGGGTGACTGGAAGCAGCAGCCAGCCTGCCCTCCATGTGAGGGGAGGTGGGGAGAAATACTGTCTTCTAAGCTGTGTACAATGGAGTTAGGGGCAAGACTGAAGCTGCGTTGGAAAAAAGGATCAGATTTAAGGAGGACTGGATGCCTTGATGCCTGAGAAGACAATGCAATGTGGACTGTGGACACAAGCTCCAGTGAGACTATGGTCAGACATCTTGTGCTGTGCTGAAGCACCAGTTCTTCTTCAGGAGACAAACCAGATGGTTTTTTTCCCCGGGTGCTCATAGAAAAGCCATGGAAAGACAAGAGGCGGTAGACCTCTGTGGAAAGCACCATTCTCTTTGGGTCCAAAATCCATGGACTGAAGTGGCCCCCTGTTCACAGTGGCTCAGACAACCCCTCCAAAACTCCAAGTCATTCAGTGTTTCTCCATCAAGCAGCAGCACACACAGGCAGAGCTCAGGTCCCCATGCCGCAGTGTGCCAGATGGAGTTCTGCAGGCAAAGTTACTTCCAAGGGGTCTGGAAAGAGCAGAGGGCAGTGGGAAGGAGAGGGTGGAGATGCCTCCATCCTTGAGTCTTGATTAAGGAGAGGAGATACAAGTCCATAAAAACACTGAATGCTTCCCACGCTTCTGCAAAGGGACAAAACAAAGCAGTGTATCAGTCATTTCTATAGCAACTTTAAAGAGCACTGTTTGGAAAATGCAAAATTCTTGACCTCAAGGTGGAAGACACTGTTATTTCTACATACAAAAATGGCATGAGGCTAGACGATTCTTAATTCATAACTCATGACTGAGCTGGGCTTGGATCTGAACCAAGACGCAGCACTCTACCCACTGAATCATCCTGGGTGTTGGATAACTATCATCCTTCCTGATAGTACAGTATCCTTCAGTGGAACAGACTTGCCCTGCCGCCACAGAATTTGCTCTGAAAGGTTGGATGACCCTTGGAGCAGATTTTGGGGCGTATGTGGACTTCAGGAACAGGAGTGTAACAGAAAGCTCAATGGCATAAACAAAGTTAGACAGCATCTACTGAATCAGACTCAAGCCCTAGACAGATATCTGCTCCAGTCCTAATGTGGCTTTGGGAGCAGTATAGATTGTGATAGTTCAGCTGAATATACTTAGAACACTTGTTACAATTTATTAACTGGAGCCATTGTTTTGAACGAATTAAGCTGTTTTAATTAAAAACCAGTAGTGCTAGTCACCTACTAATTTCAATAGGGCTACTAAGTATGTTTAGATCCAGTCCTATGTGTATAACAAATTCTGCATACTTCACATACTTCGATTCTTGTTTCAGAGAAATGTATAATGCTCTTCATTTGGAAGAAGCAAGAAACAGGAAATTATTTTAAAAATTGGAAAAAATAGCACTGTTACTCTAGCTGTGCAAGTTTTACCTTGACCCTTTCCAATTTCAAAGCATTTAGTAAAAAATTCCAAATATTTTCTACTCTGAAGCCACAAGAACTAGAAACCTGCCTTGAAAACCGTGACTGAGATTTTCTGAATCCAGAAATATTGAATTCAGCATCAGAGAATCAACTCCACTAGTTTTGCTGTAGCTTTTTCCAAATGTTTGTACATGAAAAAAGCCACCCATTTCATAGCCTTTTAATTCTAATGCTAGAGACGTGTCTTCTTGCAAAGAGGAGCAGAGAAAGGATGGGACGGATCTAATTACTCCATTTTTTAGTTCTTCAAGGCATTGACTTCTGGACCTTACAAAAGTAGTAAAGGTGGATTTTGCATAAAGGAAATGAGGATGATGTTGGTAGCTGCAGTCCCAATATGAATTTACAACTAGTCCTTTGTCCAAGCTTCACACTGACACCACAGCATGATCCTACCCTACAGAACAAATCCACTTGTCACTGTGGGATGGGTAAGGAAGGAAATCATGCTGAAGTTCTGCAATAACAGTTGTTCTGAGCTGCAGTCATTCAGAAGCAGCTGACAGCTTATATGCTGCAAATTACCTATATCTAAGCATCAGACTCAAATTTCAGGTTGCTTAGAGGAAAGAATTGAGCAGGATTAACTCCCTTCCATTTGAAAATTGTTCCCTAGCAGAACAAGTACAATGAAAATGCAAAAATGCATGTCTTTGTATGGCTAGTGGCTAAAGATGCACATGTGGCTATTCCATTCACAGAAGGAAAAGAAACCATGGGAATTCTTGCAAAACCTAACGGAAGCTAACCTTAATTTAGATAGCATCCCAAAAGGGGGCGCTATTCAAATTGAGAGACAAGAGGCTGTTTTTGAAATGAAAAGGCTGGGGAGAGGGAAGCATTTTGGAAAGATCTCTCACTTCTCTCAGTGATGCCGATCTCTTTCTCTGTCCCTGTCTCTGTGTCTCTCATGCTCCCGGCTTCTTTCCTGGAAATAGTCCTCATGTCGATCTTCATTATGGACCACATCTCGGTGCCTCCTACTGCTCTCACGGGATCGACTGGGTGATCTATCCCGAGACCGATGTCTTTTTCTGGAAAATAAAGCCAAACATCTAGGGTTCTGACAAAGTATGACCAAAATGCCTACTTACTTCTTCCTCTACAAAGGCTGTACAAAAGACCAGGAAGGTAACCAAGTACATGCAAGACTAAATCACCAGCAAAATAAAGCCAGCTATATCACTTCTGTCTGCTGGTGCTTACCTGGAAGAACTGCTGCTGCTGCTGCTGCTGCTGGTGCCCATGCTGTAAGACTTGGCTTCAATGCCATGAAGACAATCCTTGAGCGAAGAGATAAGGACTCTACATCGCTCATCATTCGCCACACGCGACTGCTTGATCACGGCAATAGCTGTAAGCAAGGTCTCAATGGCATCGCTGTAATCCCCTGCGATATAAGAGCAAAGGCAACACGGTAAGGTCAAGGCCTAGAGTTAGGAGTCAAAGAGGGACCGCAGCAGCCAGCTGTCGTTACCTGCACTGGCACCAGACACAGCTTTGGAAATGGCACTGCTGGAAATTGCTCTATTCCTGTTCATGATATCTTCAAATTCAGCTTCACTGACAGGGGGCGGCAGAGGGCCCAAATCCCGGCTGCAGGACACAAATATACACTAATCATTCAGAGGCAAAGGACAAACCATGGCAACACTTCCTGATCTTCCCTCTCCATTCCTTAAAGAAGGCATTAGTAACCAGGATCCCTAAGAGCCAGTGCTCATGCTGGCTGATCTTTCCCATCATGTGGCAACTAGAGAGGCCAACAGCATTTTCTATTATTTATTTATTTAAAGGTTGCTTTTTTAAAACAGATCATTCCATAGCAAACACTCTCAGAATGATTTACAGCAGAAAACATCAAAATACCATAACAATCATTAACAATTCAAAAATAAGTAATAATAATGCACAACACAAGACACTAATCCAGAGCAACCAACCAATCATCAGCTTCATAGATGGGGCGGCACAACTGAGAACTACCACTAGCCCTCTCAACAGTGGGGTACTCCTTCCACCGTATTATGAGTTGGTCTTTTTTTTCCTCAAAAAGAATTTTGCTTGTATGCAAATTTAATGAGAAACACAAACGTTCAATAAAATTGTTGACAATAAAAATCAGTGCTGCACCCTTTTAATACCAAGCCAAATACCACCTCTCTGTGACAGCGGCCTCACTAGCTCCAAGACCTGGAGAGCACTCTTTGCACACGCTCCTCCCAAATGCCTGTGAACAGACGCGTTCTCACCTGCTGTGGTTGTACGGTGCAGAGGTCTTATTGTAGGCATCTGGCGGAGGCCCCATAGCTGCATTTGGTGGAGGGAAGAAGGCTGGGTTGAGGTGCAGTGCAGGGGGGACTGCCCCTGGAGGTGGCACAGTGAGGTGAGGGGGGAGTCGAGGGGGAGGGGGCATCAGGTGTTGGTAGTGGATTCCTGGTGGGGGAGGTGGAACCCCGAAGCTTGAGGACAGTGGTGGAGGGGGCGGTATTGGTGGAGGTGGAAGCCCCATGAGAGGAAGCGCAGAAGGAGGGCGGTTAAAGAAAGGCAAAACGGAAGGCGGCTTCTCAATGCGTGGTGGTGGCACAGCATTCTCTGTTGGAGTGGCTCGGCCATCCACCGAATCTGAGGAATCCCTTGAGTGAGCCCTCGGAGGTACCCCTGTCAGACATCACAGAAGAGGAAAAACACTGAGCAAGGACGCCTGGGTAGGAACAGGAGCCAAATAGGCACATCTCCCACTTTCCAGTACATCAGCAATTGAACCCTTAGAGCCCCGAAACAATATCCCCTTCTCCCAAGTAACAGAAAGCTCACATCTTCCAGCAGGCACAAAGGGTGGGTATTGCCAGCACTTGCACACAGGTTTTCAGAGCCATCTGGTTACCTTCCTGACACAGTGGAAATCTGCATTTCTAGTCTCTGTCAAGAGGCAAGTGAAGCTAAACTGCTGTGTACTATGAGGAAAAGGCAGCAGTAATGCAAACTAATTATTTAATGCTAGCTAGGATGTATGAAAAAGATCATGACATAGTAGACAGTTCCTTCAATTTCTGAATCAGTTAAGATCATTTTTTAATACTTAGAATATCTTAATTGTGTTACACTTTTCAATGTAAATGGAATATATGTTTACTTGGACATTCAGGTAATACTCAGCATCTATACAGTGCTTTAGTGTTCAAAGTGCTTTACAAATTAGCTCACTAATCCTGATACTAATTCCATTGAGCAAGTTACACTTATCTCTAGGATGGAGATGGGAGCTAAGTCCAACAGACAGTACTCAAGGTCACCTAAAGATTGAGCTGCTAAGGTAAAATTTGAACTGGAGAATTTTCAATTTTACAGTTCAATCTAGTATGCAAGTTATATAAGACAGAATAAGATTACTTATGTAACTGAAGCTTAGCAGGAGAGAGAAACTTGTCCTCTTAAACTTTCATTTACAAATCTTACCACAGAATATTTACTTTTAGAGATGCAATTACAAGAAATATGTTTCAAATACTATATATAGCCTATTCTTGGGAAGTTCTTGGGGAACATGATGAGCAGTGGGTACAGCTCAGCAGATTAGAAACTAAGATCACTCACTATCAAAAATAAATACGGTAGACTCCCGACTATTCGGCTCGCGACTATCCGGCCTCCATACTATCTGGCCTAGCTAAAAAATAACTATCAATGAACAGTAAAATAAGTTTAAATAATTTATGTAAGAATTAAGCCTATGTTTTACATTAATGTTTTGTTTATTTTAAAAGTGTATGTATTCATACTGTACAGTGTACATGATTTTATGTTTCCTGCAATTAAGTTAGACATTATAAAATTTATCTTAAAATATGTACAATATTTTTATCCTTGGACTTTTTTCTGTAATAAATTTTTAAAACCTACAGTACAGTACATAACAAACATTTATAAAGTACTGGCCTGTACTAAGAGGTCAGAAAATATGAATAAGAGCGGGTTTTGGTATAAAAAGGGTGTTTTTAATGGTATGGGTAGGGTAGGAAGTGAGCATTTATAGAACTCCAGCCTATCTGGCTTTTTTGTTATCCGGCCTGCCCATGCGCCACATTAGGCCGGATAGTTGGGAGTCTACTGTATATTGAAAGCTTTCATTAAGAAAAAGTAAAATCAGAAAGTTGTTAGAGCAAACTGAAGAACCAGAAGTATGATAGCGTCCTGGTTTGCACCTAACAACCTAGAATATAGACTGCCACTGTATTGACAGACCTTGCACTGTTTTTTAACTATAGTTTTTAACCACAAACAACCTAGAAATTCTGGGCTATTTGTGGCAAACAACTCATAGGTAAATCATAGTGTAGGAGTCACACATAATGACCACCCATTCAGCAATATATTGGCAACTCATACTTAAGCCTTATTCTGCATTGCTGCTATGTGCAGAAACAGCCAACTGAGAGGTAGCAGAAAGATAAATTATGATCAGTGTTGGGATAATAGCTGAATAGCCCATTCCCAGGCATACTGGGAGCTAAGACTAAATATTTTTAGAGGAGGAAGTAAAACCAACATGTGCTACATCATTATCTTCATGGTTCAGTTAAACTAAATTTACAAACCAATTCCCTAATCCCCCCCTTTCAGTGTGCCTTTAGCTGTAGAACAAACATTCATGACTGCCCTTTAGAAATGTCAGATTTGGGAGAGAACTGATCTAGGCGGAGAACCAAGCTGCTTAACCAGCTAATACTTTGGGCCTATGTCAGTAGCAAGTGGTTGCAAGTCAGTCCCAACTAATGACGTCTGATTAGATATGCCTGAAAAAAAGACTAAGGCTAATGGCTATAAAATGGTAATGAAGGATCTTCCTATTGATCCAATTCAGTTAAACCAAGACAAGCAGACAACAGGCTTGTGGGATCCATTTTGCTCTTTTACTGGAATCCCAAGGTTCACTAAGTGAAGCCAGGAGTAATTTAGTGATTCGGAAGACAGAGCCAACGTGCCACTGAACCCCATGAGCCAGACACTGGAGTGGCATGCATACACAAATACAAATCTGAGCTGAGTTACTACACATCAAGAATTTTAGTAGTCTAATTTAAATCTAAATATTACTACTGTTAAACAACTGGGAGTTGGAGACCCTTGATGATCTACTGCAAACCTGAATCTGTAGACCCTGCTGATCCACATGTCCATCCCTGGCTTAATATTAAAATGTACCTTTAGTTCAAGTGAACTGATGGATAAAAGCATTACTTGTTACTATAAAAGCACCACAAGAATGGACTTCTTTAGGGAAGCTGGTAGTAGGACATCGTTACCCCTACTCTGTTTCTATTATGAAAACTCGAATGAGTGGAAACCTGAACTATGAAAATTGTGATTATAGATTTTATATAAGGCCATCTAGACCTAAATTCTAGAAGATATCCACACGCACCCCATCATCATCAGGAACTAGTTTACTAGTTAAGGCTTTAAGACAGAGCACAAAATGTCAAAAGCTACCATGCTATATAAGATGACAAACATCAATAGGCTTGCATTGTACATGGATGAGCTTTTATTTATAATCAATGTCTAATCCAAATGGGAAAGAAAATCTGCCTCTCCCCCTACATAATTGTTATACATGAAATGGTAAAAACTGTAGAATCTGTTGAGACTAGCACCCAACATAGTAGTAGACCAGTAATATTTGGTTTATATAATTTAAGTTATGCCATTATAGTTTCATCTGAGCCTCATACAAATGTTCAAATAATTCAATTCAGATTCCATATATACTCGTGGATCTCAATAAACAATTATATTAATAAACACAAGATAAAGAAACAAAGGGGAAAGCTAAGTACTGGCAATAGACAATTGACGGAACTTGATTTTTAAAAAAGGCATTTAATACTATCTTCCATTGCTGTGAGCCATTTGCTTGGTTACAAAGAAAACCTCTTGATTTGCGAGTTTCACCTTTGTCCTTTCCCACTGAGGAGTTATGGACCACACAGAAATAATAAAACCATGCTGACCAAAGTACTGTACTTAGAGTCAACTTTATTTGACACAAACCAAGATGGCAATAATATGGAAGGGCATTACAGGAAATTTTTTTACAAAGATTTACAATGTCTGAATAAAGCCAATATTTTTTAAAAGTCCCAGGTTAAAAAAAGCTGTGTGTCATCTTAATTTGGGTAGGTAGGATTCATAATATACAATATGCTCAACGGTAATATGTAATGAGATTTGAAACACCTTTTATTAAGAACCTTAAACTAGAGAGGATCTAAAACATAATTGAAGGAAATCAATAATCGAAAGGTTCTTGGAAAGAATGCCGAGAAGATGCTTTCAAGCATTTTTGTGATCTTGTCTCAATGCGACATAATTCTGGACAAAAACAATTAACTGCAAATATATCTGAGAAACATTTCAAAAGAAAGAACATGATCATACAATCCTAATGACACACAATAGTTATTGCCATGGAAATCTGTTATACCACCAGCACATAAAAACAAAAGAGAGCAAGTCCAGGAAATCTAAAATGTAACATCATATTTCAAGATAAGTGTGCCTAAATTATATTAATTCACCTTGTGGTCATGAGCCAAAGCCACTTTTAGCTTTTCTTTGCAATAAATAGGAGATGAATACAATAAAGGGAACTTCAAGGTGTTACACTTCTGCTTTTGTTTTAATCATACTGCTTTTTGTGTTATTGTGAACTCCCTTGAATGTAAGGAGAAGCAGAGAATAAAGAAAATTACTAAAACAATAGATTTGTATTCTCAGGCCCTTAGGGCAAGCAATCAAAGTGATGGAAGTCATTTACGAAGGCCTTGTCAAAAATGGTGACGTGCCAGGGTTACTGCCAGACGTTGCCATTCACCAGCGCGGCCTCCTAGCGAAGACAAGATAAGCCCCTTTAAGCAGTTTTTCACAGGGAAAAGCTTGATCAGGGCTAACAGCAGCTCTGCTTCGTCTCAGGATTCAGCAACATTGATATTCCTACCAGAGAAATGGACTAGCACCCCACTGAGATAAAGGACACAGAAGGTACATTACCTCCAGCACTGAAATTCAGCCACCTTCTAGGGCAGAACACAAATTTTGTTAAGGCACAGTAAAAATACAGCTGTTGATGCTGTGATGTTACAGTTAGTTTTGACTATCACAGGATCACACAGATGGTGAGAATGAACAATCCAGTCTAAACCTAGCCATGACAAGGGAAATATTACTTCTCTCTTCTTCCTGACTGACCACGGAAACTACAGTAGCCTTAGGAAATCAGAATTTTGCTGCACACATCAGAAAGATGGTGGCTCCAAGAGCATATTGTCTGGTGAGACATTAGCTTAATAGTAACTGACAAACAAGACCATCTATTGCCATTGCACAAGGACCAACGTGAGCCCACATCTGGAGTTACTGCATTCAGTACTGGGTGCTTTCTCTCTGTACAACTTGTTCATCCCTTCACAAACAACTTCTAGACAAAGTCCAGAGAGGAGCTATTAATAGATATGGAGGGTCTTGTCCATAACAGCAGCCTCAAGAGCTTAAGGTCTATTCAGTCTGGGGGAGCATGAGCTAAAGCTGGGGCAAGTAACTCATCCTCTAGATGATTTAGTTTTTGACACCTATCATCCTTCATCATTGACTGCAGTTGTAAGTTAAAATATCAGGATGGCTATACATTGCCCACCCCTGAACTAAAGACTATGAAGGATTTATGTCATATAACCTAGAAGAGGATCATAAACTCTACTAAACAGTTTTAAATAGCAGCAACGGGGGGAAAAAATAAGCAGACACTCCTGAGTATTCACACACATCCAAATGAAGCCTGATTTGTTTCTGGCTGAACAAAGCTCTACTCACGATTCTCAAATCCACTTCCAGTGTCTTTCTCTCAGCCTTGCTCCCTACTCAGCCAACAACCTCCCTCCCAAAACTTACTTTTTCGAGCTTGTGCTTCAAACTGCGCAAGGTTCTGTCGGGTAGCCAGCTTCACTTCCATCTTATCTCCATTGAGGATTTTGCCTGGCAGCAGCTCCAGAAGTTTGTGGACAGAATTCTCTGAGGCAACCACCACTTCCGCATATCTGTTCACAAAGCCACAGGAAAAATCACTGAAGATTGTTGGGAACTTCTGGCAAAGAATATGACCTAAGTTTCATGGCAAAGATAGAGCAAAGCAGCATGTCCTTCTGCAGCAGAGGTTCCCCAGCTGGCCAATGGAATTTTAGACTCCCTCTGTGGACCCTCTTCTTCTTCAAGTCCCCACCTCTTGGAAGCTACTGGGATATTAGGGAAGGTATAGGGCAAAGAATCCCTACTGTCCCCCTTATTTAATGAGCTTCTCAGAGCCACAGCCCATGTCCTTTTCAAGGGGGAAGGTACACAGCAGGCCAACCTGCCCCAACTGAAGTGAGCCCAACTAAAGAAACCATGGACGCCAACGAGCATGTGGGAGCACCAATGGTGCTGGAGGTGTGTCCTTCCTCTGCCCTAGTCAAGCCTGTGCTTGATCAAGAGCTGGGAGGGAGAGTACATTAAAATCCCACCAGCATAGTCTACCAGCATTGCCTAATCAATAGCACAGAACTTTCAGTTTCTCTGCACCACACACAAAACTATAACTAAATAGAACAACAAATAGCAAGCTGTTTGACTGTTATGAGGAACTAGACACAGTCTGCCTTCCTGGATCAACTACAACAAACATTTACTTATTTTGTAGGTGGTGGGACCCAGACTGAACAACTAGGAAGAAAACTGCTCTTGCATGCTCTCTTTACTCTGACTCCTTACAATTGCCTGTCATGTTAGACTGGCTCCAACCCCTGCGTAGCAGAACTTCCAAGTCCTCTAATCCTTATTCTGTTCTTCTCAAACCTGTTCCAAAAGTCTCCCAGCTCTCCAGGGTAGATGGGGGCACAAGGGAGATACGGGAAATCCTTTCCGCCAGTATTTCCTTCCCACTGGAAGGAACACCACCACTGGATACAAACCAGTGAGTTCTTTTATAAAGAAGTCTTGCAGTACTCACCCTTTGGACTGGCCGTTGGCTCTGTTCTCAGCAAACTTGAGTTCCACCACATCATAAACACCCACAGAGCGGATGATTCGAGTCAGCTGCTGGTCAGTCGTCCACTGCATATGAATAGATAAAAAGTGACAGGTATATAAGTTGATTTTTTTTTTGGTAGGATCTCATCCTTTAAGTTCCTCATAAGAACGAAAGAGCCATGCTAGATCAGATCAGTCCATTTAGTCCAGCATTCTGATCATATGGTGACCAACCAGATGCTTCAATAAGCTGCCCACAAACAGGATGTCCATTCTGCTCATGTTCTCCAACAAGTGGCACAGAGACGTACCAACTTTGATACCAGAGGCAACATACAGCTGTCGTAACAGGCAGTTGCTGATAGCCTTACCCTCCACAAATTGTCCAGTTCCCCCTTTTAAGCTATCCAAACTGGTGATCATTCACCACCAAGTACAGTGGATCTAATGTTCTCCCATCAGCTAGCCACATCTTAAAGTGATTTCTCTGGTGGAAAACACTCTGGAGGCCCATTTCACAGTTAGAGCACCAAAAGCATAACAGAAAGCAGCCAAATGAATGCTAACTAGAAAAGTCAAGAAAGCAGTTATTTCCTTTCCTCAGTGTGTATCAACAAACATATTTCTTCAGTTATTAAAGCTGTGCATGGAAGGGGGAAGCAATTTGCTTTATGATAGAAGAGGGCCCAACTGTAGGTTTCAATGATGCATTTTTCACCATTAATAGACTGTTAAATTGTCTATACTGTTGTATTTTAGGGGCCCTACTCTACTATTTGAAAAGCAGAATAACTGCATTACTAATATATTACGCCAGTCTGGGTCTCTTCCCTTTATACATGTCTACTGCAGAAGTCTCGTATTCTTCAAGCATAAGCTATGTTACATTTGGTGTTACTGGGGAAGTATTTTCCCCAGACAGTGCATATATGGCTGCTGCGGTTTATTTAATGGAAAGCAGTGTGAATCTGCAAGAAAAGCAGGGAAAACGAATGCACTATAATTCAAATAAACACATATATTTTAGTACTCAGACTCTTCTCATGATGACCAAAGATGGTGAGCGGCAACAAATTTACCCAGCAAACACACACCTGTTAGATGGGAAACTATGCTATGGAAAACTTTAGGTCTAGAGTAAACCTAGCATGTAACAAGAGCGTTCCATATGATCAGACAATTTTCTGTAAGAGGCAAATTTGCTATATGCTCTGGCTTAGGAATGCACCTACCCAAGAAAAGCTGCCCACATACACTGCAGCTCTCTTATTTCGTAGTCCACTGTAGGTATACAGGATAGCAGGTGATTTGCTGTTTGGCTTGGGAGACTGCTCTTGGCGGCTTTCAGGTGGTGGCTCAGAGCTGCTAGTGCAACTTTCAGAAGGTTGTGAGCTGGCAGCTAGCACGTCGTCATATAGATCCATCTGGTCAGCATTACTAAACTCAGAGTCCTAAGAAACAGGAATATAGCAATAAGTAATGCAAACTCAAGGCAGGATCTCCACTCCATGTTAATATTCTTTTTCTGTGGCTCTAACAGCAGTGCATTTACACTGAATACTGACTATACCTATTCAACCCCAGAAACTCAAAAAGGAGCCTTTTGCTATAGCTGGAAGAAAAAGCAAACAATATTCTAAGACGTATTAGTTCACATAACCCCAAGCATCTCAGCATTATCTTTGAGAGGATAAACATTTTAATTTCACTCCTTCATGTTATTACACAAAGTCCTTCTCCATTTTTGAGGGATGGCTTAATGCACTATGCTCCTATGCTTACTTACTCTGGGATGAGCTCTGTCTACTAAAGCTTTCACTGGTGCCTGTGAAATGCAGAAGAGCTCACAGATTTAGGCCGTCAAAGATGGAATATCAAAAAACCCTTATGGGGGAAGGACACATGGTTTACATGCAGAAGGTCCTGGCTTCAATACCCAGCACCTCAACATGGAGCCAGGAAAAAAAATCATAACCTGAAACCCTAGAAAACCACTGTTAGTATTGAACCAGGTGGGCCAATAGCCTGAAACATTATAAGGTAACTTCCTATGACAAAAGATCACAGAATCTTGGAGAAGGGCCCTAGGCTCTTTTCTCTATTTCTTTTATAATTTCTGCAAATGACACCTCAAAGGGTTCAGCAATCTAAAACTTGCACTGGTTAATCTACATTGATCCTCTATAGGGTTTTCAATAACTCACACCAAAAATTGTGTAGAGTATGCTATATAGAATTCTTTTCTCCGCATACATTACAATCTACTCCACTTTATACTTAAAGCAACCAGCACATGCAGCTTGATATGTTTAGATAAAACCAATACAATAATATAAGTGCGATGGTAAATAACTGTACTGTCTACATCTGCCCACCTGAAGGATTTTTCAGTGTTTTAATTGAAATGGGTTCAATATAGCCAAACAATCAAGTCCAGCATATGCTGAAAGTCTAAACCCAATCAAGAATTCCGTGGTATTGAGAAAAAAGGGCAGAATATGCATGCAGCACAGTGCAATGTCGGCAATAATATTAGACACTGGCATGTATGAGATAATGTCCCTGAACGAATAGGCCTAGATGGATATGCTTAAGTAGCAATGAAATCAGTGGAACTTGAATTGTAGTTAATATTCTCCGCTGGTTTCTGCAGAACTAAGTTGGACTGAAGCCATCTACTGGGTTGTAGATCACACCCACCCATCAGTCTTTATAAACTTGATTATATGTTCATAAGACTCCAATTATCTAGAATAAATATTTTATTTGGGTGCGTCAGACCACATTTAAATGTAACTGCAGCTCCTTCTCAAACAACCTTTATAAAACAAATCTTCAAGTGGCACATACTACAGCAAATTACCAGCTGCAGTACTAATGATGTGTTTATTTTATAAACCATCATTCTATTAGGAAATGGAACTCAAAATGTTTATGCTGCATATAAGAAAATGAAAATAACTTACAGCATTTAATGAATAACATACACAAGAAAAAAGTTACTATAGTATAAGAATCTCTTTCTATCTGTAGCCAGTGACATTGAAAGATGGCACAAAAGTTAAGTCACTTGAAGCATTGTCCAGCTATTTAGGAAGATTGCACCACATTTATGCAGTGGTTTGCATGTTTACACAGAAATATGTATTCCAACACCTAGCATATCCCAACTAGGGAGAGGCCAGGAGTTGCAGGATTTATGTCTGCTCATGTATATGTTTGCACTGAAATTCGACTTTTTAGAGGGCCTCTCCAATCTGTAAGGCAAGGGTTTGGCAACTTTATCATTGTGAGCCTTCCTGTACCATGGAAAACATAGATATTCCCAGTGTTGCTACTAGAAATCAAAGTGAAGATTACATTGCAGCTCCTAATGGTTACTTTCAGGCAAACTGAAAAAATGAGATCACAGAACACTTGTAGCAAGCACTACTGCTAATTACAAGGCAGCAAAAAGCCCATGAAACAGAAGGATCTCTCATACAGAATATCCCTTTTGGCCCTATACTGCAAGCTGGTGTCTCCTGGTAATTCTTTCAAGAGCAAGAGAAAACTGGTTGAAACATCCAAGGATCATCTTAAATGTGTTTGAAAGTATGTCTTGAGAAGGATTTGTAAATTCTTAAGGCACTGTCCTATGATCTCCCAACATCTTCTGAGCTGGGACGTCAAAGGCCAGCACAGAAAGGACTGCACAGCCTGCCCCTCATCTGAGGTTGCAACTGAACCTTGGAGGAGGGGAAAAGGGGTTTTTTTGAGTGTCCAGTGTAGAGAACAAGGAGTGACAGAAATTGCTGTCACCCCTCATCACACATGACAGTGATGCTTGTAGGCCTCCCAATCACCCACCCATTCATCAAACACTCACTAACACTTCTCCTTTATTTGCAAACTTTCAAGATTTCAGGGAACCATTCTGTGATTCTGACACAGGAGTTTTGTTCAACAAACAATACAGTCTCAGGGAGTTAGCAAACAGGGCATAACACATTTATATATCTATTTTTTATTATTTTCCTATAGCACCTAAATATTTTTCTTTGGTTGTCAGACAGATGATCCTTAATGCCATCTCTTTCAGATTCACAGCATTCTTTAGCTATCATGCTGCTTATGCCCCCTACTGCTCTTTCTGACTTTTTCAAGGTAAGTGTTGTAGGGCTTATTCATTTCTGATTCTGCCAGCAGTGAATCTATACAGCTGCTCTTTGCCTCTTTGATGACTCTTATGTCTAAAAATTATTTTGCTAAAGGGCACTTAATAGAATGTGAAATGTGAGCCAAGCTAATTAGACTCAAACAGTTAACTAACTGATCTGGTAGCATGCAATTTCTCTTTCAGTGGTATAGGATGAGATTTGGAGTTATTTCTTTGTGATACTTTCAAGTGAATGAGGAATGGCAAAGCAACCTTCCACACAGAATTTTTAAACAGTATCTGGGAAAAAGGCAGTCTAATTCTGAGTAATTATACAGCACAAAAAATAATTGGAGCTTTATAATTTGATTTTGATAATTTTGGGTCTCTTTCAGATTTGAAATATGCACATCTTTTACAAGTCAAATAAAACTTAATGTGAAATACAAGGGAATGGATCCAGTGTATGCCTTCTGTTCATGGAAGGGGCTAAAATCCTTCTTCTGCAGCTCCCCACATACTCTCCGAAAAAGTTCCCAAAAGTCTCCTTACATCTTCCAAAGCACCTTTCCAGAGAGCACAATGGGAAAGAGGAGCAAATGTATACTAACACCTCCCCTATAGTGTTTCTGAACCTAGGCACACAAGAATTAAAAATTTAAGCCATAGCTTATATTTCTTCACATTTGTAGTACAGGAGGGCTTTCACATTTGCATTCATTGTTCATGTAACCATATTTGCAACATCTCATTTTTTTTCTACCCAGAATCAGCAGAAGAAACTACTTCTAAAAATATTGCAACTCTTCAATTTACTCTCATGACTAGACTTCTTTTCTGAAACCAGCTTACAGAATACAGTATACAAAGAATACAAATATCTTTGTAATATTTAACTACTTTTTGTACCCTACAAGCACATAGCTGCTTGTTCCAATTGTACTTGTTATTCAGTTGTTACCTTCACTGTAACTCTCTAATGGATTTTTTCTCAGGATAAAGTATTTACATACAACTTTCACAACTGAACGTTAAGGATGCCCACATCCATTGCATCTGTGCATCCACAATGCTGTAGCTGTACTGCTCAGAAGAAATGTGAAACCAACGGGGAAAAGATCATCCTCATTGCATCCTATTCTCTTTCAAAAGGTTAAGTCTTATAGAAAACATTTTTGTATTGAAACTGACATTTAGCTGATAGGAGAAAACCCACAGACTACACAGCTTGACAAGTGCCAACATAACTAACTGCCCTGTGCCCAAAATAATCAATTATGAAAAGGACAGGCACAAGTTCATTTCAATCTGGTTTCAGGCCTGGTTATGGGACAAACATTATTTTGGCCACTTTAATGGACAAAGTATGTTGCGAACTGTTCAATGTCAGGCCAGTTGCCTGTGGTGTCCTGCAGGACCGCATTTTTCCCTCCATGTTATTTGACATACACATGAAACTGCTAAGAGATATTGTTTGGTGCCACCAAGTATGCTGATGACACCTAACTGTATTTCTTTTCCATCCAATTCAAGGACACTGTTCTAATTCTAAATTGGTGCCTGCTGTCAGTAATAGACTAGAGGAGAACAAACAAATCAGGCTTAATCCAGGCAAGACAGATCTGCTCCTGATTTGTTAAAAGGCAGAATAATGTACTGGATGGGGTCACAGTAACCTTGACTACTCAAGCTTGCAGTTCCGATGTAGTCGTAGTCTTGGCCCTGAAGCTGGATGCCCAGGTTTCAGCAATGGCCTGGAGTGCATTTAATATAAATGAGGCTAGTGTGCCAACTCTGCCCAGCTAGACGTCCAGTCATACATGCCTTAGTTATCTCTTTGGATTATTGGAAAATTGGAAATTATGTTGGAAAGTATTATATATGAGGCTGCATTTGAAAACTGTGTGGAAGCTTCCTCTGGACCAACAGTCATACCATGACTAAGGCTGGTTACAAGGAACATGTGCTTACCTTGTTAAAACAGTTTCACGGGTTACCCCATCTGTTTCTGGGTGGAAATTAAAAAGCTGCTTAAGACCAGGCTGACTGAAGACTGTCTTCTTCCATGCAAGCCTGTCTACATCTTAAGATCTTGAGGAGAGGCGCTTCTTCAGAGGCACATTTGCTAGAAGCATGAGAGAAGGCCCTCTCAGTGGCAGCGCCCAAGCTTTGGAATTCCCTGTCAGGAAGGCTAGGTTACCTCCATTTCTGTTGTGCTTCCACTGGCAGGCAAGACTCATTTTAATCAAGCAGGCCTTTGCCATGTAAGCTAGTCTGTCAGGCTGCATGCCATTTTTATTCTGTTATTGTTGCATTTCTAAATGCAATCTAACACATTTATTATTTTAACACATTTTATTTATGATTGTAAGTCACCTTGAGAGCTGTTTTTCTTGGTAAAACGCCAAGGTACAAATCAAATCTATCAACCCACAACTGGTCTTCTTGCTTCATGGGAAGATCTCTGCTACTACAGAAGTAGAATGCTATACTTGTACAAGGTAAGCCTGTTGCCTGTCTTATGGTGGCCTAGCAAGTACACCTGCACCTTAACATCTCACAACAGAGATACACAGAAAAAAGGAGAGACTTAAAAGGTGAGAAAACAAGTGAACAGCACCCATACAACAAGGCATATGATACAACACAAGGACCACATTCAGGAAAGAAATACTAAAAACCACCAATGGAAAGCCAACATGAAGTGCATCAAAGTACCATAGGTTAGAAGTATCTAAACACATCTTCATCAAGACCAATACGCACAGCAAAAAAGAGCAGGTGGTACTTCTTGTTTTCAGTTTCTTCACAAGTAGCCTCCTCCCATAGAACCCTGCCCAAGATTTAAGATCTTCAAGGAAGGGGCTGTAGCTCATGAGCAGAGCACCTGCTTTGCAGGAAGAAAGTCCCATGTTCAATTCCTTGTACCTCCAGGTAAAGGTGAACCAGTTCTTGCCTGAAACCTGCTACCAATCAGTGTCAACAGTGCTACACTAGCTAGGAAGATGGTCTGACTTAATATAAGGCAGTTTCCTGTGCTCCTGTCTCACTCCTCTTCATGCAGAAAGCTAAGATACTCAACTCACACCTATAACAGGAGATACTGCTATGGAAGCACTCCATTCATAACAGCAAACAGAGGTAAGGAAATGGGAATAATGTATTGAAGTGAGTCACAGTATCAAATGACATACTACAAACAAAAATCTGTATCTAACTGGTATCCTTCCTTTATGCAAAAATAATGCTCTAGGCAACTAACAACAAACAGGTTGTTGCTGTTTTCTAATTTGACTCTGAAAACAAATTCTTTATTAAAACCCAAAAATTAAAAACACAATTCAAAAAATAAACAGCAACAACCAAACTGACCATTCAACTAACACCCTGTTCGGCAACATCCCAGATTGTATGCCAAAGGCCTGCCTTCCTAAACAAAAATGCTTTTGCTTGCTTTTGAAAGGACAACAGAGAGGAGGCCAACAAAGCCTCCCTGAGCATGGAGTTCCAGGGCCTGGGAGAGACCACAGAGAAGGCTCTCTCTCATGTCTTCACCACGTGCACCTTGGGATGGCACATGACTGCAAGGCCATTCCCCAAAGCTCTTAACAGCTGGTCAGAACTGTATGGGAGAAGGAAGTCTCTCAGACAACCTGATCCCAAGCCCTCTAAGAGCTTTGTAAGTGACATATAAATATTAAAGTGATTTAGATTCTGCCCAAAACATACAGATAGCCAGTGAAGGGATTGTGAGTCACATGCTCCTTTCCAAGAAACCGATTATAGCAATCTGGACCAGCTTTTAATCAGTTCTTAAAGGCAACCCCATGCAAACATGTGACAGTAGTTCAAGGAGGATGCAACTAAATCATTTGTGATTCTGGCCTGATCAAACATCACTAGGAACAGGTGCAGCTCCTGTATTAGCCTCAGCTATACAAATGCATTTCTAGAATGTCCAGATTGCTTCTGGGGGCTTGTTTCGCCACACATGCATATCCCAGTGACAGCTAAAGTCCTACCACACATGCACTGTCAAAATATGGAGAGCACAGGAATCCATGAAGCCACACACTCACTTTACTATTCTTCCTTATTACAAAAACTTTCCAAAGACATGCAGCAGATTCCATGGGGGCCAAGGCAACATACACCAACGGAAAACCAAGTATACCTTCTAAATGCTGTTTCTCACCCTCAGTAGATACACTCACAACCTAGAGATCCAAGAGCAAACCGATCTGAAAGCAAACTGACTAGCATAAATTCAGTAATATGTGGGCTGGAAGAATGTACCCTCACTGATCTATGAAGAAAAAACACAGGAAACAGGCAAAACACAAAATACTGGACTGCAGAAATTCTACAATATTTTGTAATTATGTAATGGACACTGGAACAGGCAAATCTCATCCTATTTACTGCCCACAACTCTGATTAGGAATTTTAGGAAAACTTATCACACAGATTTTTAAAACTATTACAGTTTTAATGCATATCAGAGATTAGTAATAATTAAAACCTGTCCAAAATAGAAGATATTCCCAGAACAGATCATTGTTTAGGTTTAATGAACAATACTGCACTTTGGAAGCCCACTTTGGAAATATGAAAAGAAGATGTGGACAATAATATTCACACATAATTTAATTCTGTATGCTATGTGTGTATGTTAAGTTTTACTCTTTTGGTAGAGAATAACAGTTTTAAAGGGAAAGCACAAGCAGAAGAATTTATACGATTACCAATTTTTTACACAAAGAAGGGGATGATGCTATTAACATTTCCCATTTCTTCCAGAAGTAAATGGGTATCTATGCACCTCTCTCAAAAATGAGTAAGCATCACTACCTGAGCCATGAGAACAGCAAAACAATGGTTAGTGCAGGAGGCTCACATAGCACCAGATAGCCATATGTAATGTCAAAACCGTTTGACCAACAGTCATACGTTCAAAGTTACTGAAGCAACTCTATCTCTGCTTGCGAATGTGAGATGGCATGCACATCTATAAATACAAATCTGTACTGTTTACAACACACAATAAGAGAAGGGAATAGCAGGTCACCCATCCTCAACAACCCAGAAGAGCAATGGTTCAAGTACATCCCCACTGAAAAGTCAGGCAGGACAATGGACAGATATTCAGCATCCCTCACAGCTGGCTGGCCAGCAATGATGCTGCTGGTTTAGGATCCATGATAAGACATACCAGGAATCCTTGGAAACATGTTACATAGTAGCAATCAATCAAAAGCTCATGCATGTAGTGGGAGGCTAGAAACCCTTGACAAAGGCGGTTGTATTTAGTAGGCTGGGCAGGTGGGAGACTACAAAGGGCCTGTCAATATGAGTTAGTTTGTCCCAAGCTATGGACTACCCCTGACTGGTTATCACCTCTCCACTGTTATATAAATGTCTTTCCAAGCCTGCTACTGAGGAGCATTTAATCAGAAATGCTCACACTGAGCATGGGGACCTCATACAAACAACCTGCTTTAGTCCTTTGTCAGGATTCTTCCATATAAGCTTAAGAAGTTGCCAGAAAGTGAGCCAGATGCTGTCCACCTAGTTCAACATGATCTACACTAAGTGACAAAGATGTTCCAGAACTTTATATGGATCTTTTCCCCAGCCCTACCGGGTGAATGCACAGAAGAACATGGAAGCATCTGCAAGAAAAATCTGTTCGATGCTGAACTAGGATGATTCACAATCCAGGCAATGTAATAAAGAGACTTCAGAAGTAAATATGAATTTACTTGCTGCTTTGAATGTGTGGCTACTAGGCAATTCTACTAAGGGTGAGTTTGGTTCTAATGCAGCTGATTCCTGAATTGTCTCCCACTGCATTCCACACAGTTCCATTTTTAAGTCATTCATAACTATACAAGTTTACAACATAATCATATGCTTTGTTTTAGAACAGTGAGGAACAATATACCAAAAAAAATTTGAATGGGAGTCTGAGAGTATCTAAAGTTATAAATCTTTCCACAAACTCATTATATCATGTTGTAGGAGTCCTCCTATTTTCTCCCAATTATTTCCTCTTCACTTAATAACCTAACATTTTTAAGAATACAAAAATGTTAACTGTGAAGAATTACAAGTGAAAAACAGAATTCAGATATTCCTATTTAATGTTACCCACTGCTCTAAAGAATCAAAGCTGAATGCTATATGACAAACTAGACTAAGACTGTTGTTCTCTATCTCTATGAATATTTGCTGGTATTTTTAACTGTTATAGTATCAGTGTGATACTGACAGCAGAAGACACAAGGACACCCTACATAAGGACACCCTCAAGTTTGAATGAAGTCTATTTCAGGAAGATTTATCTTATCCTGATTTGAGGCTACAGTAAATAACCTGTTATTTCATGTCCTAGTTCTTTAAATAAAAAAAGATGACCCCAACGCTCCCAAACTGGTTCCACTCAGAAGAAATACATCAGCGTTTCTTCCAACCTGCTATCCTCATGAGATTTGCTGAGAAACTTTGAATGTGAAAAAATTCATTCATCCTTCCCTGAAGATCAAAATGATTCACACCAAACAGGCAATATGAGAACCTTATTACAAGTTCTTCATCTTCAACTATTTCAATTTTATACTGCACAGTCGTTCAAAAAATGGGCATGAAGATCTCCCTTGTTAATAACAAGACCCCTATACAAGGAAAAGTAGCAATTTTAAATCCAAATGTTTTACTGCACAGGACAAGCCTCTTGAGGTTCCATCATGGTCTGAAGGTTTGTCTCCTACAGAGCGGTATGCCCTTCCCAACTCCACTGCTCCTTCTATATTCAGTATAATGCTTTTCCTTGCCCTCCTTCCTAGCAGGTCCGCACCGGCGCTCACCTGGTTGAACTCTTCGTCGGCGTAGATATCAATGAGGTCCACTCCTTCCGACATATTTTCAGGAGCGACACAGAGAGAACTGGAGAGAAAGAGCCGCACTGCAGGGTCAAAGCAAAGAGGAGGGAGATGAGTTTTAACAAGGCCAACGAACGATCATGCCGCGCGGCCGTGAGCTCGCCCCCGTCTCCGCGCCGCCTGCCGTGCTTGGCCGTCAAGAAGCCCGCCGAGACCGGAGTGGGCCTTGGGCGCACGGCAGCCCCGCCCCCTTTCCTTAGCGCGACTGGAAGAGCTCCGCAGCCAGGGCAGAGGGAGCGGCGTGCGCGTGTGTGCGGGGCAGAAGCCTGACCCCCGGCCGCCGCCTCCCCCGCGCCAGAACCCGGTTGCCGCCATAGTTGCGCTCGCGCCCGCCATCGCCTTCTCTTTCCCGCGCTGAGAATGAGGCCGGACAGCCAAGCATCCCTGCCCGCCCCTCGCCGTTGGCCCGCCCCTCGCCCGAAACCTCAACACCTCCCCGGTACTGCTCCAGCCCGTTACACCGCGTAAGGCCCCAAATCCCAAGCAGGCCCAAAGCGCGCGCGAACCTCTCTCTCTCCCTCTCTCTCTTTCTCACTCCTCCGCCGCCGCCGCCGCAAGCTCCTCCTCCAGCGCCCCTCCCCTTCCTTCCTGGTGAGAAGCCCGCCCCTTCCGGCTTACCACTGCCGGCCTGAACAAACGAACAAAAACGGAAAGGGCCTGTTGGAGGGCCTTGTCCCGCCCTTCCGAGATTGGAGGGCAACGCTGAGCGAAACAGCCGTAACGGGAAACAAGGAGAGGTTGCTCTAGGACGCGCGAGTGGCTCTATGGCTGAGTGAGGCAAGGGGCTTCCGTAGAGACCGTGTCCGGACTTACTACACGTCTATGGTAGGGAGCGAGGGGTAGAGTGGCTGCCCGAGAAGAGCCGGGATGGCTGCAGCGAGCGCCCGAGTGAGTGAGGGGAGGCGTAACGGGGTTGAGGGACAGTTGGGCCTCTAGTGAAGGTGATCGTTTACCGTGGCTCGCCTTGTCCTTCTTCTAATTGTATTTCCCAGCGTCTTTGGCTCCTTCCCGGTTCCGTCCTCCGCTTGCCAAGGTGCAGCTATCGTGGAGATTCTCCAGCCGACTCCGGGCGGGACCTGCTGGAGATTCCTCTGCCGCCCTGGCAGGCTCGCCCTCACGAGCCACTGCAAACTAAACGCGCGAGGTTGTTGTACGAGAGCCGCAAGAGAGGTATGCTGGAGAATTGCCTCTTGCTCAGGTGAGCCTCTTGCCCCTATCCCCTTTTTCGGTCTTCTTATATTCCTTTTCTGTATTTAGTTAGGCCAGCCTTTTTCAGTCAGTTTGGGGAGGCTGGAAATTGTAGTCTCACACGTCTGGAGGAAATCAAGTTATGGAAGGTAGGGAGAGGGCCTCTGCGCCAATAGCCAGCATATTGGGTGATTCCCAGTACTTTGGTATCTTTGAAACACCTTCTGTAACTTCCACTAAGAACTCCAGGCTTGATTGCCTTGTTTTATGCAGAAAATTTTGGGAATATTAGGGTCAGATTAAAGGGCCACGTCTATGCCTCTAGGAGGCCAGCAGTTCTTTCTTCCTACCCTAGCATGGTATTCAGTGGTTTACTGCCTCAGGAGATATAAATTCTATCAGGGATCTAAGATGTTGATAGATCTAACCACTTCCATGGATTATGAATCCCTTTTAAAAACTAAGTGGTCCTGTGCTATGGGACTGTGTATTCTATCTTTTATGTGTTATCCTCTGGGTGGCTCTTGAATTCTTACTGTCTGCATTCTCTATGCTATATGCACCACTTCTAAACCTAAGATACTTTAGAATGTTGCCATGTTATTAAACTTTAGAATGTATTCCATCTCAAGTGCAGCATCCAAAAATATTGTTGCAAAACAGCATGATTCTATCAACAAAAGCAAAGATTGGCCATTCCAATGACTATATTTTTGCAGATATGGTACTTAAGAATAGCCATTCCAGCTAAGAGACAGGATAGAAATATAAACAAACAAATAGGAGAATTCAAACACTGATTTATCTTTAAGTGGTCCTTTTGCCACAGTTAGCATTGTTTCCTGACTTTGTGCTTATTTGGTGAGTTTTCCTATTGTGGTTTTTGTATTGTGTTTTGCTGTTTCCCTTAGCTTCTTTGCCAAGGAGAATCTGAATCAAATGAATGAACAACAGCTGGATCTTTATGATCGCCTCATTAATGAGCCCAGCAATGACTGGGATATCTATTACTGGGCAACAGGTAATGCAAACCATTGTCTTTTGGCTCTCACTATGATATTTCTTGGCTTGTGAAGGATTATCTTCACATGCAGCAGAACTATATACGTAATCAATTTTTGTTTCTTATCTATAGTCATATTTTAGGGATATTACAAAAAGAGTTGAACAATGTTGTTGTCCATATTCCTAGAAGGCTGACACTGGCAATTTGAAATAATTGTTTCAGCTTTATGCGAAACCTAAATATTTGCGTAAAGAGGTGATCTCTGATAATCTTTCTAGCCTTGGCTTCCAGGACCATCAAGATTATAACTGGTGTATTCTATACATGAAGTTGATTGGCTAATTTGACTTGTTAATTTTAAGAAGTCCACTGTAAGTTTGGTTAAGTCTGGATCCACTTTGGATCTTTTGTATACTTACATGATTGGAAGCCCTTTTGAATTCAGTAGGACTAACTTCCTTATAAGGATGTGTTAGAATCAGATTCTATAAGTGCTGCATCACTGTTATGATAAAAGTATCTCTTCTAAAAATCTCCATCTAACATTTCCAGAGGATAGCAATTCTTGTCATGGGTTGGTGCTCCTTTTTTATATTTAGCAAATGAGAAAAGTTTCCAGATGAGACTTTTATCACATTGTCTTTCCTCATTCATAGAATTTTCCTGGGGGAATGAGGGGTCAGATGACATCATCTACTCACAGCCCTTCTTTGTTTTTTCACTGCCTCTTCATAGCTGGGCAGTACCTTCTGCCTGTTAGCACTGGAAACCCTCTGGCTTGGAAGTAACTTAACAGAGAGAGAGCCATGTAAAAAATGGCACTAGGTTGGCTTTATTATATTTATAGCCCACTTTTTTCTTTCAGGAAATCCATTCTTCATCCTTTCCATTCCTTCCATGTAGCTACCCTGTGGGGTAGGTTGGGTTGAGAGTCAGTGACTGACCCAAAGTTACCCAGTGAACTTCATGGCCAAGCAAGAACTAGAATTTGAGTCTGCTTAGTCTCAATCCAACACTCCAATCGCTTCACCACACTATAACTCTCTAGAGCAGCCTTTCTTAACTTGGTGCCTTTCATATGTTTTGGAGTGCAACTGTATCTATCTCAGGAATCATGGATAACAGTCAGGAAAGCTGAGTCCCAACCATTTGGAAGCCACTAGTTTGGGGAAAGCTACTTTAGCAATCTTCAGTCATTATATAAAGATTGTGTTTCACTTCCACTTTTTTCTTCCTTAAGAAGCAAAGCCTGCTCCAGAAATCTTTGAGAATGAAGTCATGGAGATGCTTAGACAATTTACCAAAAACAAGAAGAGAGAGAAGAGACTGCAACAACCAGATCTGGACAACTTTATTGAAGCCCCACACTGATCTTGTATAACTTTCTCTATGTCACACAACTTTGGAATCCTCTGAAACTAAGAAAGTATATATTGTAGTATTTGGATCTTTCTCAATGTCAAACACAGTATTTCCCGGTCCTGGCTCGAGTAGCTACAGTTCTGCATGTTTTGTTTCTATGTAATAAAATTTTAGGCCTTTTTCCTGAAGATGAGGAAAAAGGAGTCATAAGGACACTTTGGTTTTGACTCATTTTGCACTTCAGCAGTACAGTCCATTTATATCTATCTTATCTGCAGACTGATTTGAATGAAATTATCATGGTAGTTCTCATTCACTGAGAAATATTCCTGTTATTTAATTAGCTTTATATCTTGCCCAGTTCCAGTGTTCCTGCACATATTTCACTTTTGTTCAGTGCAAAGGACAATCTTTCTCAGAGGTGTACAGATGAATATCATGGATTTGCAAAAGTCAATATTAGTGTTTTTACTCTGTATGTATTCCAATTTAGGAAAACCATGATTGGCTATCACCTTCTAATATATTGGGACATATTAGCTACAATCATTTTCTCAAGGGCAGCCTTGTGGTTACCAGTTCTTTAGCCATGTCAATCCCTGATAAATATTATTTTGTTTCATTTCTGCTTTGTCACTTCTTGTTTTCTACTTTGTGTAACTGCTATCAGTCACTTGTACATTCTGATTTCTCTGTTACCGGTTCAGTATACTTTTGATTTGGAGACTCACCTGTAACAGCTTTGTTGGGCAAAGTTTTTACACTTACTTTGGTTTTACTTGGGAACATCTGGGTTGTGTTGGAGTCCAGTTTTCTCCCAACTGACGGCCAGCTTCCATTGCCCTAGATTGTTGACCATTATGGTTGACAATTTTAGCTACAAATAGTTTTGTGTGAATTTGGCGCTGTAATTGAATATCCAAAGAGGACTTGAGCACAACAGTGCTACTTATGATTATATCTTATGAGGCAGAAGGTGGTCAGTACTGGCATTAAGTCATATTGAAGGCTGGATTTTTTGATATATATTTCTTTGGGTAATTTAAGTATTTACTATTGGCAAATGTCCACAGTAGCAAATTTGGAAATGCAGAAGAATTTCAACCCATATAACAATTATACCATTTCAAGCAGTGGTACTCGCATGGTTGAATATCCTTTACCTCTGTTACAGTATCCTTACGATTCTGGAGGAAACCCCTGAAAGAAATGTATGTTTAAAGCCTAAAGCTCACATGGTGCCTCAGCCCCTCTTTCCAGGCAAGGACAAAAGACACAGTCAAAATTCTCTGTCTCTTTTGCAAGGTGGAGGAAGTCAGAGCTTGCCTCTCTGCTCCTCCTGTGCTTGAGTGGATGCACGTAACATTCTGAGTTCAGAAGGTTGTTACGAACATCCTCATAGGATGACCCTTAGATTTATTTGATTAATTAGTATCTGCTCAGTACCTTCTGTGATTATGACTTATGAAGAGTTTATGTTGATGTAGCAGGCATTTGCTACTTGTATACCATTTGTTTCCTTGTTTCCTTTTAACTGCTTACATTTCCTGTCAGAACCCTGTCATGATACAAGAAAACGAAATCATGGGTTGGATCCAATTTAATAAAGCAGGACTTGCCTGCTTTCCCTCATGCTCCCATGTAGGCCCTCCAGATCTGCACTGGAGGGTCCCACAACCTTCTAGAGTAGACAGGGTGGATGTGAGTCCTTCATAGGGGAGGGAAAATCTGTTCCAGCAGCAGCTTCTCTTCCAGTAGTAGATCCAATCCAGTATTTTTTGTCTTGTGCCCATACCTATTGTGTTCAAAAAATGACTAACGGTGCAATCTGATGCAAGTTTAGACAGCCTTATGTCTAGCTGGACCATGCTAGAAAGTTGTAGGATTTCTTTCTGTCTAAACTTAGAGAAGATTGCACCTTAAGATACATTTTAATCTGTTGCATCAGTGAATGCTTAATTATATAAATACATTTAAAAGATGCAGTATTCCTATTAATGTTGTGGGGGAATGCTTTTTAAACTATGAAAGCTTTGGGTAGTAGCGTTTCAGCTATTTTCAAATGTAACTGTGTGACAATTTGAAATACATTTTAATTCACCCTTAATCATATGGGGGGTTTAATTAGTTATTCATAATAACATATTTCTTTGCAGCCATCAGTTTTTCAGTGGCATTACCTTGAAACTACCACATGGTGTCATAATAAGTGTATGTATAATAAGTTGCTCATTCAGGGCTGAAGAAGGTGAAGGAATTCTATGTAGGTTTACTTAAAAGTGGTGTTACTTTGTGAGTCCTTGTTACAGCATACTCAGGGCTCAGTGTATGCTATGCCCAGATTTCACAGTTCTGCACCAAGTAAATCCAAATTCTATGACTGCATTGAAGGGCAATCCGGCTGAAGTGTTTATTCTTAGATGAACATGAGAAAAGAATTGCACAATAATGAAATTTCATGGATCTGGACTGTGTGATTTTCAACTTCTGCTTAGCCTCCGTTTCTAGTTACTGAGGTTTCAGAATTATTTCTATAGGTACAAATGTTAGAATATTGGTAGAGGTGGTGCCTTACCATTTCAGGAATTCTGTGCTAGGTGCCAAAACTATACTTGGGGTTCGTTGTACCACTCCTGCCTGTCTCTCTGAAGCCACCCTGACTCTCCAACTGCTGCTTACTGCCATGACTCCTATATAACAGAAAAATCAGTCTGGAGTCTGCTCTTTTTGAAAACCACAATTGGATCATTGACAGGGGTCACACTGCCCCTCTCCCTCAAGCCTTGGAAGGTTGTACTTGGGAATCAAATAATTAACACCTGGTTTGGAACTATTCAATATAGTTGTGCTGTGGGCCACTATGTGCCTTCCAGTGGCCTCTGCACTGGCATCTATAAATGAGGATTTCTCAGTGTGTTGTCTGAGCTGGTTGCTATGTGCTGGTTGCTAGGATACATGCTGCTAGCATTCTTTCATCAAGTTCCTAACTTATTTAAGTGGATGGATCAGTTCTTTGGGGAGGCAACAGGATTGTACTTGCTACAGGAAACCAGTAACCATTGCCTCGGCTGGGACAGGTAAGAGCATGCCATCGCAAGGTGAAGGTGGACTGGTGAGAGCTGCCTGCTGTCCAGAGTGGGTTTTGGTTTGGTTTGGTTGAGGAAGAAGTCTTGCAATGTCTCAAACTTGTCTGCCATATTCTTTGACTGTTGCCTTGTATTAGCTAAGTATGCCAAGCAGCTAACCAAGAACTTTGCCAGCCCTGCTGCCCAAGTGCTTTTAAGATGCAGCTGCTGGGAACCTAAGGCCTTGTGTGCCAAGTACATGCCGTGCTACCAAACGTTATCCCCGCTCTCTCTCTCTCTCTCATGTGCTTTGCATTGGAAAAGTTCATGCTGAAAAATGGGCAATAGTGTATGGCCTGCTGGGAGACCGATACCCATCAACTCACAAGATTCCTACAGTTAGCAATGGTCAGCAGCAGTTTGGGGAAAGTATGAGGCATGTGGTTCAAGATGCAATTTAAGTATGTAAGGGTTCTATGCATTTCAATTACTGGGATTCTAGATGTGCAATGACACATCTATACATCATATGAATGCAATTAAAAATACTGGGGTAACATTGTTTCCCACTGCAGTAGTAATAGTAATGTGTGGAGTTCTCATTATTATTATTATAACATTTCTATTAAACATCTATCAGTCATTATGTGATCCTCGTAGTTAAAAAGCATTCATGCAGACACGACTTCTTGAGAAGGCAAGCTCCTGTGGTCAGATAGGGCCCTTAGTGTCCCTGTCAAAAGGGGCAATGATTGGCCATTTGTTGTTAGTTGCGAAGTCGTGTCTGACCCATCGCGACCCCATGGACAACATTCCTCCAGGCCTTCCTGTCCTCCACCATCCCCCGGAGTCCACTTAAGCTCACACCAACTGCCTCAGTGACTCCATCCAGCCACCTCATCCTCTGCCATCCCCTTCTTCTTTTGCTATCTATTGTTCCCAGCATTAGGCTCTTCTCCAGGGAGTCCTTCCTTCTCATTAGGTGGCCAAAGTATTTGAGTTTCATCTTCACTATCTGGCCTTCTAAAGAGCAGTCAGGGTTGATCTCCTCTAAGACTGACTGGTTTGATCGCCTTGCGGTCCAAGGGATTCACAGGAGTCACCTCCAGCACCACAATTCAAAGGCCTCAATCCTTTGGCGCTCAGCCTTCCTTATGGTCCAGCTTTGACAGCCATACATTGCAACTGGGAAAACCATAGCCTTGACTATACGCACTTTTGTTGGTAGGGTGATGTCTCTGCTTTTTAGTATGCTGTCTAGATTTGCCACAACTTTCCTCCCCAGGAGCAAGCATCTTTTAATTTCTTGGTTGCAGTCCCGAATTGGCCATACTTGAATTAAATTTCTGCCCCACCACAGTGCTAACAGAAGCAGTTCATAAGACCATGCAATAAAACCTAATATAGCCTATTATATTAAAATATGCTTCACTGAAGGGGGAATCTCTACCTAATTTTACCTCTTAAGTGCTAGACCTCAGACGCCGGTGAGGTGGCTTTCCAACTGTAAGAATCTTGTGAGTTGAGGGGTATCGGTCTCCCATCAGCCCAAAACTACACTGGTTGAAGTCTAAGCGGATGAGCACACTTTGTTGGGAGTGGAAACATGGTTGCCTACCAGTTCATCACAATCTTTTGAGACACATTTACTTACCTGGAATCACACAAATATAGTACTGATGGAAGTATTAATTGGTAATTGGGACAGAAATGCAGAAGAAACAATATTATTCTCCCAGAAGGTACTAGAAGATAACCTGAGAATCAAGCCTGATTTTCAATATTCCATATGTTCCCATACTTGCTTTCTGCTCTAAAGGAATTTATCTTTAAAATTTACATGAAAGCCTTGTGAAAAGAATGTATAATTCTTCCATTATTTTCTGAAATTGGCTGACCTTGTAACTATAATTTGTGGACACAAGACCAATCAGATGAAACAGTTCTGCCATTTCTTAAGCCGTTCCCCTTTGTTTCAGTAGGCCTTGCCCTAGGTATATAACCTAGCAGGCCAGTCAAAATATGATAGGGAAGGCATTGGTCATGGCTTCAGATTTTGCCTCACTTGTGTTGCAGTTCATTGCAATTTGTAGGAGGTGCTTAAAGCCTAACTCTGCTGAATTATCTTTATGGTACCCCAAATGATCTGGTTTCTGTCATTTGCTTTTAAACCTGAACTATGACATCACAGTACCGTGTGTGACCTCATTCTGCTTCTAGGGAGACATGTACACTGTGGATTAACTACTGCCCCAAGTCAGTTTGAATTTTTCTTCATAACATTAAGCAGCATTCCTCTACTGAGAATGATTAGTGGTCAGTCATCTACCATCTCTATTTCTCCAGGAAAACCGTACATCAGAAAATCTGAATCTGTATCTTCTGAAAAGATGGGGCGTCTCCCCCTGGGGGTTGTTTCTCCCTATGTAAGAACAAGCTCTGGGGGCAGTATGGATCCCATGAAATTCTATTGCACAAGCTACGGCACAGCTTATGGTAAGGACCTGATCAATGTAGCAAGGGGTTAATTTTTACATGTCAATACTATGGTCATTATCAGAGCAGGGAAAAATGTTTGCCACCCAATGCAATTGTAAGATCATTCAGATAAACTGGCAAGCTGTGGTTATGTGAACAAGGCCCAGGCTCACATATTCCCAACTTCCTTTAGGTACCAAACTTAGCACATTTGGCTCCTCATTTGTACATCTTAGTTCATTCATTCAAACCAATGTGCAAATTATGATCTGGAGTGAAAAATGGGTTTATCCAGGTTTGCTGGAAAACAAACCATAGCTTGCCTCTTTGGACGAAACGGCAGGCTATGTTTTATGGCATATTGGAGGTAATATGTTGTGTGGTACATGAAGAGAGCAGGCATAAGCAAGTCTGAGGCTCCTTTGGACTGGTCATAATCTGACTGCATCCAAAATGAACAGCGAAATACCTTTACTCAGAAGCAAGTTCTACTAAATTCAGAGGAATTTCCTAGCAGCTTACCATACTTGCCTTCCTTGTATCCTGTGGGGTGCTTGAAATGTTAAGCTAAAATATGCATCTTTTGGCTGAGATATAGATGTATAGAATGTAGGTTCTTCTCTTAAAATGGGCTTTTTCAGTAACAGGCACTATTACTTGTTAAGGGTGGCAGCAGTAGCATGGGGCTACTCGGGGGTTCCAGGGCCCACATGCAGCCCGTGGGTTGTGCACCCCTGTTACAAGCTATATCTGCACACTGGTGGGCCCCTAGTTTGACTGAAAAGTGACTAGATAATTAAATGACCTTGTCTAAACATAAAGGACTTAAATTTGAGTCAAGGCCCTATAGCTTTCATTCTTTCTGCTTTCTGCTATATGAATGCTGTGCTGAACCTTGAAAGAAGTGTAAGCGGGAATGTTTGTTGCAAATGCAATTTAGAGATCACCATTGACTCAAGCAACAAAGGTTACAATGGCCTTTCTGGAGACGCCCCACGCACTTGTAGCCAGCACGTGTCCTCTTCGTGTGGTTTTCATTTTTCGGAAAGCTCAGTCCTCTCGCAGAACCAACTGTTGCAGGGCCTGTTCTCCCTGGTTGCATTAAAGGAGCCGTCAATGAGGCCCCCTCCATCAGCATTGCCAGGGCCAATGGCTGCTTGCCTCTTCCTTTCCCTGCAATGCTTCCATCTGGGTCCATTGCAGTGGGCTATAGTACAGCAGCCTTCCCCACCCTGGTGCTTTCTAGATCTTTTGGGCTATAACTACCGGTATTCCTGGTCATTGGGTCATGCTGGCTGAGGCCAAGGGGAGCTGAAGCCCTAAACATCTCAAGGGCACTAGGTTAGGGAAGGCTGCCTGATTGGGAGAAGAGAGACCCCCCCCCACCCCACCCCGTTGGACTGGCTGGGACAAATTGGCTCCTTGCCTCTTGAAAATGCACCCATCCATCAATCAAGAAAATAGTGGAATACTTTTTTGTGAAGTTGTACCAAAATAAAAAAATCCCAATTGAGAAAGTTAATGAGTATATCCAAAAAGGAAGCCTACCAAAGTTGTCAGAGAAATACCAAAAAATATTAAATGAGGAAATAACAATGACAGAAATAACTGAGGCAATCAAGAGACAAAAGAATGATAAAACTCCTGGCCCAGATGGTCTACCAGCAGAGTTTTATAAAGCTTTTGAAGGAATCCTGTCTATGCCCTTTAAGGATATATGTAAAGTGGTATTGTCAGATGCTAAAATACCAAATACCTGGACTGAGGCAAATATTACCTTGATACTGAAAGAAGATATGGACTTGGCACAGATCCAAAACTATAGACCTATATCACTTTTAAACGTGGATTATAAAATTTTTGCCTCTGTAATGGCAGAAAGACTGAAGAGGTATCTAATGGACTTTATATACCCAGATCAAAATGGCTTTCTACCTAAAAGACAAATGAGGAATAATATGAGAACTATTTTGGATATTCTAGAATATTATGAAATCCACTCTGAAAAACCAATGGCATTATTGTTTCTTGATGCACAGAAGGCCTTTGACAATGTTAACTAGCAATTTATGAAACAACAACTAGCACAAATGGAATTTGGTGGAAAATTTATTAATGCAATATCAATTATTTACCAAAAACAGACTGCCAGGATAATAATCAATGGAGAACTTACAAATACTATAGATATTCGAAGGGCACAAGACAAGGATGTCCGCTATCACCATTGTTATTTATATTGATTTTAGAAGTGTTAAATAGAAATATCAGAGAAGATATGGATATTAAAGGTGCTAGAATTAGAAGTGAAAGCTATAAACCGCAAGCATTTGCAGATGATTTAGTTTTTATTCTAGAGGAACCTTTGGTAACAATGTGTAAACTTTTACAAAAGATAGAAGAGTATGGTGAAGTTACTGGGATGAAAATAAATAGAGAAAAGATGAAATTGCTAGTGAAAAATCGCACATTGGAGCAGAGAACAACTTTGATAGAACAAGTAGATGTTCAAATGGTTAAAAAGGTTAAATATTTGGGAATTTTTCTTACAGCTAAATGTACTGCATTGAAAGAAGATAATTACGATAAACTACTTAAGGAAATTAAGAGTGATCTGGAAAAATGGGCTAATTTGCAACTATCGTTGTTGGGAAGAATAGCAATAGTTAAAATGAATATATTATCAATGTTTTTATTTTTATTTCAAGCAATTCCCATAAAAATTGATAAAAATTTTTTGATGATCTAAACACCCAAGTTTTGAGATTTGTGTGGCAAAAGAAGAAACCAAAAATTAAATTAAAAATGCTTCAGGAGGCCAAAGGGAATGGGGGTTTTGGCCTGCCTGATTGGATGCTGTACTATCAAGCTTTTGTCTTAACGTGGCTAAAAGAATGGATAACTTTAAGAAATAAGAGAATCCTTTATCTTGAAGGGCATGATCTACAAATGGGTTGGCATGCTTATATGTGGTATAAGAAGTGTAAGACACATGGTTGTTTCTTAAATCATTATATTAGAAAGTCATTAATGTCGGTGTGGGAAAAATTAAAGACAAAACTGTACACTAAGTTGCCAAGGTGGCTTTCACCTATGGAAGGTCTTGTATATCCAAATGCATTGAATTTTGATATGATTGTGAAATATGATGATATTTTGGATAATGATGGAGGATTGAAATGGAGCCAAGAACTGCAAGAGCAGGGTATTAATATCTCTTGGTGGCATAAGGTTCAAATACAATCGAGACATGTTAAAGATTATAAAATGTGGGGTTTTCATAAGGAGTTAACAACATTTGACCAAGTGATCTTAAAATCAGATGAGAAAATGATTAAAAGACTGTATAATTTTCTTTTGGATATGAGAATGAAAGATGAACAAGTTAAGGAAACTATGAAAACATGGGCACAAAATTTTGGATATAATATTGAGTTACAGAAATGGCAAAAGTTGTGGGAAAGAAATATCAAGGTAACTTATATAAAGTTATATACCAACCTTATATAAAGAAAATTTCTATAAAATGTTTTATAGATGGTATCTACCACCAAACAGATTAGCAAATATGTTTTCAAATATGTCAAATGGATGTTGGAAATGCAAACATAAACCGGGTACCTTCCAACATATATGGTGGACTTGTGATAAGGCAAAAATATATTGGACTAAAATACATAAATGGCTTGAGGAAATGTTACAAAAATCTTTAATATTTAAACCTGAAGTCTTCTTACTAGGCATTGTACCTGATGATGTTGATAAACAAGCTATGTATTTGATTTTACATGTAATTACTGCGGCAAGGATTGCATTTGCCCAACACTGGAGGAGTGAAGAACCACTGATGAACTGATCTTGAAAAAGATTCTGGATTGCGCTGAAATGGACAGACTGACTTTGTCTCTGAAGGAGAAAGAGGATAAATACTTCTGTCAAACTTGGAACTCTTTTTATCATTGGCTAGAGAACAGGACTATGCATAAATTTGAATATATTTATGGATTGCTATTAAAAAAAATGGGGGGCTGACCCAGCAGGTCTGACGGTTCTGATGACGGATTTTTGTTTTAGTTCCTTTTTTTTCAGTTTGTAGAAAATAACAAAATTTATTCAAAAAAAAGAAAAGAAAAGAAACTGCACCCATCCACAGCCCTTCCACCTGGCTGCTTCAGAGGGAAACTGCAAAGCCTTTCCATTGACATGGCACATAGATCAAATGCCCTTAGTTCTCCCCACACACACATGGACGGTTGCAGTGAGCATTCCACCTGCAAGAAGTGTATGGATATAGTGTATTTAAATACTGGCAAAATAAATCTGCTCTTGCCTCCCTTTTCTCTGGTAGGGCGAGAAGGGTTTCGTCCTCGGAATGGCTTTCACTCTGGAGCTGGGTACAAGAGCAATTACCGGCCTGTTGTTCAGTACAAACCAAGCTTAGACAAATTGGATAATCCTGCTGCGGGGTAGGTATTGGAGACTTGGAGGAAATTAGCTGGGTGGTTCAAAGTGAGAGAATGTCCTTGTGGTGCTACATATTCTGACACGGGTGTTGACCCTCTTGCAGCCCGGTGGCTGAATTCCATTTCTGAGAATCTCCTGGAGAATGCATTTAAGGGGTGGTGGCTAGAGGCAAAGGGGTGAGGCACAGAATAGTAACATACATTAGCTTTAAGCACTTTCTGTCAGTAATTGAGCTTTAGGAGAGGCATGTCAACATTATAGAATGGGAAAAATCTGGGCAGAAACTGAGAAACTACCCAACCATTTGGTGAACTGGGAAAGGAGATATGACTTTCTGAGGCACTCAGGAGGACTGGATTTGGCCCCCAGGCCTGGGATGCTTCAGTCCTGTCCTAACATAATCACATCCACATAACTTAGGGAAGCTTTGGATCAGCAACATACTTTCACTTGTCATACCCTCATTCATTTTCCTGTAACGCAGAATAACAAAGTCCATGGCAAGGAAACTTTACATGATGCTTCACCATGGTGTCATCATTGAGTGAAGCTCAGGTGGATGGAACAGCATGTTTTGGTTGTCAGTTTTAAATTCTTAGCCTGAGAATTGAAAATAAACTTGAAATTCTCTAATTGAAAATAAGACTCATGTCTCATGAGTGTCTTGTCAGCTTAGTTCTAAGGTACTATATAATAGATTTCTGTTGCAGTACTTAGTCTTCCTAATCAGATACTGCCTTTTCACTGTTTCCAGCAATGGAAATCCTAAATAGTTTTAGTTACTTTTTTTTTAGGCTAGCTGTGGTTTGTTTGTCAGAACCCACCCCTGTCAACAATGCTTGTCTCTAAGACCATGCTTAGGGTTGGTGGGAGAATCTCAGTTCGTGTCAACTGGTGGTTGTTGCATCAGAACCAGCAATCCTGGCTTAATTCTAGTTTGTTCTGATGTTTCTCCCCATTTATTGAAATGTGAGTCAAGAGCAATTAAAAATTGTAGACATACCTAAATGATACTTGTTTTTATCAGACCTGAGGCTTACCTCCTCACTTCACTTCGCAACAGATTTAGGTTCCATTATACCTCCTTACTTACCTAGCTTCACTTGAGGGGAGAAGGAAAGTTCAACATCGCCACTGGTTATTTTCTAGATATAGAAAATTCCTGTCTAGGAATCTATCTTGAAAGTATAATTTTGCTCTTGTGAACCTACCCCAATTTTTTAAACAAACAAGGTTAAACAAAAACCTTCTCAAAAGCTGCTCCATGTAACCCTTTTCAGGCAAAAGTCATATTTGTGACTCCTCAGTATTGCGCACCTTGTTGACCAATGAATGACCCCAGAGTTCTACATATTCCTGGAACCAGGCAGTTGAAGCAGGATTGATTCCTCAGGTCAGACCCAAGATGTGAAGGTTGTAAACAAGAATTGACAGTGTTTGGGCAAGTACACAAAATGAGGTCCACACCTCTATGCTCGCTTGGAAGGGTGTAAATAATATGCAACACCCAGATCCAGGTTCCTGCAGCCAGTTCTGGTGGTTGAGTATCAAATGGAACATTTTTACATGATCACTGGTGTTTTTGGACTGCTAGCATGAAAGCTCATGAGAATGCAGGCAGGAGTCTTGGAGCAGGAAGTTGGAGCAGATTTGTGCAGCAAAGTGAGGGGAGGGGAATCAGTAAGAAATAATGGCAGTGGGATGAAGATGACTACATCTGTGTAGCATGTCCTGTGACAGGTAAGGAAACAAAACTTTGGAGGCTAGATCACTATTGGCCTGTTGCAGAAATGGTGTCAGGCAGGGACCACAAATGCTTTTCCTCCTTGGCGATTTTCAGTACCCTTGTGCCAAACAGAGTTGGAGTTTGCTTCAAGGTGTCCTGAGAGTAGCTAACTATCTTGAAGAAGCAGAAGATGAATGTTCCTTGCTGTTTCTACAGGCAGCACCAGAGGAGAACCAGTGATGCAATGATGTGTCTGTTTTCTAATACGGCAAAGGATTCTGCATTAGTACTGAGTATTTGCAGAACAGACAAATGACATATGGTCTCTTTCGTTGCAGGCAAGCCCGAACTTGAGCTGCATGCCAAACTATGTTTAAAGCAAAGTATGGTTTAACATTACACCTGGACATGGCCTCTATCTCCACTAAATCCTGGTGCTTAAGTCCCTTAAGTCTATTCTCTCTCCTAACCAGGAAGCTTCTTCATGACAACTATGAATCAACAACTACTAAGCACTTCCAGCCTCTTCAGCTCCCAGATGGGAAATATCCTCTTCCTTGGAGTGTGCACCAGTCAGGAAGTGGGTATGACCGGGAAAAGCCACTTTCATTTCCCACCACTAAAGCAGTAAGTCTCCAGAATCAAGGCTCTGCACTGCATTGCAGCAATGGAGGGGTGGGAGAACATGTGGTTCTCCAGATGTTTTGGCTTGCAACTCCTACCATCTCTCATCAGTGATTACAGTGCCCAGGACTTACAGTTGTTGGTCAAGACTTCAGGACATCCACCTGCTGTGACAGCCTGAAGTTAACACCTTGTGTCCACTAATAACTGTTTAGACTCCCCTGTGCTGTGGATTTGGCTCAAACTAAGACACCTAACACAAAGTTGGGGATGGGGTGGGATGTTTTCCAGGAATGAATTCTGAGTTTCTGGGTATTTAGAAGCCAGTGAATTCTCAACCTTGTCACTGTACACACATAAGATGCAAAGACATCTACTGCCATTCAGGACTAAGAACACAACACCTTAAACAGGTAAACTGATGGTACAGCAAAAGTGTCTGTGAGGATTCGGATAAACAGAACTTCGGGAACAGGAGGTGACAAGTGGTGAGACAGAAACTTGTATGTGCAACACAATCATGCATATTTACTCAGTACTAAGTACCACTGTATTAAATCAAATGTCCTCACTTGAGAACAAGCCCCATTAAACAACCTGAGTAAACATGCGCAGGACACAGTATGTGTGACGTATCTATAATGACACCAGGTGAGCTAGAGCCTGAAATATGAGCGGGTGAGCAGCAGGAGTATATAATTGACATAGGTTTTAGTAGGCTACTTGGAACCTCTGAGTGGACTTTGCTAAGTCACAGTTAAGGTTTGAATGATTGGACAGTCGTGGGTGAAGACTGACCAGATTGGGCAAGTCCATAGCAAAACAGAATAGTGTGCACCCAGTTGTGGAGACTAAGGGTTCTTTAGAACCCTGTCCTATGTACTGGCCAGAATATGATTTTGTTGGATAGACCAGCACAGTAATGTTCAGTTGGCAGCTCTCCTCAAAAAAGGCTCAGGACTCCTCTCAGGCTGTAGGCCATGAGAGGTTGTGCGTATGTGACTCAGGCCTGCGTGATATTTTAAGTGAAACACATTGTGGCAGAAGGGGGCTGTTTGAACCAAACTTGGGCTTCGTTCAAACCCAAAGGTCAGGGTGACAGCAGCTCAGGTGTGTGGGGTGTGCTACTGCTTATATATTCCTTTCAGACTGAGGGAGGGCAGAGTGACTGAGCCCAGGCATTTGCCAAATGCCTTGGCCTCTGCAATTATGGAATCACTTTACAGTTGTGAGTATTAAAAGCAAAGTGTGGTTTGCCTTGTGTATTGTGAACATTTAGCAAAACACTGTAATCATCATTTTTGTTCAAATATGCTCACTGCAATAGGAAAGATTAGAACCTTTATTCTGTTTAAAATACTCTTAAGCTGAGATTCATATTATTTTGTTTGGAGAGTGTAAGAAAAGGAAGAAAGACATGGGTGCACAAAGACTTGAGGCATCGTAGTTTTCCTTGCAATTAATCAGAGCCTAATCCAGGGTCCAGCCAAGGAGAGGGCATCCCCACCTTCTTTGAGAAGATAAAGAGATACCAAATGTTCACTTGACATTTCTGTCTTGCTTTAACTATTCTGCTGTCTTCCTTCTCCATTATATCCCATTATGTCCCCTCCACTGTATGATGATTCATGCCTATCTAAGTTATTAGCCTTTGACATATAAGCCGATCTCTTGGCTTGGGTGCTTTTTTATTCTTTTACAGTTGCACTTTTTGAATGCATATCTAATTTATTAAATTTATCATTGCCTTAGCTAACTCTTTATTTTAGATGGTGCTTCTCATTATTGTTAGTCACCTTGAATGCAATATCCTTGCTGGAAAGTTGTGTATAACTCAAATAAATAAATGTTCATTTCAAGTTTCAAGCTGGGTTTGATTTTACAGGTCAAGAAAGTCCATTTTGACACAGCAGACCAGGGAGCACAAGCGCTGACAGGGCTGGAGCCCAAGCACACCCCTCTCCTCCACCAGGTGGTGGGAAAAGGCTCCATTGATGTGGAAAATGCCCGACATGTGAGTCCAATGATGCTGGCTCAGTCAGCCCTTCCTCAGGGCCACCCCTGCCATTAGACCACGTGACCTGGCTGCCTCAGGCAGCTGAATTTGGTTGACATGAAAGAGCAGTAGACTATCCATTACTGAATTTATTATAGTAGTGTTTTTGGTTCCAGGGAAGCAGAGAGGTTCTTCTGTAATTTTCTGTCTCTGGCACTCAAAAAACTTGACTAGCCTCAAGCGCCATGCAGCTTGCCTGGGTTTTTAGGTGGTGGGGGTGAACGAAAGTACAATTTTCAAACTTCATCAAGAAAACACATCCATCTATAGGAGAAGTACATTGTGCACGTGCAAAAGAGGACCTTCTCTATGTTGGTTCCAATATCCTCCTATAGGAAGCATGCTTAGAAGCAATATACTCTTTTTGGCATGTGGTTAAAAGCTTTTTATTGCCCAGTCATTTAAAATTTAGATGCATCTTTTTAGCTGATTGAAATAGTTTCAGTGCTTCTTCATTTTACTGCATTGCTGATTAGATTTTAAGCTGTTTCTATTGTATGGAATATTGTGTGTGTGTAGCATCTTGAAATTCTCTTTTGAATGAAGAATCAGTCTATAATTGCTTTAAATAAATGAATACAATGTCATCCAAGTGCATCAGTGGTGAAGAGCTGCAGTCCGGCAACATTTAGAAGCCCATACATTCCCCATCCCAGAGGTACATGGTGTTTAATGAGTGAGATGACAGGTCCCTGCCCTGAGGAACTTACAACTCAGGGGCTGAGGAAAGTGTGTGTGTGTAGAGGGGGGCAGGGGACAGAAAAGAAATGGAGGAAGGAAAATATATGGGAAGATTATGAGATTATTCCAGGTGCATGAACTTAGGCTTCATTATAGTAGAGCAGGTTTCCCAACTGGTTCCACTTCCATCATTCCTGATAATTGGCTGTGCTGGCTGGGACTGATGGGAGATGAAGTCCAAAAGATCTGGTGAGCACCAGGCTGGGGCAAGTTGCAGTAGGATAGGAAGGCTATGTAGGACGCTGTGCCAAAGGTTTTACAAAGAAGGTGGCTTTTATGGAGGAATTTGCAGGTACTCGTCTTTGTCAGGGTGGTGACCTGACAAATTATGGGAAGCCATTTCAGGCATAAGGGGCAGCAAAAAAGAAAGGGCAAACTCATTTGAGAGAACTTTGTACAGCTGAGAAGCATCATGGGATGTAGAGTTTGGAAAGCTTGTGGGTTGGGCAAGTGATAGGCTGCCAGCACATGGTCTTAATTTTTGCTGTATTTGTAGGGACCCCACTACATGTCTACAGAATATGGCTCAAAGTTCCGCTTCAGCATTCCAGGACAACCAGGTATAGCTCTTCTTCATGGCCCTGATATTGACTCTCTCCCCTCGTACAAAGGGGGGTAGGTGTGTTTGTCCATCTTGCCTCAACTAGCTAGTGTCTTGCATTTTTTAAAGCACCTTCAGTCAGTGACCAGCTGGGAGGTCACAAAGAAAAGGCAGCTAGCTCCTGCAGAAGCATTGCCTCGCTAGTTCTTAGACAGTAGCTAAATCTTGAAGTGACATTTCATCCAGGCAGTCTCATATTGCTAACAAAAATGAGTATTGCTGGGATAAGAAGCAAAGCTTCTAGTCTTTTGTGTGTGACATTTTCTAGGCAAATGATGAATCTGGTGCCACCTTCTTTAGCCTAGTGGCCCCCCACACACATTGGAATGCCACTCCCATCATCTCCAATTGGCATGGTACTTAGGAGTTGCAGAATGACATTGGAGTGGCATTTTAAGACATTTGGAGTGTGTAACATTGGGAGAAATTGTTCTAGTGAGTCCTACCTGTCTTTAAGACAAAAATGTTGTGTTTAAATGAACAATATTGCCAGCTTGCTGGAGCCAGTTGATTCTGAAGCCACAAAGGAATCTTGTAGTCTAAGGAGAATTGTATCTGTTAAGGAGGTTGTAGCTATCACTTATTGAAACTAGATATTTGGTTCACCAATGCCAAAAAAGAACAGGGAAAATGGTAAGTTGAGAAGCAGAGTCAGTCTGACACTGGACATGCTGGTTACAATCCAGTGTAGAATTAAATTAATGTAGGCCTGTATTCATTGGAGATTGCTGTGTGCTTGAAATAGAACATATGTAAAATAGTACCACTGTCACAAAGGTAGCAATCTGGGAGATATTTTATTCTTATACTCTTTGCATGTCATGCTGCAGTATGCTATTTTCCCTCCTCTGAATCTCACCTCCCTGTACTTTGAATTTTAAGTTCTCCTAAATTCATATTTAGGAAGCTAAAGCTATAGTTTGGATCAGATCCAGATTACAAGTAGCTCCCAGCTGTATACTGGTTTTTTTTTAATTCCACATATCAATATTGCCACCTACAAGCATTCAAAAATAGTGTCATAGAAATGTTGAGATTAATATGGAAATTGGAGAGGTGGATTGTTATATTTTTGTTGGGGTACTTTTGTGGGGGGTTACCTTTTTATTTCTAGGTCTGTGGGGGTTCTAATGTTTAAACTTTCCACTACATCTTGGGAAGCTGGAAATACATTTTATAACGGAGGTGGGGTTTCTTGCATAACTAGGAACTGAAGAGGAGGGATTCTAGAGCTGTGCAGCATTTTTGCTATAATATCAGAAGAAGCACAATGAAATCAGTTGCTTGGAGTTTGATGGAGAGCTTGTTATATTACATGTCAGAGATATGGATATGTAAGTTACCCTTGTGTCTGAAAGGAACCCTTGCATTTAAGGTGACAGTGAAAAATCTAGGCAGCTCTTTCACAGGATGATGTTTCTGTATATTCTGGGTTTCTGTTTTAGAAAATTGCAGTTCAGAGGTCACCTTTCTTAGCCAGCTGCATGGATGTATCATGTCCATAAGTGTATGAACTGTACAGAACAGAGAATAACTTGTGACTTGATATTTGCTCCATTCAGTTACAGCATGGATGGGGAAGCTGCAGGCTAGATGCCTCCTTCCTTGGTCTTGCCCTGTCTTCCTTGGCTTCGGGGCTGTCTCAGAAGGAGGGCTTCCTTGGCCCAGCCAGCTTGGAATAGCAATAAGCTGCATGTGCTGGCCCCACGAAATATCATGCACTTATTACACAGAACAGTTTTGAATGGCTAGGTGTCATGATGGCTGCATGCAACATCTAGGATCAGAAACAGGAGTCTGTCTCTGGGTATCACTTGTGGTGAAACACAGTGGGAGAGTCATGCTTTCCTTGTGTCTGGCTTGTGCACTTCCCAGGTATTTGGCCAGCTACCATCCCGAACGGGCCTTTAGTACGATCCAGCAGCATTCTTCTTAAGTACTTATAAGCATCCTTATATTGGTATTGACTCTCGGCCCTTGTTATGGTTGGCATAATGCACAGGCTGCTTGCTGTGTTAGAGAGAAGCAGGCTGGTCCAATGGCCCTGCTATGGGCCAGCTACTAAATAAGCACTTCTGTTGGCATCACGAAGCCCCTCATGATCTTATGCATCGCCTTCGGCAAAGAACATTGCTGGACATCAAGGCCTAGTGTAGCAGGACTGGCTGCCACTCTGAGATCACCCACCAATGATTACGAAGGTCACCAGGAATAACCCCACTGCATCCCTGCAGGGGACGTATTAATCAGAGAAGAGCCCCTTGTGCTTCTCTTTCTAAAGGACTCTCACTGCCCTGTGAGGGGATGACAGCTCCTTGTCGCCTGCGGCTGCATTCTGTGGGGCTCCCTTGGACCCCCAGGCAGCCCAAGCACAGCCTGCAAACAACTCCTTTGACCAGGAGAAAGCCAGGATCGGATGGTTGTGGGATGGCCAGGGGGACTGCTGCATCCGTCACAACTTTCAGCCATTTGCCCAGTGGGTAAGGCTGAGCCTGCAAGTGACCCCTCTGCTCCCAGGGAACTGCTGCTGTGTGGTACCCAGGATTCCACTCAGACAGGGCTTGGAAGATGCTTTTTGCGAGGGGGAGCAATGGTGTCCACATGAACAAAGGAGAACTAATGCTTCACTAGCTTGGAAGGATGAAGTACAGTGGCCTGGCTGGCCGCTCAACTGGAAAGAGCAATACAATGGAATAGGGAGAGATGACTGCGAGTTCCACTCCTGGAAGGCAGAATTGCTGGACGTGTTCTGCGGGTCAGAATATGCTATCCTGGGAATTTCATGCAGGTTTTCTTGCTTACCGTTTCAAAAGCGGTAGTCAAGTTATCACCTTAACTGCTTAGTTTTACCTCTTAATCTCTTTCTCAATACAGATTTCCTGCAAAAGAAAACAATTGGAGCCAAGGAAGAGACAGGATTCACCGAAGGCTGCCTTGCTAACCCCATTGTGGACAAACCAACTTCTCAGGTTCTCCCAGTGGAATATGTGTCTTTGCTGCTGTGTATATTAAGGATTATGTTAAGCATGCTACAAAATGAAGCCCTAGCAAAACTGCTGATCTTGCTCTCTTGAGTTTGGTCAATTTGCAGACTACACATGAAATTATTCATCTCTTCAGTTCTGGTATGTATGTTTGAAAAATTAATACCAGAATGGGTTTGCAAAATCCCCCGCATTCTTATCTCACAATGCCATGGCCAGGTCCTTGACAAAGGTAAGAGTTCTCTCCCAAACTAGGATATGTGAGAAGGATATCCAAACATAGAGACTGAGAATATTGCTCTGCAGATAATTTTAGTTTGTAAAAAAGGATGACCAACATTGTAGGGTTCAGGGCCACACGGGAACATTTAGGGCTTTGCATGAGTGGGTTGAGCTTAATGAGTGAGTTAATGGGGCTGGGACACATGCACCCACTCACTGAAACATACGTTCTCTCTCTCACACACACTTCTCCTCACATGCAAGCATTTCCTCTCATGTGCATTCATTCACTTCCCCTCTTCCTCTCCCTCCCTTCCTGTAGTAGTCCTATTCAAGATCGCTGCTAATAAACTGCGAGTGGGAGGAGATGACAATTGCTGGGGGGGGGGGCATGTGAGGAAAGCCTCCAAGAGCCTCCTTCTCGTCACCCCAGCCCCTAGCTGACTAACCAGCATGGCAGGGAACAGATTGCTGGCGGGTGGGAAGAGGCAAGGTTAACGCCTCCACCCTCCCAATCATCCCACTCGGGATAACTGTTACCCTGCTGCCGCTAGCAGTGTGAAAGATGATCCTGATTGGGATTGCTGGGATGGGAGGCAGGATCTGCCTCTCCAGGGAGGCTGAAAAAGGTAGGCTGTTTCCCTGCTGCTAACAGGAATAGGTGAACAGCACACCGATCCCTGCCGCTCAGCTGATGGGGTGTGAGGGGTAGAAGAAACCGGTGGGGAGCCCTGGGGTTCTGCAGGCTGTGTGCATGTGCAGTCTACTAATAAGGAAGCCATCCTTTGAGAGTCTCACGCTGTGCATTCAAAATAACACTATCCACACCCAAGAGTAGAGGCAACAGCAGGCTTGGGGGGACCCCAACGTTGAGGAAGTATGAATGTTTTGAGGAGAAAAGTGCTACAGAGAAATTTTCTCAGAATAGATTTCTCTCAGGGAAGGCAGATAATGCCCAGTGGGAATGAATGCAGAGTCAACTGGGTGATGGGAAGTAGGAAATGGAAGACTGGGGTATGGAAAGATCCGGGAAAAGGACATGGCTGGCTGGTGCTCTGAACAGGCACAAGCCACACTGCAGATTTTGCTGCACATCTCACTTGTTTTACCATCCTAAAGTGAGTTCTGTCCTTGTGGTCACTTTGCTTTCACCTCGCCGTAGATTTAACCCACGGTTCTCTGTAGCTCCTTCAATAGCACAGATAGGGTTCTGTGTATTAAGTCCCAGACAGCGCTGCCTTGCACTATGTCTCCTACGATGAACCTGATTAATGAGATGAGATGTTCCATCTGGCCTCTTTTCTCTCTCAGGATCTCAAGTATCTGGTTTCTGCTTTGCAGGACAGGAGCCCTGGAATCAGCATTATGAAGACGGATTATCTGCCCTCTTCCCCTCCACATGTAAGGAGTCTTTGGTAGGGAGTAGGAGCTGATAGGGAGTAGGAAGACAAAAAAGTGATGTTTCTTCCCTTCCACTCCTATATTCCACCCCGGTTTGTGTGTGCTGCAGCCACATGCATTATGTTCTCCTTGACAGGGTGATGAGTTTCTACCAGTCATCTCCAAGGGCTCCGAGAGGGGCTCCGGATTCAGTCAGGAGAAAGATCTTGGCCTTGGAGCTGCAGTAAGTGGCGGTCCTTTGTTAGCAACATATTTGCAATCTGCTTCCCTTAGTATTTCCCCTCTGCCTGCTGCTTTTCTTACACTAGCTTCCTTGGCTATCTCTTACATGTCTGCAGCTCTTTTCCTGCTAGCATCTCCCTTGTATCCGCATCAAGGTTTCAGGATGTCAGGCCCAGGGACCAAATCCAGCTCTCTTGGGGTCTTAGTCTGACCTTTGGGGCTCCTCCCATGGCCCCATCCTGTCCCCAAACTGCTCATTGTCTGGTGGCTTCCTGGCTTTTCTGTAGTTTTTTCCCCTATTCTAAAAGATTGGAATGTCTTCCCTGAGTTTAATTCACCATCAGTAAGTGGGTTAAGCTAAAGTATGCAGCTATTTCAGCCCCAACCCTGTTGCCTTCAGCCCTGGTCATGACTGGAATATGGCTCCTGAAAGCTGCTCAGGCTGCAAGAAGTTCTGCATCCTTGATCTATGCCACATACCTCTGCCTGCCATGACCTATTTCTCAACTTGCTTTCCCTTGTGTTTTGCCACCTTCCTCTGAGATGTCTTTCCTTGTTATACTCTGCAAACTGAAGCTTTGTGTCTGTCTGCCGATTCATCTTACTACCCTCCGTGTGCACAATGCTTCCTTTTTGCTCTTCTCCAGCTTACCTCCACCCCAGTGTTCCTTCCGCCACTGTCTCCATCTTGATTCTTGTCTTCCTTCTTATACCTCTGTCATGTGCACCAGCTCCCACAGGATGGCCTTCACTTCACACCATTTTTGATCTTCACAGGTGGTTCCACCCCCCGCAGAGGTACCTGGCCCCCTGAGCCATTCTCAGTACCAAGGTCTTCAGCAGCAGCCTCAGACACAAACCAGTCTTCTGGGGCGGGAACATGTGGGTAACAAGGTATGCCTGCACTACAGTCTGCATAATCCACGGGGCTCTTTGCTTTGCCCCTCTGGTATCAGACCCTTAGTTTTCTTTTCATGGTCCTTTCCATACAGGAGCCAACGGGATTCAGCCTCAATAACCTCAGTTATGTGTCACCTGCATATGATCCAGATCTGCCCAACAGGTTCTTGACTAGCTATAACTCCAAGTGAGTTTCATAGTAATTTACCCTGTATTGCATTAGGATAACAACATTGCTCGGTTATACTTTGTTGATTTAAGGCTTTTATTGGTGCAGGGCTAGGGTTCTGGTTCCTTTATTTTTGTGGACCTAGCTTTGTTCCATGCACAGGGAGATTTTCTGGGGCAGGCAGCAAAGGACTGTGTAGCTGCTTGGTCCGTTGTTTGATGTCTGAATGGTATGTACCAAAATAGCCATACTCTACAGAACCATGCAACTGCCATGTCTGCAGGACCTCGAGGACATAATACCTAGTAGGAAGTCCTTTCTCCGTGCCTAGTGGATTCGGCACTAATCCCTCTTTTCCCTTCATCAGGTTTTATGAAAATATTCCAAAGGGAGTGGACAGGGAAGGCTGGACGCGTGGAGGGATCCAGCCTCAGAAGGCAGGTGGTTTTGCAACCAACAACCATCCCACTGGCTTAGGCACTGACCCAAATGCCACAGAGATATTGAGAACTGTTCACCCCCATGTTGGCAGGTAATCCTCCTCAATGTGTTTGAACTCTTACTTTCCAGGCCTAGTGGCCCCTAGACATTTTGGGTGATCATTCCTAGAATTACTGACCGCTGGTTAACTGGCTGGGGCTAATGGGAGTTGAAGTCCAATGCATCTGGAGGACACCCGGTTGGAGAAGGCTGTTTCAATGATCCCCCTGTCCTTCTTTGCCCTTTCTTTCCCCGCTCCCTCCAATGGATTTTCCTTTTGGAATCTGTCTGTTCTGCTTTAACAGGACCATCACAACAGTTGATCCGTTCTATCGTGACTCTCCTCACGACCGCCGCTTCACAGCTCTCCATCAGACAACGGTACCCAATTAAGTAAGTTGCATGATCATTGCATCTTAGGGCAGTAGGATCACAAGGCTGAGCAGGACTGTGCGTTGGTTGGGGGGCATATGCAAAGACAGGTATTGGGTTGTGTTTTGATTGATTTGGTCATTGCTGGAAATGGAGCCTAGGGCCTCTCAGGCCTCTCAGATCTAAGTTTCTTCTTCCACGAATACCTGCAGACATTTTTCTCTCTTTGTAAACCAAAATGTTAGAGACCCAACCAAGCTTTTTCCCTACCCAGGAAATGTCCAGAGAATTGCTGTGGGGTCAGTGTTGCTAAAGAAAAGAAATTCACAGGCCCCTGTAAGAAATGGGGACATTCCTCCCTCTCTCAGTATTTATCCTCTACATTAAATTTACTCACTAATTTACCCTTTTTTGCAGCTTCTGTTCTGACCTGGGCAGTCTTGTGTGATGTCTTCAGGTTATTATCCCACATGCTAAGAAAGGAACACAAATGATAGTGCCAATCATCTTTTATATCAAGAAATGTATTGTTTTAAAAAAAATTAAAACCTATCTTGGTAGTATGTCTTGTGTCCTAGATGCAACGCTGAAGTGTGGGAAGAAAATTTTCTAGCGGTGGGTAGTGCTTCATAGAGCCTAGGGAAGTTTTAAGTAGGAGGAGATGGCAGAGGTGGAGTAGAGTGAACAGAGCGAGTCCTGATGTGGCCAACTGACGGCCCCACAGTGCAGGTGCAAGGTTCTCAACCATATGGATGCTTTGGAGAGGGATCCACATTTTCTTCTCCACTTTCAAGCTCCTCAGCACTCAAGGCCATCTACTAATTTCCAGGGTCAGCGGGTAAGGCCAGTACCTGGGGTAAATATTCCATCTGAGTGCTATCTATACCGGATTATTTCAGTTTCCAACAGTGGCAGTGCAACAAAGCTGGCTTGACTCTGCTAAGAGTGAAAAGGATTCACTGGGCTTCAGAGGAGGGGCTTCTTGTTCCATCAATCAAAAGTTGTTGTGCAGTGATCCTGCCTTTTCTTCCTTAATGGAGTTTTGGAAGCCGTGGTGGAAAAACAGGGTTACAAATAGAAGATGGTGGCATCTGGACTCCCTGGAAAATTCCATGAATGAGGTAGAGCAACTGTACAATGAAAACCTTGTCTGGAAGCATTCCCAGAACATCAGATCTGGTACAGTGTCCTCTTAGTGGTACTACTTACCAGCATCTTGTTTTCATCAAACTAGTATTTGCCTTGTGGCAGCAAGGATGTTTTTGCGATCTTCTTGATCTCAATATGAGCTGAACATGCACACGCACACCCTGCAGGATGCCTTGTACCCCTACAGGGCATGATAAAACACCGTGCGGCAAAGCTTCCGTATGCCTCTTTGTGCTATGATATACATATTCATCCACCTACAGAATCAGTGGGATACTGTCGCTTTCATGTACTGTGCAATGAAAATCCATGCTTGTGCGGGGAGCACTATATGGTGTGAAATGGTAGAAGGAGAGTGTGAAGCTGGAATTCCCTGGATTGTTTTTATTGTGTGACCCACATGAAAAGCATACGGCTCCCCTTATGTACGTAAGTGAATTTGCACACATGGATCCTAAAGCCAAAGTCACATGAAATGTGATACAAACTTGGGCTTCCTTCCTTTTTCAGCATGGAATGGGCACTCTGGCTTCTTTCAGGTGCAATGCACACCATCTCAGCTCTAGTTCTCAGTTTTTTTGTCTAGTGCTACAGTGTGTTGTCCTCCTTTTTCCATTTCTCACATTTCTCTCTGTGGATAAGTTTTCACTCCTAGTGAATGTTTCATGGGCTGCTCTGGCACTAAAAAGGAAAAAAAAACCCTTCTCAGTACCAGATGCACTAGCTCCTCTTTCAGAGTAATGTTATCTGGCACTTGAACTGGCGTGCCTAATCAGTGGAGAATGACTTGCAATTGGCTTTGCTATTTCACCCAGCAAATCCTATGAAGTTGTTCTGCATTCAAGGACCTAGAACTTCTCCTGAACTTGGTTGCTGCACGGAACACATTGATCCATTGCCTAACACTGAAAAAGTGTGTAAACTAAGACAATTCAGAGATGGGGCAAAAGTGATAGCTAGTTTTTGCACGTATGCGTATTCAGTTAAAGAGTGAGCTTGACTATAGCTTCTGAGAAAGCACTTCCATTTGAAAACATTCTGTTCTCCATTCCAGTTATTGTCTGGCTGTCTCTGCAGCCTCATAATACCAGATGCATGTATTTCTGTTATCTTCATGGCTTGGGGCACCAAGAGAGTCCTTTATTAGGGATTCTTAACTATTTGTGAAATATTTAGATTGTTTTCATCTGACACCACATCTTTTTTTTCCTAGTGAAGCTATGTTAAATCCTTTATCCATTGGGCAAACCATTTCTTCTTGCTATTGGATTATATTTTGACAGGCATGCGTGGTTGCACTCAACATCTTCCCATTTGTCAGCCAACACGTGACGGCCTGTTTGAAGAGAACCCTTAGCACAACCATGTGGACTAGATTCATCCCTCTCCACTCACAAACTGTGGCATTTCCATCTTTGCATGCAGCCTGCAGAACTGTGCTCTCTACCATGCTGTTTTCTTACATATCTAATCTGCTGTCTGAGACATGCTCTCCGCTTTCTTCCTCCTACTGAATATCTGTGTTTGCATTTCTCCAGATGGAGTAGCTGCATTTTTCTGAAAATAAGCAGTCCATGCTGTTATTGAGTGTTATTGTGTGCGGGGGGGAGGGGGGTGTCTTGTCCCAAATTGTGTTTATGTGCTACATGCTTGTGGGTGGATGTGGAGGTGTGCTCTATCAAGTCCCTATATGTATTGGGTGATGACGTGGATGGTTACCTGAAAAATGGGCCACTGTTTCATAACTTATCCATACTAGAGGCAATCTTGCAAATTTAAAAGGAGTATAGGGACATACATCAGATTTGTAACATCAGCTGGTAATTGACTCAGCAGAAGACAGCAAAGCTGCCTATAGTTCTGGAAAAAGAATCCCAATCTCTTTTGCAACCATCTGGAGTGAAACTAATTCAGAACGAGTGTCACTCATGACAATGGATATATATAAGTTTGAGGGGGAGTTAGTACAAAAATAACTACTGTGGAGATACATTGAGAGAGCTACTGGAGGTTAGGGTAGTAGTGAACCAAACCTGATTAAGGATAGCAAGTCTGCCCAACTGGATGCCCTCTAGATGCTTTGGATAACAATTTCCAGAATTCCTGGCCTGCAAAATAATCTGGAGGGCACCAAGTTGGGGGGAGACTGCTGAACAGATTCTGAAGGCTTGGTTGTTGACCTGCCAGTAAAATCAATGGAGAAACAATTCATTATTTCTGTGGGACCTAGACAAGGATCTAACAAATTACTGTTTGTGCTATAAATGTTGGCATTTCAGTTATGCATGTGATTTGTTATTTATGCCTATGAAATAGGTTTGGGAATTCTTGTATAGTTTTTCTGTAACTGAAAGGTGGTGTTGCATACAACAGAGGCCTTTGGCCAGGAAGTTCTTATGGCACATCGTCAGCTATGAATGATTTGCTATTTACAGTGACAGTCCAGAAGACCTGCTGTCTCATATCTACAGTGCCTGGTACTATGCCTTAATTATTAGTACAACAGACTCAGCAAGCTTTTACAGCCTATGGCAGTGCTGATGGAGGCAGTTTTCTTGTGCTTTTGACACCCTGGAGCAAACTAGTAGTTTCTAATTTTGTGGAACCAGAGATCAGACACATTTCTTAATGCAATGAATATACCTTAGAATGGTTGGTGTTTGGTGATGTTGTATTGGTTGTAGTTTCAATAGATACTACAACTACTTCTCGCTGCAGAGGCTTCAAGCTAAAGTGATTGCAGGAAGGCTAATGCCATAGACAGAAGCCTGTAGAGACTGGCTTTTTAAAGTGATTGTTTAAGCACTCAAGAAACTATCTTTGCTGCAGTGGTGCAATAAAAACCAGCTCATGTGGGGTTCTGCATATGCTGTTGGCCTTGTACAGCCACACAGAATTGATGGAAATTGGGCTTTTTTTGGGGGGGGGGGCGTTCTGCACAACACAGATCCAAAACCAAAATGCACTATTAGAGGGAAAAAAGATTAAAATAAACATTACTCTTTTAAATGAATCACACCACTAGTTATATATCTATTATATGTCTTTGTGTAGTGTTATTTAATGGATTATACTACTGCTATTAAAAACAACTTTTCATAGACTTTAACAAAGGCACCCCAAATGTCCATGTTTATTTATGCAGAGATTACACCTCAAGGCCATGCATTCAAGACTGAAAGTTTCATTAAATTCTCCACCCATTGTGTTACTGCAAGTGGGCTTTTATCCTTCCAATGTTGTTTTAACTGTCCAAAGGGTACAGAAAATCCTTTTATGCTGACCTTGTGCTAGATTTCAAGAGATAAGTAGATAATTCAAAAGAAGAGGTGTAACCTTAATTATTAAATAACTTTCCAGCATAAGATTTATCTGAATTATTACCTCCTCCCCAAAGGAATCTGCTATTGGGCATTGCCAAAACATATCAAGAAGACAAGCATTAGCAGCATTGTACTCCAATCTTGGGTTGATGTAATTAAACTGTTATCAAAGAGATGCTGTGGCATGCAGTATACATGAACCATCAAATTTTGCTGAATTAAGCATAGCCTAACATCTATGATCCCTTGCAAAACAGGTAACAATGGAGGTTGTTACTGGCATTAAACATCACACAATAAAGCAGCTGGGACAAGGCATCCTCAGTCTTCATTTATAAAAGACGGAGAGTGAACTTTTAATTTTTATTATGTCAAAGTTGAAGCTCTTCAAAAAAGGCAAAAGCTTTTCAGGATTTTACTTAAGATTTCTAGTTGTCCTCTTTGTAAAGCAAGGGTGCGCGCTTTATGGTCCTTTACAAGTTTTAGCCTACAATGTCTATCATCTGTCACCTTTAGCAATGCCTCATTGACTGCATGCAAAGATGGAAATGCCATGATCTGTAAGAGGAAATAGATGCTCTTAGTCTACATGATTGTGCTAGGGGCTCTGTTCAAACATGTTCTCTCTTAAAGGGCAATACTGACTGCGTTGCCTAGGGATGTTGATGGGTTGTAGACAAACACATCTGGAGTGCCATAAAATGCTCACCCCCCCCCCCCCGCAGCCTCAATAACAGGTGCTTAGCATGCCGCTAGCCAGCCAGCTTCTGGGAGAGAAACTGGGGTTTACTTGAAGTAATTCCTACTGGATACAGTGGAGATTACTCCTGTGTCACTGGGTGCAGGATTTTCTTGAGATCTGGAGATAGGCTTGCCCTCATCAGGGCACCAGAATGACATTTAGCTTTGAGCAGTTGGGGAGGTGGGCCTTAGCCTGGCCAAATGTATCATCCTAGTATGTGGCCAATGTCCATTCTGGAGAGGACTGCGGGGAGATGCACTTCAACACAACTGGAGGCCACCAGAGTGAAATTTGTGGTTATTCCACTGGGGCCACTGTCCACTCGAATCAGTGATAACCACACCTGTTAGCTCAAACTGGCTAACACTTGTGAATCTGCAAGGTTAAGGCAAAAATGTTCCCTGACTTATACATATTGCATATGTATGGGGATCATACCACTGATCGTTCACCTATAGATCTCCCTGCCCATTTTGCTCCTGGAAACATGGTTTCTGTGACACTGCAGAGCAGGTGTGATTGACCTGAGTTCAACATCATCTAGAAGGTCACAGGTTCCCCACCCTGGGGTAAGGAATCTGTTAGTAGTAATTGTTCTGAAGCAAAACGTCTTCACAACTTTGTCCCTGACCCCCTCTGAATTTTTTGGGCTACAATTCCCAGGATGTCCTGCCCACTGGGATTTAAAAAGCTTCTGGTGTAAGAAGCCGGAGGGGACCAGGTCGACGAAAGCTTTTTAATATAGCCTTTGCTTTAGCGTGTGTGGGAGGGAGTGAGGGAGCAGTCACTTGGCTCTCCCAGCCGGTGTGATTCTGCTGCTACTGCTCAGCCTGCGCTCCCATTGCTTGGCCGGGTCCGTCTCCTCCTACATTTTGGCTGCTGCGCGACACGCAGGAATGAAAAAGGCAAAGCTCTCTCCCTTCCAACCACGGAATATCCACGCCGGGAAAATGCACCCATCCGCAAAAACTGTACCTGTTTTAGGACTACCTGTTATCGCAGGTGCTTAATGGTGTGCGGCTGGAAGAGGCTGCCCTCCCGCTTATTTCAGTGCGCGAAAACAGGGTGGCACAGACGAGACGGACCTGGAGAAGCTCTTCAGACTGTAGCCGTCCGGGGTGCCAGCAAGCAGGAGCACGCGCCATCGGAAAACGGGGGGCACGAGGGCCGGATCGACGGGGCGTGGCTTCCTCCTCTCCTTAGCTACCTAGTCGGGTTGGAAACTCGTCCGCTCCCGTAAAGGGGGGCGTGTCCGGTGAGGAGTGGGGGGGGGGGGCGGGGGGAGGGGCGCGCGCGTGCGAGAGCGCAGCGAACTCGTAACCCCGCCCTTGCCTTGCCATAGGCGGGCGATCCCGCGTGGGGGTTTCCATGGAGACGAGTCGCTAGGCGCCCGGCTCGTGTGTGGGAGCCGAGCTCAGACCAAGCCGGGAGCCCCGGAGCGAGAGAAGCCGGGAGGTTAAGGGCAGCCAGCGCCTACCTGTGCCGGCGCGCGGAAGATCCTAAGGCGGCGGCGCGGCCACCTGAGGGGGCGCCCTCCCTTCCTGCTGTGGACGGGAGCGCTAGCAGCGGCCCCAGCCGCCGTCGCTGCCGCCACCAGCTCGCAGCCCCCAGCCCCTGAACGTAAAGGGTGGCCTGGGACCGGGGAGCAGCCGGCTAGCCGGGCACGAGCGCTGTATTGGAGCGCCGCTTACCATCCCATGCTAAGGAGCTCCCGTCCCGCCCTCTTCGGCTCTATCGTGGGGCTGAGCTGGGGACGCCAGCTTCCGAGTTCTGGGAAGCTTTGGCGGGGGAGAACCCGCTGGCGGCGGCAGCATCAGTTCCAGCCCTGGCAGGGGATATTGCCAACCAGAGAGCCCTGGTCCTGACCCCGGGAGGGCAGTCTCGTGGGCAGGGGCCTAGGGGGCTGCCATGTCTCCTTGGAGCCCACCAGGCCGAGGTGGAGGCCTTCGTCCAGCCAGCAGCCTTCCCTGGCTATGAGGATGGGCAGTGGGGGGTCCTCAGGCAGGGAGGAACGGCTGCCATCGGCTGCCGAAGAGCAGCTGAATGCTGGGGATCAGATGCTGGAGCTCTCTGGGCGCCATCTGAAGAAGCTGCCAATACCAGTCTGTGCCCTGAGCACCCTCCAGAAGCTCTACATCAGTGGCACAGGGATAACAGAGCTGCCGGAAGAAATAGAGGGGCTGCAGGAGCTGCGGATCCTGGCATTGGACTTTAACAAGCTGGAGGAAGTGCCTGAGGCTCTGTGCCGTCTACCACAACTGACCCGTCTCTACCTTGGCAGCAATCGTCTTTTTGGGCTTCCTGCAGAGTTCTGTCAGCTCAAGACTCTCCGTTGCTTGTGGATTGAGAGTAATTACTTGTACCACTTCCCACGGGTCCTGCTTCAGATGCCTGGACTACAGTCCCTGCAGATGGGTGACAACCGACTCAAGACCCTACCAAATGGCCTGCCACGCATGAGGGGGCTCCGGGGACTCTGGCTGTATGGCAACCGCTTTGAGGAATTCCCAAAGCCTTTGCTGCGCATGACCCAGCTTCACATCCTCGACCTGGACCGCAACAAGCTCACTGAATTTCCTGACTTGAGTCACCTGTGGAGGCTTCGACTCTTCTCCTATGACCACAACCCTGTGGAAGCGCCACCCAGTGTGGCAGACACAGTCATTGTGGTGGGTGAGGGAGCCCAGGAGTTTATGGAAGCTAGGGAGGAACGTCGCCAGGCCATTCGGGAGCAAGAAGAGGAAGAACAGGATGAGAATGAATCTGAGGTTCTCCAGACCAATATAAAAAATGACTCCTCCATGTTGGATGATGGGGAAGGCAGTTATTCTCCTCTAGAATGCTCTCCCGAGGAGACATGAAATGGGTGCAGCACAGTTGCTGCACTGAAAATCTGTTGGGCTCTAGAAAAAGTGCTTTTGTCCTGCAGGGAATTAGGAGTTGGACTTGCACTGTGTCTGCCTCCAGAACCACTGCCTCTGCAGTAGGATCATTGGCAACTGTTGACCAACGATCAGTTGGTCAATTCCTTGTAAAGGACATCTCCTCCAAAAACATGCAGTCTTTCTCTTTTTCCTGACTGGAACTATGGGCATTCTCAGCCCCATATATCTGTAACTTTATGGGTAACTTTGTTCCTTGTGAACACTCAGGTTGCAAGGGATGGGAGGGGTTGTAGGGGCAAATTATTTGCACAGTGGATAATTCCATTGCACCAAATGTTTGAAATGATCATCCTTTGTCCCTGATTCAAAGCATAAATAATGGTCACATCATGGTGAAGGCAGCACGTCAAATTGACTTTAATGCTGTGACAGTCTGGTATCCGTGGGTGATCCCCAATCTGGCTGGCTGACATGCTACAATGAGTCTCAACAACAAGAGAGGATAAAATCATCTTGTTATTTATTCTTCCCAACCCACTTTTAAATCTGAGCCCCAGAAGGTTGCAGAGTTGATAATGGGAATGTGAAATCATTCATCCCAGGAATTTTTATTTTACTACTGGAATTAAACTTGGTTTGCTCCTTGTAGCTGTCAGGTTTGAGAAGAAGCTCATGTGAAATCCTTGTTTGTGTACAGAGCTATCCGTCCTGGAAAGAGCGTTGCCTCCACTCTTTGTATGGTGGGAAAGAAGCTGTGTGCTTTGCCCTGCTGCTTTCCTGGACTTTCTATTCCCATAAAAGGGCACAGAAGCAAAACTGATATGACCTGGGCCACTGCAAACTTGTGTGGATCTTGTGTTAGAATGGTGGCAGCCCCAAGACTTTCTTCTGTCTTGGAGGGTGGCAGGTTCATTCTTGTGGGGTTGATTGTGGAGGAACTTGGGCTAGATTTGTATTAAATCTAAGCAATAAAATCACTTCAAAGGGAGAGCAAGAGAACTGGAGGGGGGAGGGGGAACACAAATTCTCAGGGAGATTGCTCCAAAAGCAGCAGACCAAAGTTGTTGGGCAAGGTGGGGTTATTTTTAAAGTGTGTTGTAAATGAGGTTATAACACCTAGTGAAAAAAACAAGTTCCTCAGGCATTTGTGTTATTTATAAAAAAACAAACAAAAGCATTCTTTCCTGCTCCTGTTTCTGATCAGAGCACCATTCTGTTCTATACCTCTTCCTCTCTCATTCTAACTCACTGCCTCTCAGATTTCTTCGCTGCCTGCATAGCTCTCAGCTCTTTCCCTTCCTCTTTGATCCAGTACACACCTCTTTGTCAGCTGTGTTCAGTCTTTCTCTGGATCAGTTCCACTAAGCACAGTTTCAATTTCTGTGGCATGCTATGGTAGCTGAATACTGTCAAAGTGTTTGGACTAACTAGCTTAATTTTGGAGACATAATGAACGCTGAGGTTCTATCTTACTTTATTTCAGCTTATTTTTTTATTTATTGGCAGGTTGCCAGCTACAACACTTGCATTACTTTTACCTACCCCACACCCAGGTTTACTGTTTCTGAAATAATAGGGAAGCATTTCTCTTATTCTAAATGTTGTGCAAAGATATTTAATGTGAAGTAACCATTTCAGTACTTTTGGATTAGTTACAAATAGCATCATGCACAATGTTTTCACACCCTTATTAGTCCAACCACATAATCAGCATTTTAAAATGTCTCTTACCATACATCCGGGCTGTTTCATGTGCAGCTTCTACCTGCCAGTCATGTGGTGAACTCCACTGAACTAGTAGCAATTTATTGTTGGAATCTTCATCCATTTTTAGCATCACTGGGTTTACTGTGTGAATAGGCTTCTGTTTGAACTCTTGGTTTGTGTTTTGTCAGAGCTGACTGCAGACTTGGCAGGAGCCACATTGAGCTTTATACATTCCATCCCAACTAGGTCAGTATTTCCAAACCTTTCCCCCTTGTTAAGAGCAGTTGAGTTGTGTTCTTATTGGGCATCCACCTTTGGTTCTGACTTGGAAATGTGCTCTTGCAATTACCAACAACCCTGCACTGTTGCATTGTCCACAGCACAACAGTTGGAAATGTATTCAGATACAGTGGATTTTCTTCCAGTGTTTGGGAGATACAGATAACTTTTGAGAATGAAAGTGCCCTGTTGTTAGCTTGGGTTTAATCTTCTATCTGTTTAGTTAAAAAAATTCCTTTCCAGGATGCCATGCAGTATTCTAGAAGACTTGGAAGAAATACTGGTTATTTATGGATATTTTACCTAATATGTGACCATTTCAGCATTAAGGACAATGCGTATTTTTCCTTGCTTGCCAAGAATTGAGAAGTATTGAGTAGGTTAGCATTGGAGAACTCAACTGTGAAGTTTCAGCAATGTTGAAGGGTGAAAACCAATCTGATGTGGCACTTGTAAAGGAGGACAACTGAATATATTCATGGTTAAATATGATGGAAAGAAAATAGGTGAAATCCTGACAACACCTTTGAAATGAATGCAAATCTAGAGTTTAATGTACTTACTTGATTTATAGGTTGCTTCCACACTAGGACCTTTTAGTGGTGCTAAGACACTGCTTTGCTGCAATTAGTTAGAAGCAGAATTAAAGAGTGGTTTATTGTCTGGCAGTGCCGGTGACAAAGCCTATTCTATGTGTTAACTCAGAAGAATGCCTCACTCAAGAAAGGTCTCTATAGCTTAATTAGAAGGTCCCTCCTTGTGACTTCAGCCTCTAACTGCTTTCTTAAACTATACTATGTTGGTAAATTTTGTGGGTTTTCTAAATTTTGCTCCTACTTTTTCTTTTGCTCCCTTCCCCACTGAATGTGGCCTCCTGAGGGCTTCTCCAAAGCTGAATTCATCCTTCAAGCTGAAAGCATTTCTTCAGCACTGTGTTAAACCCATTACAATTTGTAAAACCACCCCCTTCCTATCCTCTTTTTGATTAGCAAAAGCTAAATGGCTTGCACTGCTTTAAGAGAACGGTCACTCCTACTTTGGAAAGTCTTCATGGGAAGGGTGTGCCGGGTGGAGATCTGGCCACCAAGAGCAGCTCTGTACTTTTCTTTACGACTTAAGTGCACAGATGGTAAATGCAAGAGAGTGCTCCTGAGCATTCGGATGGAGCACTGAGTGGCGTCTTGTAGGTTCAGTGTTTTGTGAATCCTAAGTAACACATCAGTACTGTGGCCCTGTGCATGTCTACTCACAAGTAAGCCCTATTGAGTTCAGTGGAACTGACTCCCGGGAAACCGTGTAAAATTGCAGCCTAAATATAACCAGAAGGGCAATAAGGAGCAAGTGCCAATGCTGGAATGTCATGCGCTTCCACTGACTCATCACCATCAGGTGTGCGGTGCTGTTGAGGTTGAAGCTTCCCTCATGCTCTCCAGGGCTGACCCACATAAAGCACATTGCAGCAGCAGCAGCAGCAGCGCTGAGAGCTGTGAAGTAAAAATGACAGCCTGAGCCTACAGGAAAGGCTACAGTGGGACTTACAGAGGTCACTCATGGGTGCACCCTTAGTAGTTAGTCTTGGAGAAATGATTTCAGGGATCACAAAGGGTGTAAGCCGGTGTGGGCAGATGGGTAGTGAATACTGTGAGGGTGGGAATCCAAGTTCCTTCATAATCACAAGGCTTGCTAATCATTATTTCGTTTATTTAAGGGACTTTTATGCCACTACAGTGGCCCCTATCTGGGCTGTCTGCGCAGCTCATAATATAAAAACAACACAGCATTCTGAAATCAATAACCTTAAATCAACTTATTCAAAACTGATTAACATAATCCAAATGTAAAAATAGTATATCAAATTAAGATACAATATAAAACATTAAATAAAAAATTAAACTAAAATCAACGAGAACTATTATGGAGTCAAATTTGAAACCAGATAGTCATTAAAATCCATTGTTAAAATACCTGGAGAAAAGGTGAATCTTTGCCTGCTGCCAAAATGCTAACAATGCCGTAACAAAATGCTGCCCTCTGGGTAGCCTATTCTAGAGGTGGGGTACAACTGCTGAGAAGGCCCTTCTCGGCAGCACCCCCCTCACCTCCCTTGGGGACAGCTCCCTAAGAAGGGCCTCCTGGCTTGATCTTAGCCGACAGGAACATATGGGGAACAGGCAATCCTTATTACTTTCATCCCATCATGTCTGGATTTAATTTCAATCAGTTTAAGCCTGGGCAAGAATTGGGCTGATTGAAATGGAATATTTTGTTAACGTAACATAGGTTTTTAAGGGAAAAACAGCAATGGGATTTAAGTTCCACTAACTTAGATGCTTCCAGAGAGAAGACTTCTGGTACTAACAACCAAAAAGCATTGCTCAGCTATTTCATCTTTTCTTCCTCAATGGTTTTTCTGTGGGGACAAAAAAATCAGAGGAAGCGGTGGGAAGGCACAGAAGGGTTACAAATAAAAGATTATTTTTGGACCCTGGTCAAATTCCATGAATGAGGCAGGATGATAGCTCAATAAAAGTCTTGTTTGGAAATACCCTTGGTTTGCAGTCAATCCAGTAAAATATAGATAAATAGAAATAATGAGTGTTAAAGTCCTTTGGCTCTTTGAAATGACTCTTATCAAATACTTTCATATTATTATTACTGTACTGTTGCAGCCAAGCTAATGATGATTTGCATAATCCAGATAATGTTCTTAATTGTTGTGGAGTAACTCCATTGTTTTTAGACATTGCTTTTGGGAATTCTATATCAGCAATTCCAAATTATCCACAGAGCAATTCCAAATCTGAAAAGTGGATTATGCAAAGTACCATAATTTTGGTTACAAGAGAATGATGGCTGTGCGTTGTTCTGGGATTTGGAGTTCTGTGCTTGAGTTACTAGCGCATGAGAACTAACTTTTGGTTAAAGAATTTGTTGTGCTGAGCAAGCGGAGAAGCTCTGTATACTACTGAGAGGGGCAGGATGGATTATTT